CTCTTCCTCTCATTCACATCTATCTCTCGTTATGATGCCCCCTCTCTCCTCTCTCCTTTTTCATCTAAGCAATACTGATGCATTTTCTCTCCCAAAAGTCACTGACAAATCAAACTTTAAGAGGATTGTCCAGACTTCTTGAGGATCACTTCAGACACTACAATTATACAGATATTCAAAACAAAAATTCAGAAGATCCTTTCGGTACACAGGAAGTGTTTACAACTTTACACTGTGATTGAAGAACATGTTAAGTGTAGAATGAGTAAAGAATGTTAGGGATCACATTAAACAAGGGTGTCAAAGATTTCATCTTGGGAAGACATATTAGCTCCAATAATTGTATACAGCATATTGGGCCATTTTCACACTTGAGGTGGATTATTTATCCAAAATGAACACCCTCCTATGGTATTACAAAATTAAGAGAGATAGTACCCTTCTAACCTGTCTTGTACATAATCTGGTTCTAGTGTAAAGCTTTCCCTTGGGTGAGAACCTGGAGTTGCAGATTCATATTTATTTTGTTGAGAACTTATAACCATGATTATAGTCAGTAATTTTCACAAATTATTGTTATTTTGATTGGTATTATTACAGTAAGGGATCCAGTGCCACCTCAATCAGAAATTATTCTTGGACCAATCAACCAAGTTGCAATAAGTGGACAAACTTCCAGCGTTGTATTTGAATGCTTTGGAAGTGGAAGGTAACTTTTTAGTAAAATTGTGGAAGTAGAGACCATATTGCTTTAAATTGTAACTTACCATACATTCACATGCATGCACAGATTGTAGTAGCTTTATTACATGTAGTTGTACAGTTTACATCACATAAACTTAAGTACTATTGTTTAGTTACAAGTATTCCTGCGCTGTTCTTACTTTTAGTGATTTATATATGTCACAGAGTAAATTAAACTACAGGGGTAAATTGCAGTGTGTGGTTTGAAAAACTTTTGTCATGCTTAATATACATTTATTGAAGTTTATATCGGTAGAGGAGGCGTGTGTGGCTAAGCGGTTAACACCTTGAACTCCAGAGCTGGAGGACAAGGGTTCAAGCCTCGCCCGTCGAGTTGTTTCCTGAGACAAGGAACTTTACTCCACTTTGCCTCTCTTCACCCAGGTTTATAAATGGGTACCGGCGACATACTGCTGGGGGGGGGGGGGGGAGTAACCCTGCGATGGACTAGCATCTCCTCCAGGGGAGAGTAACAATACTCCTAGGCATGCTTCATGTTAAGGAAACTGTGATAAGCTCTGGGCGTTTACATTATATCAGCAGATTAAAAATCACAATGAATGATAGTATGAATGACAGTGTCATCCCTTTTTGATCAAAACTCTTTTATTTTGCCTCAGACCCATGCCAAGCATCTCTTGGAGAAAAAATGGACAGACAGTTACTAGTGGTTCAAAATTTTCCTTTGATCAATATAAGAAGAGACTCACAATACAAAATCCAAGCAAAGCTGATGAAGGCGATTATGAATGTCATGTGACCAGTTCCCTGAGCCCTCAACCGAGAACAAGCAAAGCGAATCTGACAGTTTTTGGTAAGCAGATGTTTCTGTGTTACATTTGTGGCATTGCTTTAACATTATGTTGTCATTGCGCTTAAGTAACTGCTCAAGTCGTAACAATCTCAAGACTAAATAGCTTCAACGATGAAAACGAATCCTCAAGGTTGAGCGTGAAATTCATGTAGGTCGGATTCGCGGCTAAAGATCAATGTACATACAAGGTTTCAGACTTGACATTCAAGAAAAGGTCTCTATTTAGGTTTAGATTTTTTTGAAGGATTTGTACACAAATACTGGAGAGTAAGACCATTCTCCCTGGCTTTATTGATCCGGGCTTAATTTCCAGTACAGACTCTTAAACTTTCCAAGAATTCTTACCATCATAACGTCTTACCATTAAACATCATTGGCACCAAGCTTTGTGACGTCACAAACTTTTGCATGTCTATTCGGCAAATCTGGTGTGGCGTATTTTAGTGGCTGTCAATTCATTACCCGGTTAACGTGATACAAATCTTTCCCTTTTCAAAGTCGAAGAAAAACGTAGCCTGCGAGCAAGATCTCCAATTATAGCGAACGAAGCTAGCAGGGAAAGAACGAGCGAGCGAGCGACCCGGGAAGCCGCGAGGGGCGGAGGAAAAGGAGAGCTCTCCCTTTCTTTTCCCGTCCCTCGCACTGGCGTCTTTCGCGTGCGGGTCTCGCGTGACATCTCGCGACTCCCCCATATGGAGAGCTTGCTCGTAGGCAAAGAAAAACGTTTAGCGCTCACGAGCTTTTGGTGCTGCGTCAGCTCCTTTCTCAGGTGACGGATGATCACGTGACTTCCTTTGAGTCACGTGAAAATATGTATGATGCCTTTTCATATTTTATTCTTTTATTTTTTATAGATCAACCAACATTCAGGGTCACACCATCAAATATAAATAAGTATCCTCAAGAAGCAGCGATATTTGCATGCAATGCAACTGGAATCCCAAAGCCAACAATCACGTGGTTTCATAATGGGGCAAAAGTTGTACCATCACCTGGCGGGAGAATTCAAATCAGCAGCAAAAAGGAACTGAAATTCACAAGTCTTCAGTCTGGAGATGCAGGCACTGTGCAGTGCGTGGCAACCAATGACGCTGGCGAGGCAATATCAGCCGCAGCGTTAAATATTAAAAGTAAGTTTGCCTATTTAATGTTTATGGTTTCAAAACGAGATAGGTTTGTGGTGGTGACTCGGCCTTACGATCCGACAACTGCGACGCCAGTGAAAACGTCGCTGAAAAATAGACTTCGCGTCCTTTCCCACTTTTTGTCCCCTTATAACCAAGTCATCCAGTTACTTAAAAGTAGGCCAGTTGGACTGAGAGAGCAAAATTTATCGCCTTGCCATTCCCCTTTTTGGTCATTTCACGTGGGAGTTGTGTGTGGACGGCAACGAAATTAACATTGATCACTAATTATATACACGCAAACATTAATTAATTTCATATCAGGTTTATCCACAAGAATTTTTTTGCACCGTTTTTGACTGCCCTTGTTTTCGAATGTGGGAAATCGTCATCGTGAATCTGAATTTTGTCGTAAGTCGTGAACGTGATTCTATATCTTTCTTTGGTTAAAAGAGCTGTGTCCTGAATTTTTTCAAACTTAAAACAATAGGAATACCACTAAATTGCGTGAAACATGAAAATAACCGCTGAAAACATTTTTAGAAGGAACCAATAATGCCGCAAACACGGATGGACAAACTTGAAGAAGTTTAAAACCGATCGCAATTGTGGGTTTTTGAAAACTTGTTAGCCTAAAGGTTGATTTCCACTGACGCGTCTTTGGCTACGCACGTTAACGCACGTAAATTTTAATCACGAAAATAAAATAGATAGTCTGAGAGGCAAAAGATAAAGTGTTGAGATTAGACGTGAAGTTGAGCGAGGTTCTACTTTTACGTTTACGAGGACTTTTCATACATTGCCTCTATTTTATTTGCGAACGTAAATTTTACGCACGTACACACGTAAAAATTACGCGACAGTGGAAATCAACCCTAACGTCGCTATAAGGTATGGGAGACACATTTTTTTGACAAGAAGCTATGATTTTGCCGTTTACAAGTAATATCGTCGCGAACGTTAAGTTCCATGGCGCACAAGGAAGCGTAACTAGCAATATGTGCGAAATAAAATAGACTCACTGCCGTGACACAGCCTCTTTAACCGTTAAAGCCCTAATAGTGATCAGCATTAAATTTCTCCTTGCAGTGTTAATTCTTTGTAAAACAGAGTGGTCATGAGAACTCTGGACATGATCACGCAATATGAATTTGCTTGATATTTTATCAACTTCTCCCCACTACTTCTGTAGGAAATGAATGAGGCAACAAATGAGAATTCAAATTTTGATCTTAGCGTTTAAAGGGTTAAAAGTATTTAAATTTAGTTTGTTGCCACCGTGTGTTTTATTTCAGCTTTAGACGTATGGATTGACGTTCCACCAAAAAATACGCATGCCTTGATCAATGAAACCGTAGAGTTGAAGTGCGTTGGGCGAGGAACTCCTACACCCTTGATATCATGGCAAAAGAATGACGTACCTATTAATTTCCAAAGCAATCCGCGGTATCTGAAGATGTCCAGCGGTTCTCTGCGGATTAGCATGAGCAAGAAAAGCGACAGTGGAAAGTACACTTGCGTGGCTACTAATAGTCGGGGCGACAGAAAGGCTAATGCCACTCTTACTGTCTTGAGTAAGTACGATTTCAATAGACCGTGTTCGTATTCTTGGTAGTAAACAGGGACTAGCTTGCAGTCGAGGCTAATGCCAGAGGTGCAGTAAACCTCACTTCAATCAACAGGAGTCCTCTTAATAAATTATGTTATTATTGATTCAAAATATTTCGTCGTTTTTGATTCGCTCAAATCCTTCGGCTAATTCTTCAAACCGACCTCCTTTCAACAAATTTGGAAGATGTGATCAGTAAACTCTCGATTCCGTGGTATATTTGTTTGGCAACCAGGTTGATCGATGGTTTATTGGCCTGGAAACGAGGCTGCTTGGGCAATGGACCATTCATCAACATCGTTTCCAGGCGCTTCAGCCACGCTATTTATTCACGAGTGAACTGAAAAATGGTGTGCACCCCCAGAAGGTAGTTACATGAGATAGGTCACCAGAGCATAGAGATTAGTCACCCTTGACACCTATGTTAAAAATAGTTAATATTACTGTAAATTTCCTTTGTTTCTTCTAGTCGAAACGTTGATCACTAATCCACTGCCAAGCCAAATAACAGCCATCAAAGGCGCGCCAAAAGATCTTCATTGTACCGTGCAATCGGACCCTGCCATATCAGTCCACTGGCGCTGGACAAAGGATGGAAGCCCAGTTGATACGTCCCGGATGACGCTACTCAATGATGGAACGCTCCGCATCAACACCGTGCAGGAGAATGACGCTGGGACTTACGTCTGTCGTGTGGAGTCTGTGGCGGGAAATGCCACAACCAGCGGTACGCTAAGCGTACAAGGTGCGTACTTGTATACTGCCTGCAGTGCTCTTCCCTTTCTTATGCTTGTGTACAGTTTTTTTTTAAGTTCAAAGGTGTTCTGCTGTTGTGCAGCATAGACGGACTAAATTAATTTGTTAACAGGACGTCGGATTTTGATCCCGGGCCACATGAAGCCAACACCGCGATAACAATCAGACCATTGACGCGAAACCTTAGTCAGTAGATTTTTACCTTCAGAAAGTGCATTAGCGAATGAAGCCTTGAGTGTCTTAATTCTTATGGAGACGATTTGCCTGAAAATGTGGGCAAAACCACTGCCCAAAAATGCAAATAGTACTCCTCTGATTGACTTGCGACGCTCAAAACCGCCTTTGCCTTTTTTTAAAGCTCCCCATCGACTGATTTTTTTATTTTTTCAGAAACACCACTTGCTCCCAGCACACCTGTAGTGAGTAACATCCAGCCTACGTCAGTTCGTCTGTCCTGGTTTCCTCCGGGGTATGATGGAAACAGTCCCATCGTATCCTACGTTGTTGACGCCAAGGCGGGCTCTAATCCTTGGCGCCAGCACGTTGACAACATCAATCCATCTGACAGACAGATGTCAATCCTCGTGCGTAATCTTCTACCCCATACTCAGTACCAGTTCCGTGTTAAAGCTGTCAATCAAGTAGGGGTGGGTGCGGCGAGTGCGGCGTCTGGTAGCATCGTGACCCTTAAAGCTGGTAAGGCGTACTTCCTTAACGCATCATACCTTTTGAATACAGCTTATTCAGTGAAGGTTGCTTTAGGGAATTTGGAATTGTGCACTGGAAAGCTAATAGGGAGCTTAAACAACGACGGTGACCGTCACGAAATCGTCACTTAAAAATTTTAACGTCACGCTGCTATGAACCTCATCGTGCTTATTTTATCTCGTTCAATTCGTCAAATGTTAGCAATTTTTTGGCGTGAATTCCAGAAAAGTGTATCGAAGTTGAGGAAAAGAAAAAGAAAGTCGTTGTCTTGGGTTCACGTCCTCCACAAAACCTGAAATTTTCACGTCGAAGTTATGCAGTGACTGCAAAGAAATGTACAAAAAAGCGTGATGCACGTGCAGAGTTGTTGTTTTGCCGATCTAAACCTATTACTTTTTTGTCTTTCTCGTTGACGTCGCTGTCGTCGTTGCTTAAGCCCTCTGTTATTTGGTGGTCAGTGAAGCAAATCATTGCACTGATTTTCGTATGCCCAAATGACCAATGCCAAAGCATCTTTTATTGAATTAAGTATATATATCTATCCGGATCTTTGAAAACGAACCTAGCGAAATTTACAGCCAATTATTGGTAAAGGGTCAAAAGGCAGGTTTCTTGCGTTCGATAAGGCCGAAAATCACACTAACGGAGGAAAAGGAAAGGAATAGTAGAAATAGCGAGGAGAAAGAAACGAGGGGGAGGAGGAGGAGAGAGAAAATGTAATGTTTGCGCTCTTAGTTTTTATATTGGTTACTCTGGAGAAAAAACTGCTTGACACTGGAATAGGAATATTTGGCGGTAACGTTTTCAAAAATCCAGCTGGGCATGTAATCATTGTTTTTGTCGCAGTGTCACTCGGAAAGAACAGAAGAGTACTCCCATCAAATTCCAACGACGACATCGTCAGTGAAAACTACTGTCCATTTTGCCGGGTCCAACTAAGGACCACATTAAGACACAATTTGAAGAAATTTTAGTAGAAACTTTTTCTGGATTGATCCGGAGACCAAAGTTTTCGATTTCTTACAAGTTGGCGAGTTACTCGCCGCGTGCGCTCGTAATAATTACGCGACAGTGGAAATCCACCCTATAACCCTCCACTGCGAGGTTCAACTTTTACGTTTACGCTCAGTCTTGTATACATTGCCTCTATTTTATTCACTCACGTAAATCTTACGCGCGGTTTTTATGGACGTGACAACCAACTTCGTGGCGTTGAAAATGGCAAACGTGAAAAATGGCGGGAAAAACTAATTACGTGGTCAACTCTTCTGTTTGTCGTAAATGTCGAGGAAAGTGTAATAGGAGGTCACCGGAATGTTGATTTGTGTCTTTGAAATTTGCGGATTTTATGTTTCAGCGCCTTCACAACCCCCTAGCAATGTCAATGGTGTACCGATCAGCGCTGACTCCATCCTCGTGCAGTGGCAGGTATGTTTTGATTCAAGCCACTAATTGAAGTCCCATATATCCTGTCAAATAAACGATCGCGTAAAAAGTACTGATTTCATGCTTTGGTGTTAGTTAAATGGTCACTCTAGGATTTAATTTAGACATTTAGACATAAGACCTTTAGACGCGAGAACCACCTTGTACAGCATAAAACACAGTACCTCATTGACAAGAAAGTATTGCTCTCCAGCGTGCACTAACTCGAATGGTAAGACGGTAACACTTCAGCATTTGAACCACAGAATGAATGGTTTGCACAACCTTGCGCAAAAAAATAAACTGTACCACGGAAAAGTACTCCTCTGTAGTTTTCGTTTGAATGGTCTGAGAATCATTAGCGTGAACCAACTTGCACAGCATGATATACAGTAATACTGAAAAGCATTGCTCACGCAGTAGCTTTATTTTATCCACATTCTGAGCAGTATCACATGACAGAACGCAAGCCGGTTTGACTCTGAGAGAAAAGACTTGACTGACAGTAACGTGATGTAATTTTCTCCACCATATATATTCTTTCTGTATTCCTATTTTACCGCAAGATATAAAATGGATCAAATTGGTATAAACTTAATTTTACGCGGATCGATGCTACGTATACTCCAGAGGAGATTTTTGGGATTCATAGTTGTTCCCGGGTTTGTTAAGAAGCAGAAGCACTTTTCCAAGGCTGTCTTTATCATTTCAGATTCCTCCGCCTGAAAGCCACAATGGTCCGCTCCGTGGTTTCAAGATAGCCTACCGTCTAGCGGGAGTGGCTGGAATTCAGTTTATTATCAGGAAGATCGAGAACCCCGCTGCCACTCAAGGAAACATCGACGGACTGGTGCAATTCACGACGTACGAAGTTAAAGTACTGGCGTACAATGACGCTGGAGACGGCGTTTACAGTCAAACTACTCCCGTAACCACAGCGGAAGGGGGTGAGTAGAAAACCGGCGCCCGGTTAGCTCAATGAGATAAGCGCCGGTCGGCTGAGCGGGAGGTCGCGGGTTCAAACCCCGGCCGGACCAACACTCAGGGTCTTTAAATAACTGAGGAGAAAGTGCTGCCTTTGTAATAACATCTGCGAACGGTTAGACTTTCTAGTCGTCTTGGATAAGGACTATAAACCGTTGGCCCCGTCTCACAAGCCCTTGCACATGTAATAAATCTGTGGGACGTTAAAGAACCCACACACTCTTCGTAAAGTGTAGGGCACGTAGTGCCCGGTGTAGTGGTCTGTCCCACTTTCACACTCATGTATGGTGGCATCATTACTCATTCCTTCATTACTTGTAAACTGCACCTAAGCAGTCTGGCAAAGTGCCCCAACCAGTGTTGTAAATTATCCCTGAAAAGCCCTGATGGGAGTGGATAATAAGATATTTACAATTTAGAATTTACAAAAAAGTCAAGGAATTATGATAATAAACAATTATTGTATGAGGTTTTTGTGACGTCCGCAAGAATACAGGTCGAGGTAAGTTCAGTTACCTGCTAGCAGATATACTTATCTGTAAGTGGCACTGATTTCCAAAATGAACTGTAGGCTCTTAGCCAATGAGAAACAGATAGTGAGAACAATGTAAAATAATAATAATCGCCGTCATCATCGTGATCATAAGAAACAAAATATCATCAACATTAGATTCAAGGTCTTCAAGGTCTCAATTGGCTGCTAGCATCAAAACCATCGTGCTGTCTTTAAGTAGTCAAATTTCTCTCTACACGTGTATGGGTTAGAACTTACCTGTTCCTGCTTCAAAAATGAGAAAGTGCTCGGACAATTTATATTTTTTCTCTATTTCTCAGTGCCCACAGCACCCCCGCAAGAAGTTACTGTGATCAACATTACGACCACCAGTGTAGTCTTGCAATGGAAGCCACCGCCACAGAAACAACAGAATGGCCGTATAAGAGGATACAAGGTACTTGGGTCTATCGCTATTTGTGTACAGTGGAACCTCGATTTAACGAAGTGCTAAGGGACTGGGGAAATTTGCTCGTTATATTGAGGGTTCGTTATATAGAACACCTCGATTTAACGAATTTCCGAAAAAACAACCAAGATGTTCTTTATATCAAGGTGTAGTTAATGATTAATTTGCAAAACCCAGCATTCCCGGGTCTGAACAATTCACTCTACTGTAATACCGAGCTGTATATAGCTACGGCACTACAAACACAAGAACAGGCAAACAAAACTGCCTAAAACTACTGTACACATATATTTAATCCATGTTGGTCTGTTTGGCTTTCGTCTTTTATCACAGGTTGGCATTTATTCGTTATATTACGAGGTATATTTCACGATTGCGCTTCTGGATCGTGTTCGTTATAACGAGGATTTCGTTAAATCGAGGTTCATTAATTTCAGGTTCTGTTCCATGCATTTTACTGTAATTTTGGCCGGGCTAAAGAAAACAGTTTGTTATACCGAGGACTTTGTTATACAGAGATTCGTTAAATGGAGGTTCCACTAAAGATGCGTTGGAGGAGGGCTGTCAATCGTATCATTTACAGGGTCAATTGTAGAGGCGTGAAATGTAGTTCTAATTAATTGTCAAGTCTGTGGACGACCTCTCATGGCTTTAGTTCACTGGCCAACTGAAATTAAACTTCTCGTTTTTGGGCATTTTCTCGCCGGAGAAAAGAAACAGCCCCGAAAAAATTCTGAGTTTCTTCTTCTTCCTCTTCTTCTTCTTCTTGGGCCGGATAATGTTAAACTGTTTTTTGAATTAAGTCGCGTTGTAAATTTTTTAACCAGTGTACAACCGCGGGGAAGGAAAACTGTAAGTAACTGGCGTGAACTCCAGGAGAGTTCGCCTACATTTTGACAAAGTGAGTGAGTTGGAATAATCGCGATGAAGATTAAAAGAACGCACACTTTTTAAGAGAAGTTTTCACCGCCGTCGCCCTTCTTGGATCTTAAGGTTCCTATCTTACTGCTGTAGACGGCAGGAAAACATACAATTGTGCCCAAGGCAAAGAAAAAACCTTTTAGTTTTGCGTCTGATTAAATTCTGCATCTTATTCATCATTGCCATGCATATTGTTAATTTTTTTTTTGCGATGTAACACAGCTCCAGGCATGGAAGGGAAGTACACCAAGCAATATCGTACAACGTGTAGCAGACCATGACGGCAGTGTTATTATCCAGAGGGGTACACTAACTGGTTTGGAAAAGTTTACTCTGTATACTGTGGCTGTAGTAGCTTATAACGGTGCAGGAGACAGTCCTAGGTCTGACACCAAAATTATCAAGACTGAGGAAGGAGGTATGTGACATTTATAGTAGAAAAATACCTAGTTTATTAAGTTTCAGGACCGAGACACGTTATAATGTGAACTTCCCCGGCATTTAATTTTTGTAGAAGGAAATTTAAAATGTACAAACATTTAAGAGATAAAGGAAATAATTTTTAAAAGAAATAACTTCAAGTAAAGGTCTGTGTAGTATATGAGGTGAGCCAGCCCGGTTAGCCGTGCTGGCTGGGCTCATGCCTTGTTTCCTCATAAAAGTTTTATGAGAATGCGGGCTGGCCTACCGGGCCGGCTTACCTCATATAAACGGCCCCTGAGGGTGAAACAATTGGCATAATTTTGGAGATTTTCGGTGACGATTTGTTCCGAAATAACACACGGAAGTTTCAGTCTAAAACTGAAGCGTCGGTTCACATTTGCTCGGGTCGAAGGGTAGCCTCCCACGCAGGCGTTTTTAGGGGAGCTCGTTTTTCATCCCTCCCCACAAACGCCTGCTCAACCGAAGACAACATTCCTTTCCCATGCTTAGCCAATCACATTGTACTTTCCAAATTCTGGAAAGTTGACCTTGACCAAAAGGTAATCTGATAATTACGCGATGTGCAAGGAACACTGGGAAAGCTTTCCGACTTCGAATAAATGTTAGATTCAGAGCGGCAAAAATAAGATTTAATCAAATTTTAGAATACTGCATGCACTGCATAACCTTAGCGAAGGAAAGAAAGGAAAGAAAGCAGTAACTCTAGGGTCACGTGTTAGTCGCGTTTAGCCTGTCAACACTTTATTGCACAACTGTTGATTGATCACTTACCACTCAAATAAAACAATGGGAAAGGAATGTTGTTTCCGGCTGAGCAGGCGTTTGTGAGGAGGGATGAAAAATGAGCTCCCCTGAAAACGCCTGCGTGGGAGGCTAGTCGAAGGGTGGATTGTCTTTTTTTCTTAAGAAATTTTCTTGGTGGTACCGATTTTGTTCAGTTTTGTGCCGACTCTGAAATTTTCGTTCCCGCGAGAGAATGCGCGAGGAAGCGGCCCGTCGCACTCGCGTCTCCTATGGCGTGCGGCTCTCGCGTGCCCCCCCGCGACTCCTCCAAATGGTGAGCTTGCGCGCAGGCTAATTGCTTCAGTGACACATTGTCAAGCTCGAAAATTGTTGTTCAATCGGTTGGCCCTAACGTCGATTAACGTCGCGAACTTACTTAAAATCCCTTCAAGATTTCCTGTACCACACCTTTAATAAGATTTGCAAAGCTGTCTAGATGTATTGTGTTTTTTTTCTCTTGATAATTCTGGTTAAGAAAACAAACTTCGTTAAATCTCTCATTCCGGTGTTGAAATGCAACTTTTTTTTAATACACTAGTCCCAGATGCGCCAGGATCCTTCACAGTGTCTGAAGTGTACTCCGATGCGTTGAGGGTGAGCTGGGACCGACCGCTGCGCGTTAACGGTGTCCTACTCGCTTACCTGCTGAAACACTGGAGGAATGACACGTCTCCAAGCAACGCGCACACGACACGGCTCCCAAACGTTACCCTGTCATACACTGTCACGGGGTTAAGTGCCAATACTATTTATAGTGTTGAGTTATCTGCCCAGACTAGAGCGGGGATTGGTACGAGTAAAAGACTGTCAGCAATGACTACGCAATCTCCTGGTAAGATCACATGACAATTTTCTCCTTTTTTGGTTGGTTGTGTGCTTAAAATTAATTAAATGTCACTGTTCAATGTGTTTTAAATATTAAAAAACAAACGAATTAACAAACAAAAAACTAATAAAGGGATGTCACTAAGATTTCAAGTTGCCGAGTAAATACGACAAGTAGGCGGGGAATCAAACAGCTAGGGATTTCTTTTGGTTCTATTTTTCTTCTGTTTTCCTATGAAAGTAGCCGGGGGCCACGTTCTTAACAGCCGGGGGAAATCCCCGCCCCCCGGCTCTTAATGACAGCCGTGAAAAAAAACCTTATTCAACATGTTAAAAATGGAGTTGCAAGAGAGCCATTTTGCAGCCGGATAAAGAGTAGTATAATTAAGATAAATTATAACAAAGGTTTCGTAGACGGTGGTGTTTGTCGGGTGGCCAAAGTAGCGTAAAGAGAAACAACTCTTAAACTTGACAAACGTGAAAAGTATTTCCCTTTTGCTGGACGTGCTCTGTATGCTCTGACCCTTAAAACATTAGATTAACTCTAACCAATTTCACTACGTGTATCCCGTGCGATTAAAAACGTAGTAATGGACGCCCACGGCATATTGCTGGCACTATGTTTCTTTCGCTTGCTACCTTTTTGTGTTCAACTCTGCGAACACCAAAAATAGAACAACGAATATTGTTTTCAATCAGCTTAAGTTTGTTTCGTTTTTTTTCTTTTTCAGTACGACCGGGCGCACCGCACAATCTGAGGTTCATACAGGCAGCGGCGCGTTCTGTGGTGCTTAATTTTATCCCTGGACCATCAGGCCGGGCCCCCATTCTGACCTACACAATTGAGTACAATAACGATTCTTTTTATGACCCTTTCTCGGCGCGATGGAAAACTCTCTTGATCATTCGTGATGCTCATCTCGTGTGGAACCTGTTGCCACTGACTCTTTCCAACCTTAAGCCCTACACTGACTATAGGTTCCGTGTTATTGCTAAAAACAAGGTTGGAAGCAGCAGTCCCAGTAATGCCTCGGATACCATCAAAACGCTCGAAACAGGTAAGGGAAAATTTTACCATCAAACAGGGCTGCAAATAACGGCCGGTCAACGGACAATGTCCGGCCTGATCGCGGACTTGACCGGTCAAACTCCGGACTTGACGGTCATTTTGACCGGTCATTTTTGGATACAAACACTTTATTTTCCATACAATTGTCGTTTAATGCTCTATAACGCTGCAATGATTTCTTTTTTCTTTGGCGTGTTTTGCTGCTTTGCACTAAACCCTTCTAAGAAAAAGAACGCCGCAATAAATTAATTTTATGTCGTCATGTCGTAATCTAACGCAACAAAGTGAATAACAAACTGAGTTGGAACGTAACGCAGTGTTGCAAGTCGTACTGTACTTTCTGCTTTGCTGTAATCAGCAATGTGACCTTCTTTGGGAATTCGAAGGAATTCAGGCAAATCGATCGCAATTCTCAACAGGTTGTCCTGTGTTTCTCCGGGAATAAAAGTTAGCGCATCGATTAATAATAATTTCTTTTATGTCGAACATGAATCTCGTTTGCAGACTCGATTCCAGAATGGTCTGATAAAAATTTAAGCTACTCAAGAGGGAAGGTCGTCGTCTATCGCGGCGCTAGTTTCTCGTTCTTGTAAACAACTTTATGCAAATTTCTGTTGACATTTGAGCCCTTCGCGATAAAATGTTGCGCGATGACCCAAATTCATTTATTGACTTCTGATCATCAACACGCTGTTTGTGGAACAAACGTCTCCTCAATGCAAATCAACGTCTTTCCCGAAAATCTCAGCGACGATTCTTCTTTGAGGAAGTGACTTTCGATCACGTGCCAGGCAAGGAAAAAGATCAAGTTTCACCGATGTTCATTTCGGAACATCAACGTAAAACAAGCGTGTGCAGATTTTGTAAAATAACCCAATTCTTTTGGGTTTTTTTTCGTAATTGCTAAAGTTTGCTGAACTGTATGTGTATTCCGTTTCCTGAACCTTGGGAGTTTGAAAAGGATTTACGCTTCACTTTTTACCTCTAGAGACTTCAGACACCGCCGTGCAATGATACTCAAGGTAGAACGTAACATTAAAACGCGCGAAAACCGCGGAAAGGAAATCTACAACGTGCGAATGCATTTTTCACCAATTTGCTGTCAAAAATGTGAACGTCAATGTAGTAATAACGATCTATTGCCAGCATAATTGGATATTCCTTACGCAAAAAAAAATTATTAGTATTCATTATTTGACCGGCCAGAATCGGGGTTTGTCCGGGCGAAAAAATATTTGGCCGGTCATCATGACCGGCAACCTGCTGTCCGTTATTTGCAGCCCTGTCAAAAGAGGCAATAGACCTTATTCGTTTTCAGGGCTCGAAGTTAACTTTTCTTTGCACTTGCAAAGTTTTGCTAGGAAGATTTTTTTCCACTAGCAAACTGGTGAGACCACCTGCAAATTCTTTCCCTTTGCTTGGGAGACATGGATGATTCTAACTCGCAGGATATTTTTCTCACTCGCAGGTTACCAAATTTAATTGCATAATGCGAGTTTGCGAGCGGTAATTTCGAGCCCTGGACTTTTGTTGGTAGTTAACTGGAAATAGCCTGAAGTCGAGGGTTTCCTACATGAGCTTCGTTTGGAGCCGGTTCCAATGGCCTGTTTCTGAGTTTACAGAGATTACGGTGACTATAGTCGACTCCCGATAACTCGAAGCTTCTAAGGAAATCAAAAAAAGTTCGAGTTAGTTACAGGGAGTTCGAATTTAGTAACCGGAAATAAGGATATAGGCAAAAGTATTTCAAATTCGAACAGCAGTGTAATCTTTCGTGTATACGGCTGTTTACTAGGAACTAAAAGAGTGGCTTTCACACCGAGTTTAAGTAGGAAATGGTTTCTGATGTAAGGTTATAGAAATTAACGCGTAACGATAAAGTTGGAAGGAAATCATATTGTAGTCTAACTGTTTCAACGGACTCAGCTCTACGAGTTCAATTCGGAGCCCCTCTTCAGAGAATCCAGGATCCACTTTTTCTTTTATCGAACACTCAGGGAAAACATCACTTGGAAAAAGAACTCGTGCTGTTTAAAACTGCCTTTAAAATGAGCGACGGAACTATCGTAATAAGAGACAAGCTTCAACTTCAAATGTAACTGAGTACTGTTAAAAGATTCCTCACTTTTGGCGATTTTTTTATATTTTTAAGTTATAATAACAAACTGAGGCAGGGTGTTCCTTCGCCAGTTGTCGTCAAACCAGTAGAGATAAAAAGTTGCCTGATAATTAGCTGAAATTTTTACAAACGATAATTCTGATTAATTGTTGTTTTTTTTTTTTGCATAGCTCCCTCCCATCCTCCCAGCAATTTGAAAGTGATTCAAGTTGGCAAAGATGGTTTGGAACTAAGATGGAAGGTGGGTGCAAAGTCAACTGATGAACAGGCGTCTATGTTTCGGTAAAAGCGCGTTATTTTTCTCGTGCTGAATTCTCAAAGTCTGTTCAGTGATTTTTCCCTTTTACTTTATGTCCTTCTTTAATTAGATTCCTCCTCGAGACACTTGGAACAGTGACTATATTGGCTTTTTAATGAAATTTGAGCCACAAGGAGTTTCCTCTTCAAATACTCTGGAAATCAAAATTCCAAACAGCCAGTTGAACTACTACAGAGCCGGAGGTCTTTTGAAATACAAGCACTACAGAGTGTCAGTGAGCACATACAACTTAAATGGACTAGGAACTAGCAATAAAAGTGCAGTTGCGTGGGCCTGGACACAGGAAGATGGTAAGAACCCGTATGCTTAGCAGAGGGCCCTCTCTCGTCCCTTGCTGCGTGTACCGGAGACAGATGACACCGAATCAGCCTTAAAACATGAATAGAAAACAAAAGCTCTTTTGTTTTTCATCATTTTTGTCCGGTTAACGAAGTAATACGGCATACCCCGCCCCTCTTGCTTTTCTGAAGCGTCAAAAAGAGAGATTTTCCATCCTCAGCGTTATCAAACTTTTCTACTTATTATGGCTTAACAGTTTCATGATTTCATATTATCTTTGTAGCACCATCAAGAGCTCCAAGTGGTGTTAAACCCACAGTTACTGGAGCTTCTAATGTAACACTTAACTGGGGACCTGTACCTGCTGTGGGACAAAATGGCCAAATCCTTGGATACAAGGTAAACTTCATATCTAATAATATCGCTTAACCATGCGTTTCCGTTCCCCTTCTTCCATTTTTACCATTTTTATTGCTCTCGCTCCATGTTTCGCTCAATGACTCGATCGGAAACGCTTGCTATGCAGGCTATCCTTATCGTGGTTTTCGCTACGCATATCAAGACATTAGTGGGCTTACGCAACAGGACGGGAGAGGAAAGAAGACGGCAAACCTTGTGTGACAAGTGTGACAATAATTTTGTTAGAAAAACTTTTCCGCCGAACTTCACCTTCCTTTAAACAGATTTTTTTGTAAAAGACCAGACAACATTAACTCAGGTAAAGATCACCACAAAACACATAAGTAATAGGCTTGTCACGTTTGTCACACACAAGTGTTTTGCGGTCCTCTTCTTTCCACCGTCCTGTTGCGTAAGCTCACTATTGACGACGCGAGGCGTAGACAGCGGCACGCGGAAGAGAGAGTCAATGGGTAAAAAGACCTGACTCGGCCATGCCGCTCTATTTTGCGATTACGACGCAAGAAATTGGAAAACATCTCGAGAAAATTACTTGAAGCTTAAGTGGATCGTATTTCCTTTCTCAAACATCGTTACTTTGCCAGTTTCGGTACTAATAGGCCTTTTGCAGCAAGTCATTCACGTGATACAAAACCGCCATACTGGAAAGCAACAGAAGCAGTGGGGCAAGGCATCGTATATTTGTGTGAATGTATTACGACTGTTGTATCATTCTTTTCGTTTTTATGCAAGTTTGTCGAGTTTGTGATATTGTCACTTTCTTTTGGTTAAACTTTGTAACTGTAACATGCGTTGTGTAAATAAATGACTATTAAAAAAAGACAAAAAAGGAAATAACTATATTAAATTATATAAGCCTTTTGTTTATCTTGTCCCAGTGCTTCGGTCTTGTACTACGTTGATGACCAGCTGCAAAGTGTCCATTTAGTACTAATTGATTGTTCATAAATGTACTAAGAGTTTGTTTCGACTGCAGATTTATTACAGCGTAGTTGGCAGACTAAATACTGAGAAAGAAAAACAAATAAACCATGGTGCCACATATTCTACCGCACTGACGGAACTGGAGGCTTTTGTCACTTACGAGTTCCAGGTCCTTGCCTACACACGGATTGGGAATGGGCCGAGGAGCTCTCCAGTCCGAGCAACCACTTTAGAGTCTAGTAAGTTAAATTACTTTCTTTTTTATCAACTCAACCTATTCTACAGACTACTATCAACGTCTTACTTTAGACAGCTGGTTTACTAACTTAGAACAAACTCCACTGAATCGTAGCCAACAGTTACCAGCGCCGTACAAACGACTTATTGACGAGATCAAGCAAAACTAACTACGAGAGAACGACTGGAGAACTGACAATTTGACTAACAATACACGACTGTTTAACTGTGACAATAGACGGATCGAAACGCACCCACCAATTACTGATTACGAGTCTTCATAGCCAATAACATCACGGCTTAACTGACAGACGACCAATAACATCGCGACGTAATTGACCAATCAGATCAATAACCAGAGTATAATACCATCAACTGACGTGATACAACTCACTTTGACTCTGAAGATGACTACCGCACAGGTTGTCGAAACGTCAGTCACTGTCAACAACAACGGTCCTAGTCAGGACTACGTTCACCCGGACGATCAAACTCAAGGAATTATTTTAATTCCCTGTCCTTTCCAAGATCCTGCTGTTTTGAACTATTGAGTTCTTAAAAGAATTTTCTAGGTTTTGAACCCTTGATTTAGGCCAATCATTAAAAAGGTCATATGTACCCTGGAGTTCCCCTTTATGTGTCTTCCTTGAAGATCGGTTTCTAATTCTGGCTTGTTTGTGTTTTGTTTAGCTCCAGGCCCTCCTGCTCACGTCCGTTTCACTGCTGTATCCAATAACTTCGTGACGATAGTCTGGGACCCACCAGTATACCCTCATGGCGTCATTACCGGATATAAAGCTCTTTGCCGCCTTAATCAAACCTCATCTGGTCACACTTGGAAAGATGACTCCATAGGTTCAACCGAGCGTCAGACAAGCGCTGGGACTTTGAGCACGGCAAATTTTTATCGCTTCTTTCTGTGGGCGAAGACAGATCAAGGCTGGAGTGAGAAACCAGCGGAAGCAGTGGTTTTTACTGGTGGTTCCACTGGTGAGTGAGCCTTTAGTGGTGTTGTTTTGCGGTTAAACGGGCAACACATGCGCGGCTACCGTCAACTAAAGCTTCATCGTCTACTTTGGGCTACGGCTTTCGTTGATTGCCGTAACATCTAGTTGTGTTCAAGTGTGCTTCGTTTCTTATCAAAACCGCCCTGATGCCTAACCTTCTTTTTCCCAAAATTGCTTAAAACCAACCTTTAAGACAAGACGAATAAAAAGATAACATTCCTTTTCATTACAATATACTGAACAGCAAATTTAACCAGTCAAAAGTACTGCTGAAAAGGTTTCATGTAAATGGTCACATTATTTGATTTCGCTGTAACCTGTTCACAGACGTTTTCCTTTTTTTCTCCTTTCTTCAGCCCCACCACCTAGCACCTGCGGTCAATAAATCGCCCGCGGTTTTCATTTTATATGTGCGCTCGACGATCTCTAAAGAGAAAATAGAGGGTCTGTGAACAGGCTAATTTCGCTGAAAGGCGGAAGACGTAAAAAACACTAAATTAACAGTATCATGTGAAGTACCGTTGAAGAGGTATTATGGTAATTAATGGTCAGACCATAAGATTATTTCCACGAAATCAAAAATTAGAACTTCAAACTAAATACATTTTACTGTGTGGAAGTACTGCTAAAGTGGTTTCATTTGAATGGTTACACCCTGGGATTTCGTTCATGGACTCAAAGGTATTAACCCTTGAAGCCCCAATATCCACATACAAATTCTCCAAACTGATCTCTATACATTTCCTTAAAGAATGAGTTGAGAGAATTTGTTAAAAGATCAAAGTATTTTCTCTTAAGTGATCATTTAATTAATTCTCATAACCTCATCTCATGATAATGTATGGATATCGTTAGGAGAAAATTTCTGCTGGTCTCTATTGGGACTTAAAGGGTTAAACCAAAACTGATTGGAAATCAGTGAAAAGGTTATCATGTTGAAAGTTTGCCTCTCACGCAGACGTTCTTAGGGGTTCGTGACGAGTTCTTTCCCCATAAGCGTTCGAGAATGAGGATCGCGTGACAAGCCAAAAGAACGTCTGCGTGGGACGCTAGTCTAAAATCCGTCACAAGTGAATTTCTTACATGCGTTTTGATCTACAACAGACTATCCAGATGCACCCTTCATTTTGCCCATTTACTTCTCGGACATTGGCGAACGTTGGATAGTCGTCAAATGGCAGGCTACCTCGAATGTCAAGAGTCCCTTGAGATACTTCACTTTACAGCTGAACAAAAACGTAGATGGCTGGCAAGTGTATTCCTCCAACATCGATCACACTGCAAGGAGCTTTAAAGTGGAAGGGCTCATTCCAGGGGAGTCGTACATGTTCCGGATAATGGCTACAAATGACAAGGGTAATAGTCCCTACAGTGCCGCGTCAACCCCTACCACCACTCGTCTGGCTTGTGAGTATTCATAAAAATACATTCATTAAGTAGAGGGGCTTATCCCACGGGTGTCGTACATGTTCCGCGTTAGCTCCTACAACCACTGGTCTGGCTTGTGAGCATACATAATAACACATTTTTCAAGACTAGTAGAACATCTATCATTTGAGTCCAATATCTGTAGCTACATGAAGCTACATGTTCCTAACAGTTTTTTTCCAGGGAACCTTTATGTTGACTGACCTTTTTCTTCGTTTTTCAGTGCCAACTGGAGCTCCTTATGATGTTAGAATTCGGGCCGCTTCTACTACATCACTTCTTATAGAATGGACAGTAAGATTTTTGTTTCTCTGTGTTGTTGAATGCCTTAAAACGAAGGCCCTGGAAACATTCTACCGAAGGGTGCTTTTGACTCGGTGATTTTGCCCTTTGGCTCTTATTTGTCAAGCGCGTACCCAACTTAAGTACGACATCGCCTCCTATTTCTCTAAAGTACAAGAACACGTGTTGTTTCATCCCTGATTTTTTCTTAACTTGGGATGCGCCCTCTGTAAGTTAAGGCGAGTGGCACCAATAAGAGCTTACTTTTGCTTCTCGTTCTGTTTAATTAGTTGTTCTTTTTCCAGTTAGTGTTGTTTTTTTGGGGGGGGGAGGGGGTGGGGGCGCAATCGCGGCATTCAAGGTTAGTACTAACATGCACGTAAAGAGTGGGCCCAAGGAAGACACAGAATGTTATTTTCCTGAGACCCTCAATTTTCGCCGTGGGAAACATAAAGGAGCAGTTTCAAGTTATACTTCCCGATCACGCGCGAGTCCTTTATAAGTTCCCAAGGGATATGGTTGGTGACTTGTGTTCGTCTTAGGGTTATAATTAGTTGATACATAGCACGTGACACATTCTCGTTCAACGGAAAACATATATACTCTTTTGCTGTCTTGTGTAGGCTCCCTCGCCCCAAGAACTGGGAGGCACTCTCAAAGGCTTCATCGTGAAATACAGGCAGCAAGGATCAGCAGACTTCACTAACGTTTCCTTGCCCTCCAACAGCCGCCAATATGCGTTAAATAACCTCAAAGTGTTTACCGTCTATGGAATAATGGTGGCCGCTGTCAACGAGAAGGGGCCAGGGCCCTATACTCCTGAATACAATGTTACCACGGGAGAAAAACGTAAGTTGGTTATCCAATCTAACAGCTTGCCGACAGGTGCATTTATTTTCTTCTTTTTTGCTTTAAGATTTGTTTTAAGACTGTCAAACTAACTGGCCTAGGATTTAATGGTTACAGATTTTACTAGTCAAGGTACGTTCAACTGGTTATCTGGACAGCATGGAACAAATCCTGATCGTTGATATCATTTTTTTCAGCCCCTTCTGATCCGCCCACAAATTTGAGGAGTGGTCGGGTGACTAGAACTTCTATTGAAATCATGTGGGCGGCTCCTTCTCCTGGCTCTTTTAATGGACACCTTATGGGATACAAGGTTAGTTCTTTGCTGCTTCCACATTTCATAATATATTTTAGTGTAGTTTAATTTAGCCCCAGTGGTAATTGAACGTTTCAGCTTTATTATCGCACTGTCTGTTTGTGCTGTTAGAAGAGAAGTATATTTAATTGTGACTGTTCTAATGTAGCAGACATTTGTTTGAAAAACAGGCAACTTTGCCTGTCGTTTATGCAATTGCCTACAAAGTTTCTTGAATTTTGAAATGAGACTATAGTATTCTTGGGTCTGTTCTCCAGCTTAGAGAGGTAGCAGTGTTTCCATGCCCAGCGATAGCGGTGCATCGACATCAGAGCAACTGATATAGAGCGTTTTCACGTGACGTCACAGCAGCCATATTGGTGTTTCAAAACAATGAAACGGCGGCCATGTTGGTGTTCCAAACCAATCCTGTGGGAGTTGAACTCTTTTCTTACGTTAACGCCTTCTTTTGTTCCAATAAATAAGCATAGATGCTGGATACGTGAGTGAAAACGCTCTATGCCTCCCTAGGAGCAAACGTAGCCAAGTGGTCAGCCCGTCGAACTCGCAATCCGTCGGTCCCGGGTTCGAGTCCCGCTCTGGCCATTTTCTGGATTTCAAATCCTCGGCCGCGCTTGTAAATAGCCAACTGGTTGCCTCCTGTCAGTTGGGGTTTTAATCCTGTTATGTTAATTAGAATTATTTGTCTCTAATCATTTGAGTGGAGTGCCTGTAAACTAGTTGGATAAGCTAAGCGCACTTTCCACTATAAACAAACGTTATTTTTCCTTAACCTTTTACCGCAAGAGCAGGGCAATCAAGGGAAGATTGGGTACTGAGTACCACTGAGGCCTTCAAACCCTGACCCTTTTTAAGGCAAAAATTGCGCATTTCGCCATCCAGAAGACAAGAGCCTGGAGTCGTACCATTTCGCATTGTTGGTACCATGTAAACTCTTTTAAAGGGTTCCGGTCCAAAAAGACACCCTGTTGAAGACGGTAAATAGTGAACTTGTACACCCTGTTTAAGACTCAAGAGCCTGAAAACCATACCCGTTTGGACCAAATAAGGGTGTGCCCCCCTTCCCCTTCCAGCATTTACCTCAAAAGACACATTTCATTGCTTTTAACTTGCAATTTGATTGTTTTGCGACTGATTTTTTTTATTTTTATGGCTGATTTTTTGTAATCAGGTTTATGCGGAAGATCTCTCATTATCGAATGGCGGTCGGCGTCGCAGACGATCGTTACTACAGGTATGGCGGGTAATCAAAAACTTATGCCCTTTTTGTTTCTTATTCAGCCGAGCGAGGAAGGAAGGCAAGGCCCGATCAGTGTGGCTGCCTAATATATAACGACGAGACGAATCAATCTTGTTCAATTGAAATATTAGTGTCATACTTAAGAATCTTAGCAGAGCATTTTTACAGAAAAGCGTAAAAGTCAATCAACGGAAAATTCTTGCGCTTTGCATACATAATGATTCAATATGTAAGGACGCTGCTTTGTTTTACGATTTGCGCATTGATATGAGACAATCAACTTCTATATCGGTAATGTGTTTAATATCCTTTATACCGTGGTATCAGCTGAGATCTATGTGATCCGCTTCTTTTTGTAGGTTCATCGGGAAGATCGTCCGTTGCCAGTCAGGTGGAAGCGCAATATGAAGCGACGAAGTAGGCATAGACGGGCCTTACCAGTATGTCTGCGAGAACCTGGACCGAAGGTGTTGTTTGTCCCTCCTCACCAGACCACCGCTAACATTACCAGCCTTCGAAAATTTGTCACGTATAGGATCTGGGTGAGAGCATATAACTCCATTGGAGAGAGTCCTCCCAGTCCTTCAAGGGAAATCAAAACTCAAGCAGATAGTAAGTACGGGGTTGAATAGCTGATGAGGTGATATACGGTAAAGAAATATCAAAAAGTGTCAAATGTGTTAAAAAAAAACCACAAACGTTTCGGGTTTATGACCCCTCTTCAGTGTGAAGAAAAACCGTTTTACAGTACGGGGTTGAGACTGGTATGTTTTGAGCATAGAAAATGGTAGGAAGAGACTACGAAAGATCGTTATACTTCTAATCCTTTAAGCCCCAGTGTCCACATACAAATTCTCCAGGCTGTACTCCGTACATTTCCTAAAAGAATTAGTTGAGAGATTTTGTCAAAAGATCAAAGCATATTCCCTTTGGTGATACTTTTCTAAGTTCTCATAACCTTTACCTGTGATCGGTTATTGATATTGTATGGAGAAAATTAATATAGTAGTATAGTGTATATGTTTATAGAAGCAGTGGGGAGAATTTGTTGAATTATCAATAAGATCTATCGTGAGTGATCATGTCCTTAATTATCGTCGTCACTGTGTTTTGCAAAGCATTGATATTACGGAGAGAAATTTGATGCTAATCACCCTTAGAGCTTAAAGGGTTAAAGCTATATTTTAATTTTGATTTGCTAGAACCTGGGCCTCCAGCTGTTTTCACCAGTGACGCGGTCTATAATACACGCGTGGACTTGTCCTGGACACCACCTTGCGAGCCGAATGGCCAAATAATCGAGTACGAGATAAAATACGGGATGGTAACAACGAACACGAAAAAGGAAGTGATCGTCTCTGCTGCCAAGGAGAAGAAGATAATAAACGATTTGGAAATGTTGACTGCCTACTCGTTTCAGATTCGAGCGAGGAATCCTATGGGGTACAGCTTGCCTAAGACGTTTGTCAAAACGACAAAAGGGCCAGCAGGTGAGTGTAAAAATGCTACTTGTCTTAAAGAAAGGAATATTTAAGGTGACTCGACCCAGTTATTTTGTGGGGGTACCATCCTACTTTGAAGCTCTCTGGTATCCCCACCTTTACTTTGACCGTAAGTCTAACATATAGCATGGATAACATATAGATCAATCTACAATATAGCATAAACTTTTTGGCGATCGGAGTAAATGTCGCGTGGTTATAGTGCCACGCCTCGTTGGAGTCTGTGTCGAAATTCTGCTGTTGCCAGCATCTTTTTCGTAAAAATCTCTCGGCTACATGTAGTGCGCATTAGTGCCTTACGTTGAACAGAGTTTCACCAAAATCGCAAAGACCCAATGCGAGAAATTCAGCGGTTTGCAAATTTAGGTCATAATTTATGTGAAAATGATAAGCAAACTTTACACGATTATATCTAATAAACTACGAGATTTATCCCTTTATTTTGGGGATATTTATAACAGATGGGTCCTCAATGTTTTCACGTAAATTATGACCTAAATGACCTTACGATGCAAAAAGAACTCGAGCTCTTTGACATCAAGAATATTTCAGCTCTCCGATTTTCAGGGTAGCGGTTCAAGTAGCTTGTACATGAGATAAGGCATGGCTGTTTCATGTGTATTTTATGTTGGCTATTATAGCTCGTATTCGTTTAGTGGGTTAAATGTTTCGATTGTAAAATCATTAGCTTCGCAGAACTATTTATGGCTATGTAGTGAATACTCCATAATTACATTTATCGCAACGAGCTTCTATGGAAACGGCGTCTTAAACGAAGCGACCTCTTTTTCCGTTGATGGTTTTTTGCACTCTCTGTATGGTAAGATTTTAACATTACCTCCCCGCATATGAACTTCTCACGCGAGTTTTTCTCGATTTCTCACTGGTATAGTGTTCTTAAACTATTAATGTTGCCTCAGACAGGGTAGACGAGTAATTTCTCGTAAATATTAACTGTCATGTAAAATACAGCCAGTAGCACTTATCCCACTGGTTCCTCTTGCAGTACTTCCTGGCAAACCTGGTAAGCCTGTGGTTATGATTAATCCGGGATTCCTACAAGCTGTGATTAGCTGGATAAACGGAGATAGTGGCAATATTCCATTTGAAAAATTCGAGATCCAATCAAAAGTAAATGGTAAGTAAACTTGCTGCAGAGAAATCACTTAGGCTTAGACCGTTTAGAGACTACCGTCTGTTTTTCAGTGTGAATCGATTACCCTCTCCAATCCTTTTCAATTTTAAACAGCGAGTGAGATCTGGGGAGAGTTATACCTGCCCACGATATCACCCCTAAACAGTGTGTTTTCTCCCCACGGTCGAAGAGGAATATTTTTAAATTACAAATGGGCAATAATTCATATTACTATCAGATAGTTTCATTATTACAATTATTACAACAAATTAAATTGACAAGTTAACTCTCCATCAATTCCGTGCAATTTAAATGAGCATACTTAAGTGTTAAGCTAACTTTGTAAATTTTCAATGGCGTCTTAATACAGTCATTTTCTTTTTTAAAAATACGAGCAGGCAATCCGTGAACTAAAAATTAAAATCCCCGTGCAGTAGCCTGCGTAGTAAGCGTTTCCAATCGAGTTATTGCGCGAAAGTTGGAGCGGGATTCCTTTTTTTCTGCTCTCGTCCCAACGTTTCTCGACGAACTCGCGCGGAAACGCTTGCTACGCAGGCTACCTGTGCACTGTATGAACAATCCGTGAACTACTTTTGTGAAATCTCTTTTAGGAGGATCTCATTCTCTTATAGTAAACCTCTTCTAGTTTTCCTTTGCCTTATTTTCGTTTAGCCTTTTTGAACAGAAAATTGTTTATCTTACTTTTTCTAGAGGGACCTTAAAAAGTCCTTAAGTGAACTATAATCTTTGTTATGTTTTCTTACGTTGTCCTTATCCAGCTTCATCCTGCATTTATTTCTTAGGTTCTACGCAGTTTCAAACTAATTGGGAAGCAAATCCTGACGAAACTAAAAAGAATAAATCATATGTTTACTACACTCTGGGTAACCTTGAGCCGAACAGAGGATATATCTTCAGGATTATCGCCTGGAACGCAATAGGACGTTCCCCACCGTCTGACCCGTCAGATATAGTTTTTACAGGTAATTTGTTGCCAATATATTGTTTCCTGAAGCGTGGAAGGTACTGACTGTAGACTCTTGCCTTAAGGAAAGCTCTCTATAACAGACACCAATATAATTAGTATGTGTAATCAAATGGTGACGAGTGAAATTAGGGAATAATTTCACACGCGTTTTGTCCAAATCCTAATAATTTCCCGAGCCTTTAGGCTTTAGCCTTTTTTAGGATTTGGACAAAACGCAAGTGAAATTATTCCCTAATTTCACGAGTATACCATTTGATTACCTATTAATATCATGGGTGACGAATTAAGTTAGCAATCTTGGATTTTTGACATGTTTATCCTGGATCGTATCGATCGAGAACTCCACTCTCTCAAATGTTTAGACCTTAAATTTGGCTTATAAAGTTCAGAATTTTTCAGACTTTTTCGGCAAAATACCTGTTAGAATCCTTCTTGATGTTCTCCTGTGTGTTCAGGTTTTCTAAAGCGTCTTTTTGTGCCCTGACATCTTCATTCACGGCATTTTAAAACTTCGTCGCCATCTTGACACTGAGACGTACGGAAGGTTGCCATGGCAAGTTTGTAATTTCACATGTGAAATTACAAATTAACGCTGAAATTTCGCGCCAAAATTAAGGAATAATTCGTCACCTATAATATTATGGCAGTTACACTACTACATGAGAAATTTCTGCAATCTGATTGGCTTAGAGCAGTGGTATTTCAGCTTAATTTGAAATACCTACATATGAAAATTACAAACCTTTTGTGGGTAGTAATATAAACAAATAGTAGCATGATTTGTACATGATGTTTGGCATAAATACCACTCGTGATATTTCAAAATTGTCTCAAATTTCACTCGCCTAACGGCTCGTGAAATTACGTATAACAATTTTGAAATATCACTCGTGGTATTTATGCCAAATATCACTACAAATCATGCTATTAGCTATACTAACTACATCCCCAGCAAAACGAAATTACAGTTGTTTGACTGAAATAAACTTGCGCTGTTAGAAACTCAAGCTATAACGGATTTTAAGCAATGCTCCCCGCCCCCGTCCGTGAGTCCGGTCCAAGCGTCTGCGACGGGGACTGCGCATGCCATCCGTGGGCCTTAGAGGGATTTCCACTGTTACGTAATTGTTTCGTGCGTACGCACGTAAACAAAACATAGGTAATGTGTGAAGTGTCGCATGTAAATGTTATTTGAGTTGAACCTTGCTCAACCAGGGTGAATTTCCACTGCCGCGTAATTTTTACGTGCGTACGCACGTTAATGAAATAGAGGCAATGTATGATAGTAGGCCTCTCCCGATTGTGCTCGTAAAATGCTGGAAAGTTGCACACTGGAATGCCAAAAAGTTGCTAAAAAATTGCAAAAAAATCCAAAAAGTTGCCACCTAAATTTCTCGATATTTTTGTATAAACGTTAATTAAAAGCTTTATTTTTCGTTCTTCACAATAATTACCGATATCGGTCAAGAAAAATAGCTTGAAACGTCGCTATTTTTAATTTTAAAAAAATTTAAAAAATTAATAAACATTCAAGAAATTCGTATGAGTTGATATTTTCTATGAAATCGTCGACTTTTTCGTACTTGATGTGTGCTCTAAACCTATATTTTGCTCCAAAGTTGCTCAGAAAGGCAAAATTTGCTCGAGGTTGCTAGAACCGCAAAAAAGTTGCTTCAAACGCCAAAAGTTGCTCAAAAGTTGCCAAGGACAATCGGGAAAGGCCTATATGATAGGTCGCGCATAAACGTGAAAGTTGAACTTCTCTCAACTTCTACGTTTACGCGCGACACTTCATACATTGCCTCTATTTTATTTACGCGCGTAAACTTTACGGCGCAGGCGCACAAAAATTACGCGGCAGTGGAAATCCACCCTAAAGAGCATTCTTACTTGATTGTGCTGACTGTGCTTTCTCACCTGAGTGTCGCGCCCATGATAGACTGCAAAACAGTCGGTTTTTTTCTCAAAATCAGTAAAGAAATCGGTAAAGCGTGGCGTAAGAGTCTTACGCGCGCGAAGCGCGCGAGCCTCACACACCCGTAGGGCGTTTTGCTCTCTGTTTTCAGCCTCATTCCAGACTTTTTGTTTGACTGCGCGCGCGTACTTGAATACGCAAAAATACGGACTGTTTTGCAGTCTACGCCCATGAAGTAGCTGCCAACTCCTCGTCCTAGCTACCTACCCTGTACACTACATTCAGTTTTTACTTTTTAATCAATTCTTGACATGTTTTATCTGATTCTTGTAGGAAATGTCGATCCCGAAGCACAGGAACAAATATTTTACAAACGATGGTGGTTTATTTTGCTGATGGTGATTTTTGCCCTCTGTCTTATATTTCTGATCCTGGGTTTCATTTTTGTCTGTTACCGCCGAAGGAGAGGTAAGTAGTAGCCGGCGAATGAAGCATTATTTACTCTCACCATCACTCGTATCCCAAGGGTGAAAAGAGTCTTGTCCAAATGTACGATACAAGAAGAGGTTGTTGTTAAGTTCGCTTATCCAATGGGCAAGAGTTCAGGCAAATTATGTACAAGCAAAATGTTGCAAGTTATTTTCGAGCCCTGTATCATCATCCATTCGATTGTTTCCAGTGAATTTATCTCTAAAATCGTTTGTCGCCTTAGGGTTGGTTTCCACTGTCGCGTGATTTTTTCTAACGAACGCACTTGAAATTTACGCGCGTGAATGAAGTAGAGGCAATATGTGGAAGGCCACGCGTAAACGTGAAGCTGAACGAGGTTCGAATTTCACGTTTACGCGTGACCTTCCTTACTCTCTATTTGATTTACGCGCGTAAAATTTAGGTTGAATAAATGGCAGCTATTGCTGATGTGGACCTGCTATATAAAATTACGCGACAATGAAAATCCACCTCAAGACCTAAACGCTTTTTAGTACGTTTTTGAAATTTGAAATCTGAAGTGCAGCAAATTGGAAGGCAGGTGGGTTTCGCTATTAAGCCTTTGAGCTGAACAGTTCATTCGTTTAAGCCTTGAGTCTCTGTTAGTTGTTTTCTTAGACAGAAAATAAAGGTCTGGGATACAATGCCATGATCAATTCGAAAATTCAAATTTACCCACGACGTTTGAACTTTTGAAGGCTGACTCATTCAATCCTTTTCCCGTCCACTAGCTTAGCCAAGAATATTGTACAGCTTGGATTTAACGTTCAAATTCCCCCACTAAAAACAATCCACTTTTAGTAGGAATTAATTTTGTTCTTATGTATGGCTTTGCAAATGATACTTATGGAGGGCGTTGTTCTTTTAACAATCATGTGTCGCCGATTAACCCTTTAAGTCCCAATACCAATATCCACATGTAAATTCTCCAAACTGATCCTCATACATTTCCGTAAAGAATTAGTTGAGAGAATTTGATAAAGGATCAGGGCCGAGTTTTTTAAAGCTGGGTTAAGGTAACCCAGGGTTAGTGCAAGATTTAAGTTCAGATATGAAAGCTTAAGAATATTTTCAGTTTTAATTTTTTTTGTCTACAAGTTGATTATTGGAAGCTTTAAAAAGAACAGAGAAAATTATCCGAGAAAATGCTTTTGAACACAATAAAATGAAACCCGGGTTAAATTTAACCTCGGGTTAAGCGCTAATCGGCCTTCGAACAACTGGGCCCAGAGCAATTTCCCTGAGGTGATCAACCTATTCTCTTCATATCGGGGAGCAAGGGATGGCGCAGTGGTGAGAGCGTTCGCCTCCCACCAATGTGGCCCGGGTTCAAATTTCGGCGTCGACGCCATATGTGGTTTGAGTTTGTTGTTGGTTCTCTCCTTTGTTCCGAAAGGTTTTTCTCCTGGTACTCCGGTTTTCCCCTCTCCTCAAAAACCAACATTTTCAAATTCCAATTCGACCAGGAATCAGGTAGACGAAGAACCACTTTGTGGATGTGCTACCTCTAAATCATTGTTTACTTATTTATTTATTTATTTATTTATTTATTATAAATGGATATTGTTAGGAGAAAATAGACGTTGTTCACTCTTGGGACTTAAAGGATAAATTGTCGACGGCGCAGGCAAGGGAGTGAAAAATTTTCATCTTAACCGTGTGTTCGATTTATTTTTAGATAAAGCGCAACAAGGCTCATCTTTAGGACCGTCTACTACACAGAGCACTCTTGAAATGATGAGATCTTCGAGGAACGGAACTATCCGGAGTGGAACTCTTCCAACTGTACAAATGTACGTGTTTTTGTACGGGATTAAATACTGTTAGCTCTCTCTCCAACCCTGGGGCACTCCCTTATAAAAATGACGGATGCGCTTGTGGTACCTTACCGTGGGTGCCAGAGGGTTTTTTTCCTTCTGTAGTTCGCGGCGAAGCCGCGCCGGGACAACGAGGCCCGAATCGCTGAGGACAAAAAGTAACGTTCGTCTCGGACCTTTATCAAACCGTGCGCACAAGTTATTTCATCGTAGGTGTTAAGAGAATGGACCTCTGGAGTCATGGTAGTGTTACGGCGTACCTTAGCCTTTGAGAGGGTAAAATTTGTGGTGTGTTACCGTTCGTGAAATTTTGAATGAACGCAATATTGGATTTTGTGGTGAAATAAACTTTCCACAAAGGCAACAAAGGAACGATTACAGCTTCTTACAAGACTTAGATGTAAGGTCCAGTACAGATGACTTTGCTGAAAAATCGTTTAAACGGAAAATTGAATCGTTTTATTCATTATTTACAGTAACTGCTGATGAATTGTCCATTTATTTCTCTCCCCAGTACTTACCGGGACACAGCACCGGCGGACGAGGAAGCGAGTAGCGTGGAATCTAAAGAAGAGCTATCTGATGATAGTGACAGTGGTGTATCTGAAGTGACTTACAAACGCAAGGCTAACATTAAACTTATGAACCAAAACACCAACAGTCCCAGTCTTTCCCCGTGGAGAGACTCCCTTGGACGACCGCGATCAACACAAAGGCCGTCAAGAAACCGAAACCTTATCGAGCACACGACGGAGGAATCCGACGCTCCCGACGAGATTCCGGTTAGCAGAGGATTGAAGTCTTTCTCAGTGATGTCGCTACCGAGGGATCAACGAGATGTTCCTCCGGCTTACGACGGCCGCCGGTACATGGCAAAATCAGCTGACCATTTAGATCAAATTCAACGAGGTCGACTTCCTGCCGAGGCTGTTACATCTTTTATATCGTCTGATTACGAGCAGAGGCATCAGAAACCAGCTTATCGCGATCGTCAAGAGCCCTATTCACGGTCACGACCCTCAAAACCAACGGGTACGTTACGAACGTCGCGGGATCGGGTTGACTATAACGATGATAGCAGTTCGCCACCACAGTCTCCAACTCGTCCTAACTTCGGAAATTTCTCTTATTCGCCGAAAACAGAAATTCAGCGCAGAAGCAGAAGAGAACCGAGGAGCAGTAGTTTCCGTAGGGCGCTCCAGTTTGAAGGAAATCCTCAGGATTCTGATGGAAGCTCGAAATATTCGGATCGGGCGTCGTCAAGTAGCAACGACCACCGGGATACTAAAACGCTCGTTGATTCTCGGAATCCCCCGAGAATTCAATATGACGAAGAACCAGGACGGAGAAGACCTCCTAAACTTCAACCTCTGGTATCTGATCGATTAGCTCCTTATCCATCTTCAAGGCCCCGAGGTCCGCCTTCTCCGGGTACACCAGTATCTCCCGCACCATCTTATCACACTGTAGACCCTGTGTATGGAGGCAGAATATCGCCGTCTTATGGGTCTAATAGAGACGAACAAAGCGATCAGTCAGACGGCAGAGATCCTCGAGTGATGCACCTGGACAGGAACGCTTACAACAACGATACTTACCAATCCAGTGACCCGCATATTTCGTCCTATTCCTCCTTTGTCTAGTAACAGAGAATAATAGTTCCTTTTTCAAATTATGCACTGTTCGTTGTTAAGCCCCTAGATTAAGGGAGTGGCTTAACCCTAGGGGTAAATTGACACTCTTCGGTATTAAAGGTAGAGTTTACTTCCCCATTCCCGGCGACAAATTCCCTGTCGAATTACCGCCCCCAGCGGAATTTTGTGAGAGTCAAACGACTGGAACGTTGAAGAACGTCAATCTCTTGCCCAAGAGAGGTCTTTCTGTCCATTTTCCGCGGTAGCCCGTCCACTCCCAATCAAGGGGCTTAACATTGTTAGGTTGATATTAGTCTTAATTTAACAAATTTGTTTCGAATTTACCGGATTCGTATTCGATGCTATCCCACTGGGATGTTAAAAGATTTTTTTAACGTATAGATACGTCAGAAGACACAACCACATGGATTGGGTCCCTCCTCGTTTTCTGTGTTTATTACCTGTCAAGTCTCGCTCTAAGCGAAACCCTTACCAAGAGGTACAGACGGTCGCGTTTGTTGCGTGGCTGTTTGTTGTGACTTTTCGCTAGCCAGTTGTAAAAAGTTACATAGAGTTAGGTATAGTGTTTATGACTGCCTCATCCTCGGGCTTTTTCCAGCAGAGAGAGATGCTGGAAAAGAAAACTCAATGGCGCTAGCTGGAAAATTCCCCCCTATCAGATTTTAGCAAAAAAAAAAGGTTTGCTGTTGTAAATAATTTACTGTGCGTTGCAAAGTAGAAATTGCTATAGCTTGCTGTAGTCTTTTAGTGTCTGATAGTGTAAAAAGTTAAATGGTGGCTTTGTATTTTTGTAAGCGAGTTAATAGATATAAGTATTTTTGTACCTTTTGCAATATTGTAAAGGCTTTATTTTTTATATTCTTTCGCTAAAATTATGTAATGGTCATATCGTTATGGTTTGATCCTTGTGACTTACCTCTTAGCTGTATTTTTAGCTGTAAATAGTCTTACATTTTGTTGTGAAGGACAATCCCGTCATGTAGTTTATTATCTTTGAAGAATTTTAGGTTTAAGAAGTTAGCCATTGCAGAAACTTTGACCAGACACCGCTAGTACATTTCTCGCCATAATAGCCTCAAATTCAAAACACACACAAACAAAGTGTCTTGAATCTAACTGGTTCAAAAATTGAGGAGTCTGGCTCATTTTAATGTTATAGTTTGAATTTGTTCCAGGTTCCTTTCTGTTCCTCCGAGCGAGGAACGCATAGAAGGAACCTGGGTTAAAGATGAGACATCTGAATTTTAATTGTAAGCGTCAAAGCTTACAAATGATTAGAAGTGAGTTTAGAAAAAATAGTTTATGTCAGTGTTAATGAACGTAATCACATATAATTTTACCGTCACATTAAGATAATTTCAGACTTCGCTTCTTTTTCCACAATTGTAGTCGTGTTCTTTCGGTGAAAGATTTCAGACGCGTTCCATTCATGCATTTCTTCATTTACAAGCTTAATCAACCTGTCATGACATTTCTATTTGACCTATGGTTTGCAGCGTGAGTTTGATCGCACTCGATCACTTATTGTGGATGGCTTTTGCTGTTAATGTATGTTAATGCGTTGCGTTGTATGGTTTTCAAACAAACGGCTTGAAATGACATTTGTAGTTCAGTTTCTTGACTCTGCCAAGGCTGCTGCGAGTCAACGAGCGCCAGCATTCTAATCTCTTGTTGCACCCTCTAATCCCTAATATCAACACCTTTACTCGCCACACTAATCTCCACACATTTTTTATGTTATAAAGTCTGGCGAAACCTTGTGTTGTCACTCAAATATTTCGTTGAGTGACGACATAAGTGGTCTCCCTCGTCCTAAGAGAAATCAAAGACAATGGTTATGCAAAATTTTAGGGGGTGTACACTGAGGTGCATTATGGTTTCGGTAAAAATGTTACTACCCACCCCCTGAGGAAATAGTAAGTTTCTCCCCTCTTGTCAGCCTATCCCTCACCTTCGGGCACACGGAAAGAGACAACTTCCCATCCCGGGACTCTCACTTATGGTAGACCTTATTCCATCAAGAGAGAATGGGCTGACTCTCTCTGATCCATTAGATATTACTGAAAGTGACGACCCTCCTTACTTTACGAAAGCAGCAGCCTTTCGGGCTCGCTTCTTTACAGGGGGTCGTTACTTCGAGGGGGGGGGGCGTGGATAACGTCACAGAAGAATGTTGCGACTAAACGATTTTTCCGCCAAAAAAACTAAATTTGTGAAAAACAGTTATAAAAAAAGGATGAAATTCTTCATGCAAGGTTTATGTTACTGCTGTGGTGTTTAGACTGTGTTACCACTTGGCACGAGTTGTTCAAGCTTTGTCGCATTTCTTCTCAAATCCCTTGATTGTGTGCCTTTCTTGATACTAATTTCATAGAAACAGGGAATATCTATTTCCCTGGGAAGGGTTGTTGGGGTTACTTGGGTTAATTCTTGCTGGGCGTGTGACCCCAGCTTAGTCACCATTTTGACAAAAGTAATTTTCGCAATCACAACTTATTCACTTTCTGTTTATGCATCTACCTTAGTTATAAAGCCTTTGAATGAACTGACACATTTGTTAAACTTAATGTGGTGTAAATTTTCTATTTTTATATCCCTACAATACCCCAATTTTCTAACCCCCAAAATCCTGAAAATGTGCGACCCCATTCTTGTAACTCTTATAAAAATGCAACCCCATAATAGTCAATTTAGTCGTGAAGGCGAGACCCCATTCAACGACACACCTTCATTTGCTTATTACTAGGAAGTACCTCCCCCCCGGGCTCTATTCTACCTCCTTGAAACAACGCACCCTCAGCCGCGTTCCTGCTACACCAGATCTAATATGTCAATTTAAATTTGAAGAAAATTCCCCGTTCTCGATGAAAGTTCTTCTTTTTTTTTTAGACGCTGTGCATTGTTCTTGATGTACTCCCCTTAAGTTTCACGTGACTATTGATTAAAAAAGAAAATATACTGTTGACTCCAATAACCAAACGGCGCACAACCCACAATCCCTCAGTTCGCTGTGATGGAGGACTAAGCGCTCGAAACGCCAGCTTTTCTATCTTTCTAGGGTGATAAATTGACTTAATCAACTCTAAAACCCAATTTTTGTGCAATTTTTCCACCGTATTTTAGACCTTTAGACCAGGCACCAAACATCTCTGAACCAGAATCCTTGAAAGAGAAACTCGAATGTTCATACAACTGATGAATTTGCCATTAGATAAATGATGCCATATTCTAGACCCCCATAGCCTCCCACGTAGGCCTCTTTAGGGGAGCTCGTTCTCCATCCCTCCCCACAAACGCCTTTTTTGTGGGGAGGCGTTTTTAGGGGAGCTCGTCTTTCATCCCTGTGTGGAAGGCTAAGACCCCCATTGCCATATTTCTATACCCTATCTCAGACTAAACTGCTTGAAAATTCTATAGGAAAATTCATTACCTGACGAGGGAATTCCACGTTAAATTGCACGCGAAAACCGATATCGCACGAATCGCGAAGCGATGAGTGCGATATCGGTTTTCAAGTGCAATTTAACGTGGAATTCTCGAGTCAGGTAATGAATTTTCCTTGAATCGCATAATTGAATAAAAATCAGAAGAAAAAAAAGAAAACAGCAATAATATCTATTGTTTGTTTTTATCCTGAGCGCGCGCTCCAGAAAGCCATTTCAAAGTCAACTGTCAGAACTGTCATTGCGTTAGCGAATAGGAAGCAAGGTCAGTCGTACACGTTTGAACCTTCAATAACCTTTTTTGTACCTTGTGCTTGTTTTCACATTTGTTTTCAAACTTTTTTACATGTAAACAAGCTTCACACTAATCGTAAGGATAAATAGAGGTATTTTACTGAATTTAGAAGCCGTTTATGTAGAACGTCTTTTTTCAAATTGGTCATTTGCTCGAGAAGGAAAATAATTTGCACCTTTTACCTCTTCGGCGGCAAAACTGAAAGAAATCAAGTGTCCAAGCGAAAGCACTGAAAGTTTAACATGTTTAACGTCGCGATTGACATAAGGTAAGTACCTTGAAATGTTTTAGAAATGCTGTTCAAGTTCAGCTCTGTTTTGTACTTTTCTAAGTACCACGATTCAGGACGATTGCAAGCGGCGTACTCTTTTTCGTGTTTTCAGGGGCCATGTCCTCTTTGAAGGTATTTATTTCTTCTTCTGTATATGGGACAATCGACCCCGGCACTTCCTCCGTTGTCGCTTCTCCGTTTTGTTTAGTTGAACTTTGGATTGCCATTTTCTGGACCTTGTTCACTGGATTTTCTTGTTTTCTGGTTGTCGCGAGTGAAAGAGGTTTTATGTCTCTTCGAGAATCTGTAGTTCAGTTCAAAACAAGGAAGAACCTCCGGCTCACTTTAAAAAACGCTTTTGTTTGTTTTTAACTCTTCAAAAAGTGACAATGAATGGTTTTGAAAACATTTTAAAATGACATTGTAGAAAACCTTTTGTTGTTGTTGTTGTGTTAGAATTTGACGATAGTTGTTACGTAGATGCGAAACAATATCGCTTAGCCTCGTTTTCAACTCGTAATTCCACACTAAATACCTCGCTTCGTTAACCAATCAGAATGCGAGATTTTACTTAATTATGCGATTCTACCTTACATAGCCCTTCATACTGACCAATAAATCGTCCCACACTCCCTTGATCAGGCTAATACTCTTCTGTCTGTCGGAGAGAGACTGAGGACTAGTCCGTTGAAAGGCAATGGCGTACAATGTAACGTACAATGGCGACGAATTGTAGTGTTGCAGAGATTTCAGCTCCACCTTGGATCGCAGAATTTTTCCACTCTTTTCAGCATCGTAATTTTGATTTCCAGAATGTTTCGTCGGTTTTCGCTCCCACGATTCCCGATTACCAACAGGTTGGTATGCATAAGGTCGAAAAATTGTATTTTTATACATTTCTGGTGTGGATCGATATCTGTTGCTAATATCTTCAAGTGTCTTTGAATAAGATGCTTTACATTTTTTATGGATTGCATTGAAACTAACAGCCATTAAAATGGTTGCAGTATAATGTGTCTCTGTAAAATCGTCATAGTGAGGTTTTTTTTGTAGATCACAGACTTCACACACGCATTACGTACAGCTCTTTTTTTGGCATGCAGCAAAAAATTGAGCAACTTCAGAATAACCCGCCACTTATAGGAACGCTTTAACACAATAGGCAATTTTGTTATTCAACGAGATGATAAATAGTGGCAGGATATTCTGAAGTTCAGCAATAAATTTCGCCCTACTGACCTGTTCTAAGTGTTTTTTATTGCGTGGCTCACAAAATGTTCGAAACTTAAAAAACTGATCGAGTCATTTCCTGGCCAAAGTATTAATAATTATTTTCAATATTTCTCTTTCTTTTATTCATTGACAGGCCTTATTCCTCTTTGCCGCAGTTCCGTGTCTGTTTGCTGGCCTAGTGTTTCTCATTTTCTGTGTCCATTTCATAGCTAGCTGGTGTTCCTGTGACAAACAGCATAAGCCATCAGCCAAGTGTGTGAAATTCCTTAGATGTGTTGTTCTTTTAGTATCAGTTTTGTGCAGGTTAGTGATCATTCTATGTCAATAGTAACGATGATGTAATTTATATAGTAAATATTTATCTCACTGTTGTCCACATAGCCTGCGCCACAGATAAGACTAAACTCTGGTCAAGTCCATCTGCAAAACAGTGCTGGAATCATTTTTCTGGGTCCCACCTGTGTTCCCAGACTTGAGTACTTGCCATGATTGGCCTGTTAGAAAAGCCATCGTCATTTTGCCAATCAGGATGAAAGGAAATTCAAAATGCATTTCTGGTAATTAATTTGTTGAATCCCTTGGGGGACCAGAACAAGGATATTGGTGCTGCTTTGCAGACGTTACCAACCCAGGTTAAATTATGTCTGTGACACAGGTTATTGTCCACACAATCTCACAAATCTGTGATTTGAACAGTAAAACTGTGAGGACCTTCTACAGTGTTACACTGTATGTAAATACAATTCAGAGAGGTACAGTTGAACCCTGCTTTATGGACACCCACCTATTATGGGCATCTCATTATTACAGAGAGTTTTCTTAGTCCATGGAGAAAGCCCTTGCATTTTCTCTAAATTCAACCCACCTAGTAAGGACACCCATTAATTTAAACAATGGAAATTTGTTTTTTGTGAAATCATCAGATTCTCATAAAGATACAACCTCACTAATGTTGAGATGCTTTAATGTCGACTGTGTGCTGTAATAAACCTTTCCTTTCTCGAGGTAAATAATGCTGTTGTGCAATCAGCACCTCGCCCATCATTTTACTTGTCATGCAAGAGTTTCTCCTTGCATCTGTAACATATCCATCCCAACAGGGATCTCTTGATTTTCATTTTTTTGGCTCAGATATGCCTCATTCATTGTTGAAGGAGTTGCTGGAATATATATTAAATTTATCCTTCAGTGGAACAATGTGAATAAACAATATATTAACTGCAATCCTTGTCTTTTTCTGTTTCAGTGGATTTGTCATTGCAGCCTTTGTATTTAATGATACAGCAGATGAAGGTGTAAAAGGAGTTTTGACAGCTGGCCACAATGCCAATAACACACTGTTAGAAATCCAGTCAAAGGTAGTTTAGTACCCTTGACATTTTGTCTGTCTTTTGAATATACTAGCTTATTTTTATCTGTTGAAACCTCCTAACTACTGAAAAAGGAAAACATTTTAGTGAAATTACAGGGATGTAGTGAAGGACAAGCCAAGCAGGCTTTTTTATTAGTCCAGATAGCTTTTGTACTTAACTGTACCTTCAAAATCACTCCATGTCTTTCTTTCCCAAAGCAATTTGAGTCGGTGGTAAGTAGTCTTTTTCAGCCAATGAACAAGCCGGCTGCAGCAGGCTCTTAAGCTGATGTTACACAAGACAATAATATTATTCATAACAATGATTTTTAGCGCAACACAGTGTCGCAACATTGTTGCAACATTGTTTGGAATGGCTACAACATTGTTCCAACATTACAATACTGTGTTGCTAAAAATTGTTGTTGCGAATTGTGCTGCGTAACATGGCCCTTAGTGTTATCCCTGAGATTATGTTACATGACACTAGATATCAAATTTGGTGATATGAATAAAGATCCCCCCAAAATAAAACAAAATATGTTACTTAGGGTAATACTTACGGTAACATTAAAATCAACTTTTGTTTTTTTCATTTATTCAGCGATGTGTTATTTCAAAAAATTTCTTATTTTGTGAACATTATTTTTGTCTTGTCAATACACTCCGTTCAGTGTACACAACTTAGCTCAGACCATATAACTTGATTGTAGAAGGCAAAAAAAAATCAGTAAAAAAAATTAAGGCAAAGTGTAAGTTGATATTATTTAAAGCTGTTTAGTTTATGACAATGTTATCTCAGCAATAACTGTAACATCCTAAGATAAATTCTTATAAGCTCAGAAGAGCTTAGTAGAACTCCAACCTTAACAGTTTTTTAGAGTTATTTTTTAAAAAAAATATGCTCAACATATAATAATATTTAAGAATTAACATTAGACCACCAGGCAGTGTTTTCAGAAGAAAGTAGTTTTCCAGTGATAATGCATTTTTCTTGTGTAGGTTAATTCTATCAAGGATGACCTTGTGGATCTGGATAGTAACATTATTGACGTACAGAACTGTCATGGCGTGACTGATGCCGCACAAGCATTGATTCATGAAATTAGGGAATATATTGGAGATGTTATTACTACCATTGTGAAAATCAAGAAAGTCAGTATACCACCTTATGGGGATTATGTTGAGGACATTGAGTATTATAGGTAATAATAAAGAGCATATGAAATTCATCTGATTAGAGGATTTAGTAGAGCCAATGATTCATTAGGTAAGACGAGGCGTTAGGTCCTTGAAAAATTTATCTCGGGCTGTGCCCTAAAACTTCAACTGCTACAGTCTTTGGTCTTTACTGTAGTAGGCAAGTTTTTTTTATCTGTTTTAAAACAGAAACCAAACCAAAGTAACCTTATTTAATTAGGATGACCCTTGACAATAAAGTCGTTTGTCAGTTCGTGGGTTAGTCAGATATCAGTCTGCCCATCCATCGGTCAATCCGAGGGGCTGGTAGTGGGGGGTGGGGGGGGTGGTTGAGGGGCTACTCACTTGAAAGAACGGATGTGGCCCTCTAACCATCCCCTGCTAGTTGGAGACACTTTCAAGATCAAATTTGGAATTTTGATGTTTAAAGACAGAGGAAACTGGAAAACCCAGAGAAAAACCTCTTGGAGCAGAGAGGAGAACCAACAATAAACTCATCCCACATAATGGTGTCAATGCAGGAATTTAAACCCAGGTCACATTAGTAGAAGGTGCTGCCCAAAGGTTCTGCCACTCGTGGAATCCTAAATACATTATCCTTTACTTTCAGTATGTTTGTTTCCATAGTTCCAACTCTATAACCCTTTCAGATTTGAATGTTTAGCCAAGTGCTACTACTTTTCTCTCCCACGCAGACAAGACATTAGTGTATGCTTTTATGACATACCTCTAATATACACACACAAGCAACCCTTCTTCCTTCATTAGTTTAGCTTGTCATGCTTCAAATCAGCTGTGAGGAGTTACTTGTGCTACATATCCTTGAGATTCATGGAAGGAGTGCAGCTAGTTGAAGTAACTTTCACTCTGGTTAACGGGAGAAGGGGCAAGTGCCTGGGAAGTAAATATTTTGTCGCAATTCTTGCCTTAGTTCTTTCATCACACAACTCAGTGTGTTTTTTATCAGTACAGTTGCTCAAGGATCAAACGTGACAACCCTGTTATGCCACAAAATTTAATAATTGCCACAAAATCTAATAAGAATTGCTGCAAACTGTAATAGCATTAATAAAATTTTCAAGTAAAATGTAACAACTTTTCTAATGCCTAATAACACAAGATGCAATTTAATTTTGGAATGACATGCATGGTGTTTTGAAATCAGTATTGTGACTCAGTAATCAGTGGCAGATCCAGGACTTTAATTAAATCATAAGTAAGTTATTATTATAAACTATTATTATTATTATTAGAAATGAAATAACAGTTACATGCAGTAATTATTATATTTTGTGGCATATCAAACCCTTTGACTTTCAGCACAAAGAATTTAAACATTCTCAGTCTATGCTTACCATTAACTTTTTCTTTGTCCCTGTAGATGGTGGGTTACATTTGGTACAATGTGTTTGAATACACTCACAAGTTTGTTGATGATCTATGCCATTTTAAGAGGAAGTAGATGTGGATGTATTCTGTAAGTTTTTATATGTTCTTACTACATATCCATGTTTTATGCGCACTTTTCTTGGAATAATTAAGTGTAAGCAGTTTTGTTGGACTTGACTGTCTCTCTTACTAAACTCTAACTTCCACTGACATAGTTAATTTTAGCTCTGACAAGGAAAATATTGAGCATATGATTATAACTGGATTTTTGAAACCTGAGTTAGCAAAAAAAAAATCAACTCATTCTACTACTTGACTATTTAAAACAATAAAAAACCATTCAAAGGCCAATTAAAATCATTTATCTGATGCGGGGGTAGTAAGTCAGTGGTCCCAAGAAGCATTTCAGTGAGTCCAGATTTAAAGTGATGCAAATTTTAGAACATTTTATTCAGTGATGTGACTCCGTGAAGTTTCAAACTGGTGTCATTTGAGTCTAGAAATTTTTAAGTTGAGTGAAATGCAGCCAAAAAGTGTCTGGTTAAGGCTTACACAACAACTTAAATAGTTAGCAAAAGTCTATTTTTTTCACTGTCTGAATTTTGCGTGGAATAGACAACAAACTGAGTGAAACATAGTGCACAAATTTTCACCTTCTTATCTGCAAAAACTGTCAAGAGCCTGCTGAAACTAGACCTAGTTCCAATTTTCCTGAGTCAAGAATAATTGGTTTTCCAAGGCACAATCAGCTAAGCTAAACAGTAACGAAATGTTTTTATGGCTGGCACAGAATATTTTGGTGCAACAGCTCAACCACGCGACCAAATACCTGAGTTCTGCCTGTCAGCACCATGCAGGAATCACACAGTCACACACTTACCTGGCACTGATATAACCATCCACCAAATTTAACAAAAGTGAAATATCATTGAATAACTCAGAAAAACTCAGCCTATTGCAGATAAACACCTCTAGATTTTTCTGTTACACTCGTCATTATTCAAGTTCCCAGATGCACAGTCACACGGTCGGCATATCATATTAACTTTGTCCCATCTCAGAGCTTTACATGATGCTCTCCAGTAAACTTTTCTCAAGGTGACCGATAACGAAATATGAACTGCTAAACGACACCAAAGCCAGCTTTAGGTGCACACTGATTTCAAGTAACTGTCACTTGTGTTAGACAGGGAATTCTGGGTAGGGACAGAAAAACACCCTCTATGAAGGGAGGAAGGACGGTTTAGAAAGAGCACGAATTCGGGAAATTTCCTCTACAGCCACTTCTACACAAATCCCTAACCACAAAACAACCAAAAAAAAAAATGACATGAGCAAACAACACAGTAAACAAGCCAAGACAGGGGAAGTTGAGAGAAATTACAAAGTGTTTGCTAACCCAGTTTTCATAAATCCAGGTAGAATTATTCCCAGTTTTAATTAAAAAAGTGTAAGATCAAGCCACAGTTTAAATGCTGTTTGATTTTTGTTGTCCTCATATTTTACTCCAGCTTTCCAGCAGCTCTTTCAGTTTGTGGCTTTAAATTTGTATGTATTATACAGGGTGCAAAGAAAATCAATTTTACAGCTTGCCATTTGGGCAAGCTGAAGCTACCATTTACTAGCCCAGACGTCATTTCATCTTACCTCAAAAGCTTCGTTATGAGCAGAACTGGCTGATTTCACAGTTCTTCTGTTATTCGAATTCCTCAAAAAACATCACTTGCCCTTCGGGCAAGTTAAAAGCAGGATTCACTAGCCCAATAGCAAAATCCACGAGCCCCGGGCTATCAAACACTACTTTCTTTGCATGCTGGTTATAGTTTCTTAGGAAGTTATTGATAGATCTGTTTTCTTTTCATGTCATTATTAGACCGTAGAAAATTGGCCACCACTTTACCTTTTGTTTGGACTTTGACATGCCTATAACCGCTGAACAATGTGATTGCTTTTACTTAATACTTTTTACTTTAATGCTTTTACTTAGAGCTATTTTAGGTGGAACATTCAGTCTTGCCTTGGTCTGGTCAGGTGTTGGCGTCGATTTGGCTGTTGCAGTCGTAAGTATTTTTGTTTATTGATTTTTGGGACTTGATCGATGAGTTTATGTGGTCGGCATTTCCAAACTCATAAACATTTGTTTTTGTTTTCCTATGTTGCCTTTTTTAAGGGGATGTCTGATCTTTGTGTTAATCCTAAAGAAACTGTGTACTTTTACATCAAGGATCAGTCCACGTTACAAAAGACTGGTAAGGGTAATAACATTAAATTATTATTTTATATTATATACCAGTATAATTGTTATATTATGTTATAATGAATGATATCTTTTATTCAGGCACTGATAACAAAATTTTAATTTGCTAGTTTAAAACATAATTTTTTGACATATTAAGCCATCAAGAAGCTGTGGAACAGAGTGGAAATCTCTTTTTTGCCTTTTTACATGCCTATTCATGATTTGATTTATTTTAATACTTTATTGTAATTATGAGTATTTTTGGCTACTCATGATCTGGATTTAAATTCTTAGTTAGCATTATTGGAAACCCTGTGCTTGTTGCAAGCTATGTTCTAGCTACATGATTGCTTAATGTAACATTGGTACCTTATTCATAGAGTTTTTAAATTATATGCACATTATAAATTGTCATTTATCTTTCCCTAGCTTTAAGGTGTAAATTTTTATTTTACAGTAGTTTCGTCTCTCTAAACAAGCTTAAAGCAAAATAACTTTCAAACTGAACTTCATCATTAATTTTCATGTCCTATTTAAGTTTTCTATTATAATATATAAATTATTTTACAGGAATTGTTAAGTACTATATGGATTGTCCTCCTGGTGAAATAAATCCTTATCAAAAGGTCAGTCAAGTGTTAATTTACATAGTAACTTTATTTATTTTAGTAGTAATAGAATACTGGCTCGTGGTTGCCGTTAATGCAAGTACTTTTCTATTTAACAATCAACAAAATAGCTCTTTATTCATTTGGCTATTTGTAGCTGACACATGCAATAAGTGTACGTATAAACTCTAGGGAGTTTTAGGCGTGAGAGAAACGTGAGGGTCATGGTGCGTGAGGCGCCGTGGCATGCCCTCCCTCCTCACCCCTAAAACTCCCTTTCCCTTCCCTTTCAAATGCCTGCCACGCAGGCTAGTGTAAACTCTTGACGTCCCACTTATTACATTATGCTAGACTACATGTCTCTTTTACGTAACACTTCTTCATTCATTCATTCATCAGCATTCATTTGTTCACCTGTTACCCCGTTCACTTATTGACTCTTTCATTCAGCCTTTTATTCCCATAATATTTATTATTGGTCAGTCAGTCAGTTATTCATTTATTTGGCCTCAAACATGAGCCACCTGGGTTAATCAAACTTAAAAGAAACTTTATTGATTCAAGATTTAAAACCTGCGTTAAATGAAATTGTTGGCAGTGAAAAACGTTTTCTCAACTAGCATCATATATTATAATTACCTGCAGACTTCAAATTGAATCTGTTACGTCATTTGTTGTCATCAGTCATTGTTTTTACCTGTTTATTATGTTCCAGTCCTTTTCTAGATGTTTAAATTTTACTGTTATCTTTTTGACCGTCACTTCTGAAGATGTATAACCTGAGATCAGGCTCTATTTTTGTTTCGCTTTGAAAATTACAGCCGTTAGAGAGAATGTATGAGACCGCTAAAATTGGGCCTGATCTCAGGTTAGAAGATTTATGTTGTTACATACAAAACATCAAGTCTTTAAAATCTTAGTTTTTTGCAACATGCGTTGTTTCATCATGTTTGTTACTGCAGTTTGTGTTTAATGTTTACTCAAGTTGAAAGGCCGAAGAATAGGAGTGTTTAAATAGTTTCTCTGGGATAACGTTTTTTTTGTTTTTGTTGTTTTTTCCTGATTTAGCATGCTGATAAAGCCAGCGAAGTTTTAAACGAAACTTTGACTGTATTTTCAAGGTTAATGCATTTGGTAAGGAAAGTTAAAAATATCTATGGAGCTAGATTAGTTTGGCAGCAATTTTGTTTTAAGCTCCACTGTTGTATTCTGATAAAATCAAAGGCTCCTATAATCCATCCCTGTGAACTTATAGTGAAAAAGACAAAGAGAACAGAAAATGGTTAAGAAAAAAATGGCCTTTATAGCCTCAATCTTACATTGCAAATCTGAGGACTTAGCAGGACATACCAAAATGAATAAATAAATAAGTAACCTTCGTAATTGCTCCCAGAGAAGTTAACCGCCATTCGAGTGACAAGGCTATAGAAAGTTAAAACCAACACTTTACACTTGACCTATGAAATTGCCCCTCAATTAATGTAATTGAAAGATTGCCAGCTCTTTTTACCTAATAATCCAAACAAAAGGATTAGTAAGAGAAAGAAAAGTTTTGTGGTTTTGAATGCGCTCACTATTGCTCACTTGCGGCTTTGTGGAGTCTAAAACAAGTTGGCTCTACCTTGGGTTTCAAACTTTTGATAAAACACCCCTGATCGTTTTTTTCACACTACCTAAAATGTTTTAACCTGGTGTTCTTTTATTTGTGTGTTGACAGGGATTGAAGTTAACAGAGGATTGTCAAGAGGAACTTTTAGGCTGCTATGATGACCTGAAACAGACACAAACAAGCCTTTCGGTTATCATGAAAAACTTGAATTGTACATATACACATCAGGTTAGTAGAAAACAGCAATGTTCAGACACGTTCACTTGGTCGTCCTGGGCTAATCTCCCGCCCGCACTGATTTTAAAGCCAATTGGGTGCGGAACATTCAGTGGAATAGGCGGGGTTTGATTTTGAGTTTCTTGGTCCTTAGATAGAATATTCTTTTTGGTATTGTGGTCGTACCACAGAAATAACTTGAAAGTGGGAGATTTCTTTTGTCTGTGAGAATCTGATTCATGGAACAAAAATGCTGGTTCAGAATGCTAGTTGGTATTCTTTACTCATACTTTTTTGTTGCTTTTCATACAGCAATTTGAGAGTGCTCGGTGTTTCATATGCAGTTATATTGTGTAAGTAATCCTCTTAATTGTGGTTCGTTCTAGACGAAAATGAAACGGAATCGTAATTACCAAGAACCTTTGGGGAGTATTTTTGAATTTTGTCAAGAATTTATATTATTCGTATCAAACAGTCTACCTAGTGTTTCATCCTATCTGCAGTCACCTGGAAGTCGACCTTAACTAACTCGGCCGCGCTTTGAATTTACAGTCTATAGTTTGGTGTCTGAATATCGTGTTTTTAAAATATCTTACCTCGTTCTTTTGGACACATCCCAACTTTATAAGTCTATTTGAATTTAAATGTATTTTTCTCATTTTTCTGTTTGGCCCTTCTGTGTTCTCCAAATAACTCTCTTCTCCTTGACGGGTAAATTTGCCTGCGTGAAATATGTCAGCCGAGCGAAAACTGGGTCGGAGATAGAAAGATGAAGCTCCTCCCCAGGCTCCCCTCGGCTCGTTTCCTCTGTCCAATCACAACAAGCCTGTCCGTTTACTTTAGTTCGCTTACCCGACTGCAATCTATTGGAAATACTGTGTTTCTGTCACTACAGGCCAGGCATGGCTGAACTGCTGTTGATGACCCTGATCATTGGCTGTTTACTGATCATAAATCTCACTTTAGTGCTGCCCATTTATCTCAGGTAAGTTGCAGGTTGTTGACCTTTCTGGAATAGTACGAGGTGTACATACCCTGCTGGGGTGTCATAGACTTTTCATGCGAGGTTTCGGGTGGCGTCGGCCTTCGGCCGACTCCCGAAGCATCTTGCCGCGTGGTGTTCAGTAATTGGCACAACAGTCTGACAATTCTATTGATACAACTGTATTAAACTGAATATACTTTTTTTTATTAGAATTCCAAAACATCGAAGACGAGGAAGTATTTTAGACATGTGTGGGTAAGAACAATTTGTTAAACCACGGGCTGCACAGGCTTACCAGCTCCTTTTCTGGTTACGAATGGAACATCTCAATGCGAGTTTTCAGCAGATGAAAATAAACTGTTGCAAACGCTCAAAAATAACAAGTGATTCAGCTTTGTTTCAAGTACTACGTTGCCAACAGTCTTGACGCTTACAACGACTTAGTACCAGTTCTCTTTTGTCCCTTCACGGAAGAATTTATTTCTCTTTAATTTTTATTTTGCAACTCAATGCACTCACACTGCATGCTTGAGATCTGTAGTTTTGTTTTCTTTGAAGTTAGGGTATCAACAAACCTTTCTGATGGTACCGTAGTAAAGTATGATTAAACATTAACTGTATACTCCGCGCTATATCGTCAAGCCAAGAGAAAAAGATCATTAGCCAGCCAAGCTAAGGAAAAACGTCCCCCTAAAGATATAAAACTTGCACTTACCTTACGTGATTGGTCATGTTTAAAATAGCTAAGTTTAAGAAGGTACTTCTTCTTCCCTTGCAGCTCAGATTCACCCATTGGAACTCCTTACCAGTCCATTTCGGACGATAACAACAGAGTGGAGACTGTTCCCCTCATTCCCAGTGCTCCTCCGGTGACTACGGTACTACTTTGTTTTTGGTTGCTTTAGTTAAAAGAATCCTTCAGAATTATGTGATGTTCGTTCTCCATTAAATAACTTCAGTAGTACCTTAGTTCAACGGAACTAGTTGGCACACAAAGTTACTAAACCATAGTTATTGTCAGTTTTACAAAAGATAGGCTATACTTTCCGTAACTTTGTTTTATCATTCAAACAGTATCTTTATTTCGCTTTTGTTGTTGTTTATTTGTTTGTCTTTGTATTTGTTGGCGAAACTCGGAGCTGCCGTTGTCCCCCTAAGACGTTATCCAAACTTTGTATGATCAGAGCATTTTTCGCATGATAGCAGTTTTTCACTTATGTGCATTTGCATACCATTCTACGTACGCAGTTAAGTAAAATAAAGTAGTTAACTTTAATTGTGACGCAAATAGCTCTTAACCAATCAAAACCTCGGGAAAATGATTTTTAAGATAAACACATTGTTTCCACGAGAAATTGTTTAAAACTTCTATTTTATTTGCTTTAGTACAACTCGACAAACCATCGATTATCAGCGGAATTTCATTCATGCGAGGAGTCAGGAAGAATAGGATTCTACAGTTACGGAGGTACTCCCCCAGTCCCTCCTCAGGGACCCTCTGCTGCCACCACTCCGGTGGTGAATTCTGGACGTTCCAATCCCAGCATTCCTAGCACAAGGGGTCCGATCACCAGCATGGCGTTTTAAACACGAAAGAATCAAATGGTGAATTTATTCAGGCTATGATTTATTTATTGTACGTACTTGTGTTACTGATCAAGCGCGACCCTGCACCTTAAATTACAGGTGAAAAAATAATAATTACAATAATAATAATTTTTTATAAAAATAAATCGTTATGAACAATAAGAAATGTTGAAACCGTCAGAGTTGAAAGCAGTGTCAGTTGGAAATTCTGGGCATTTTAAAAAGTAGCGGGCTTAAGCTTAGGCAACAACGACTGCGACGGCAACGCGAACGTCAAAAATCAATAGGTTTAATAAGCAAAACAACAATTCTGCGCTTGCATTACCCTGATTAATGTATTTGCCGTAACTAGACAAGAACGAAGTGAAATTTCCTATTTTCACATTTAATGGATGATGTAAACAAAGGGGGACGATTTTCTTTTACTGAACCTGAATACTATCTTTAGAACCTTAATTCAGTCCAGAAAAATTCGTCAACATCGACAAATTGATTGAGATAAAATTAAAATGATGAAGTTTGAAAAAGCACGAATTAGCATTTCACTGACGCTTTTGCTGCCGTCGTCGTTGTGTTTTTGTAGGCTCCCTACTATTACTCCGACTCAGGAGATCAAGTCGGAACTTTAAATTATTCTTTCAGCTACTCTCAGTACTTTTCTTACACTAAAACTTCAGGGGCGCTTACAAGACCTTCAGTATCGCGCTAATTTGTTCAGGGCATGAAGAGAGGTGATATGTAGTCTTTAGAGCGCTTTCCGGCATTCAACCAAAACTTTCGAAAACTTGGAAACAGCGGAACAAATGTTTCGAGAATTTGGGTATGCCTCGCGAGGTTGTCCTCTGTTTGGAAAATTTTGAACAATGCTGTTCCATTCGCCACTGGCAGTTGCCGAAAATTCAAAGCGGACGTTTTGGTTTGAATGGAAGGTGCCCTTAAGGTACGGAAAAACGGGCGACAAAAGACATGAAACTTTTTTTGCAACATTGCTACAAAACGAGTTGCAAAGCGACGTTGCGCGTTTTACCACCCTCGTGGAACCTGTCTTGCACCAAGTCAGGTTGTTGACAGGTTTGAACGTGTGTGGTAAAACGTGCAACATCGCTTTCCAACTCGTTTTGCAGCAATGTTGCAAAAGAAGTTGCATGTTTTTGATTGCCCGTTTTTCAGTACCTTTAGTTGTTAATACGCCTTGCTGTTTTGTTGCTAGAATTTTGCGAACAGCGCGCGGTCTCATTGGTTACTTCGAGGTCACGTGACATCGCACAATTGACGTCAGAGGGTAACAGGTCAACTATTTAAATGAAATCACTCTTTTTCAAAATAGCTAACAAGTCTGCTAACTTATAGTACGATAGTACCATGTGAAAGTACTGCTGAAGAGGTTTCATTTGAAGGGTCACACCATAGGATTTCATCCACAGACTCAAAAGTTAGAATATATTCCACACGTCACCGAAATAGATAGTGTGTGAGTTAAGTGTTCTAATAGTGGGAAAATCTTAAGTCCTGCTGGCTTTTTAGTCTATTCATTAACCACTATGCATGCCATTGGTCAAATATTTAAAGGAGAAGGTCTGTTAGCGCCGTTCCTGGAATTTTTATTTATTTTTTTATGTGAGTATTAATATAATTTATTGGTTTTTAAAAGAGAATGCTTGGTATATTACACAAAGATACAAAAGTTATCCCATCAGAAAACAGAAGTTGATTTTTTGCCAGCTATTAAAAGTGTTTGTATTTAAATAACGGCAGAAGAGAGCTTTTACAACTTGAAGCTTTAGGTGACAAAATACGGTGATTTGTATGTAATAGTAGACCCAAGACTCGACCTCATTTCATTGTTTGTGCCTCACTCAATGAAGTAAGAAAATTCACTATTTTTATCAATTTGTAAATAGATAAAGTTGATTTTTGATTAAAATAGTCCTTTCTTGTCAAACAGTCTCAGTCTGTGTATATTCTTTTTATCAACAGTTACCCCTCTATCATTTGACAAACCATTATCAGCAAAACGGGTGCATTGATGGCAGTAGATTATGTGATAAATTTCTCGTAAGCTTACCTCAAAGTGAGTAAATTGTGTATTCACCAAGTGCCGAGAAGATAACCGTCGTATTTTTTTCGCAATCAGATTTGAGTAAGAGTACAACTTTTCGAAGTTTGTAAAGCCAGTTATGTTCCAAGTTGTTCAGTTGCACTTGCTTACCGGCAGATTAAGCCCGCGAATTAAATAGGAAAAATCGTACTCGTACTCCATCTCGTTTTCGTTAGCCTTGGAGGTAAAATTTGTACCGGGCTGTTTTGAGGATTTCGTTCTCGTCGACAACCACCGCGATGACGGCGGCGAAAACGTCACTCAGAGAGTGAATTCGCGCAATTTTAAACTTGTTTGCCCTTCACTTTGTCAAATGTTGGCGACCTTTTCTGGAGTTGAATTCTAAGAGACTGTTTCTAATTTCCGAAAAATAAACGAAAGTTGTTGCCTTCTGTTCACGTCCTACAGAAATTGTGAAATTGGAGGGCTTAAACGTATGTAAACAAAAAGCATAATGCACGTGCAATGTTGTTGCTTTGATAATCCAAGAGAGCATGAGGTTAAACCAGAAACTCATAAGGGGTTGAAACGTGTAACTCGCGTTCAATGCTCATAAATATTCATTTTTTCTAGGTACCATATTTGGAAACCCTCGCTGCGGCCTCAAAAAACAGGGAATGAGGCTTAACAACAACTTTGCACTAGCATCACGTTTATTTTCTACATTTCTTTGCCGTCACCGCACGACTACTACATGAAATTATATAGGGGCCTGTTTACATGGAGGTGGGGGACCCCAGGTAGGTGAGGTAGCATGTAGTGGGTCACCCCAACCATCATGTGAACGTGATCAAATTAAAATGAGAGATTATATGGAGAGGCGGTTATACCAATTAATCATCCTTGAAACCAGACAACTCAATGAGACAACAACAACAACAATAACTTTAATCAAAGAATCTCAATCGATCCAGGTTTTTTACAAAAGATTTAAAGGTACACAACAGGCTACAACCAGTTCTTCTTTTTCCTCTTTGGTTGCTGATAACGCCCTTTTGGTTTTTTTGGTGTAGCTGCTTTGAGCGCAGCTGCTTCTCTTTCCATCCTAGCCAGCCTGTAAAAACAACATTGACAAAATTTTATTGAGCTTACTTATAAAACTGATACGATGCTTGTTGGATAGCCTACGAAGCAAGCGTTTCCGTGTTGTTTCGGAGCAAAGAACGACCCAAGGAACGGGATTCTCGGTTTTGGCCGCGCGAAAACTGGAACGAGAGCCAAACTCTAGTTCCTCGCCCTATTTTTCTAACGGTCTTTCACTGCTTCTTCCACCTCCGAAACCACACAGAAACGCTTGCTATCGCAGGCTGCTTGTTGGAAAGCTACATTCGTGAATGGCAAAACAGAAGTGACTGAGCCATTGTCAGTATTAGTCCGCTTCTTGTCTCATTATCTTGCAGATATTGAAGTTTATCAGAGAGTTCTCTGTTCGTCAGCATTTAAAATTTTCTTTTCTGAGTGCAACGTTCAAAGAGGAGTCTAAGATGCATAGTAGGTGAATTGGAATTGTTGTGTCAGCGAAAACGGATAGCCAGTGTATCATTGTGAATGTCTTCTTGCCTCTAAACCTTCTAGACTAGCATAGGGACGTTCCATTTTTATCCATACCCCCTCTAAGGATTAGGGGTTTTTGAATAGGGGCTTCGAATTTTTTCTGCAAAGAAGCCGACAGAATTTGACCTTTCGAACAAATTTTTCAAAGGCGCCGACAAAGAACGAGCTCTACGGATTTCATTTTTAAAGGGCGCCGACAAAAATTTCAGGGTTCGGATTCCAGTCAACTTTTTTGGGGGAGGGAGGAGGGGGGGGGGGGGGGGGGGGCGGTTGGTGCGAATAAAAGATGGCCAAGATGGGTGCAATTTCTAAAAAGTTTTTTTAAAAGGTCACAACTCACCTACGTTGTCGAATCACATAGTTCACGAGAAGTGAAAGGGACAGTAAAATGGAACAAAGTACACAAGCCCTGAAGATATCCAGCCAGGTAATGTCTTCAATGAAAGACTTGATGAACAACACGTAATCTGTTCGTGGAGAAGAAGGAAAAAATAACTACATGACCATCTTAAAAGTCTGAGTGTTTCGCAGACTGAGTGTATCACGAGATGTAGCAAAGTAGGCGCATAGCTAAAGCGATCCCAGGTTATCTATAACCTATATCACATCTGTATCTCTTTGTTCAAATAAAAAAATAGATAATACGCAGTGATGAAGCAAATTTGGCTAACAAAAAAGTAAATACCCGATCTATCTTTGTGAAAATAACCAGAAGATGCTGGATGACTAGGAAACGTTTACAACTTTTCAATAGCACAGTTTATACCGGTAATATCATACAGAGTGGAAAAATGCACTTCATTTGAGTGTCAATGTATTTAGCCCGAAAGTGTACTAATTGGGGATACTATTTTTACGTCTCCTATTTCTTTTCCATAGCTTGCTTACAAAACGTAAATCGCAGTATCTCTCACCTTTAAGGTACTCAGCATAGAAGACAGAAATCACTTCAGTCATGAAGTTGATAGGACTGATCAGCCACATAACTTGATCCCAGACCCATTCGACTATCCAAGTAACCATACACCAGGTTCTTTCAGTCAAGTACTTTATTCCGTCCCATGTCTTAGCAGCCAAACGCGTCATTCCATTCCAGGTTCCCTTAACCAAACACATCACTCCGTTCAAGGTTTCCTTAGCCAAACGCCTTCCTCCATTCCAGGTCGACTGAGCCTTTGAAATAACCCAATCATAGGCTTTGGCAGCTGCTGTGACTGTGATATTGAAAGACGTTTTTCCCGCGTTGGTAACCCCATTCAATGTCCAGCTTGCCAGTGCAACTGTGGCTCCTTTTACTTTGTACCATGTTTGCATCACAGACATGCGCGGTTCGGGTTCGTAAGAATTTTCATAGACATGAGGATGTGTTCCATTTCGAGGACCGGTACAGATTGGAAATTCGTCCACCTAAATGATTTTAATAAAAGACCAGACACATTTTGTTCAGTATAATTTATATTAACAATACTTACCAAAACAGTGGGTAGCAAACTGTGTTGAGCGTTTTGATTGAGAATTCCTGGCTATTCATTTGTTTCGGGATGGGAGTCAAAATGGCGTTTGGTTTCATGAGAGTTTCGAAAGACGAATTTTTAGCGATAAATAAAGCAGCTGTACCAGTACTAAAATACCAAGAGGGCGACGCAATTTGGCTTGTCAGTGTTAAATGCAACAAAACTGTGAAAATGCACTTGACAAAATATCCAACATTTTTGCAAACACTGTCCCAATTAATAAAAAAATTGATAATCCTCTTGCTAAGTGAAGTCTTGTATTTTCATTTTTTTCCTATTTAAGTAATTTGGTTGCTAAAACAACTGTTCTCGTCAGTGTTGGTGCATACCGCCAGAGGTCAGTACCACTATTCACTCCAATTTTCCTTCGAGGAATGGTTGCATACTAACATATGCAGTTACAATTTTTTTTCGAACCAAGTCCCCCCAGAAACGTTCCAGCCCACAAGGGAATCCTGGAAACACTACACTACTGTAAGGTCACCGACAACGTAGGAATTTGGGATTTCTTAAAAGCACTAAAACACTACATTAAGCTAATTAGCTGATTATTGATTAAGACACGGCTAAATTCATCTTCTGGCAGGGAGAGACATGATGGAGATGAATTAAAAACTTTGATCATTCATACCCGTCCATTATCCTGTTTACTGTGGGACGAGAACTTTACATCAGAACGTGTGTTTCCCTTGAACACCACTTTCAAGCCAACTTCCAGGGATTTGAACTTCACCTTCAGCACATATTCCTGCGATGAAATGGAAACAAAAGATAAAAAACAGTCGTTATTAAGTTAAAGCCAAATAAATAGTAAGAACTTGCAGAAGTACGATGTCGCTGAACTAAATTAAATGAAAATTCATGGCTGGCGGTTAGATCGTACTGTATTTAGTTTGAAGATGCAAAAAGTGACTTAACGAGAATTCTTACCACGGACCTTCCTTACGGATAACTCTAATGCAAACAGTCCTCTTGGTTCTAAAGATAAACCCTACCTCTCGAATACTGACACCTCTCTATTACGAGCAGTTCTTTTTAGACTTTTTAATCAAACTTCATATATTCCTTTACAATTCCGACACCGTTGTAACTGCAAACTTGGCTCCGCCCCTTGGGCGCACGATAGTTACAGTAATGGGCCTTCATGACGACAATTACAAGAAAAATACATGAACTGAATCGTTTCATTTCTCATCAACAGAGACCGTTAACAAGATAGAAAATCGAAAGCCAGCAGTTCTAAGCTTACTTACTACTACATTGTACTGACCTTTCCATTCCAAGTTCCCGCCAAACAAATCTTGCGGGCAAAATCCTCATAGGAGAACTCTGGCTCGTCAATAGAAAGTTGAATAGCTGCAAGAACAACGACAATAACGAGCTGAATAAGATTGACATTCACCGTTTCTTTCTTGCGACACAAGAAAAACCACTTGAAAGGGAGGAAATTTATGTGTGCTGTAGGGAAACCATTTGCGGCGATAATTCGTTCTAGCAAGTTTCATAACGATTTCTAACCGTCAAAGCGCGCGCACTACATTAAACGTTCTCGACTCAGAGTCTTCAGGATATTAAAATCTGCGAGACTGAACGGCTTTGGCCCCATCTGTTCAAAACTGGTCAATGACTCAATCCTCTGGATAAATTATTTTCCAGTGGATTGCGCAATTGGTTTAATTTCTTGACACCTACATACACTAACGGATAGAGCTTCACACCTATTATTTTAACATTTGGGGCCTAGAGTCGAGAATGCGCGCGTAATAAAAGAATGAAATGCGCGCGCAAATCATAATCATAATCTTGTCGGAGTTTACCATGGCAACCTAGACATGTTTTGTCTTGGAAAAAAAAAACTCTCCACCCTCGATCCCGCCCCCAACACACAGTACAATATATATATATTTTTTTCTTGTTCGCTTGAACACAGTGTTTAAATTAAAAATGAACAAGAAATTTGACGAAGGAGTTTGTGGCATTAAATAACTGACAAAAATATTTTTATCTAACGACACTGTCGAAAATCGTAGGTTGGAAGAACCAGAAAAATCATTTTAACACGCATAAGTAGCATTAAGTCTCACCTTCACGTTTCATAGTGTTGAACTTAACCGATAACAAAAGCAATACTGACAGCACAGTAAGCACACATAGAGACTTCCTGATCATTTTGCAGCTTTTTTCTTGTCACACGAAAAGCACAAGTATTCCTCTCGCGGAAAGAAGCAAACTGAATGTTTGACGTCATAATATGACTTAATGACGTTGCGCGCGCGAGGAGCCTGTACTTTCCATTCCTGCCCAGGGTCGCTCTGAGACTATTGACCGACGAGAAAATTTAGTAGAAGATCATAACTGATCCTTACGGCAAGGCGATGAAGAAGTAAACAAAAGATATCTCTGTTTGAATAAATAGACGTGACGAAGCTCTTGACATACGATACTACCTAGTCTCCTAAACCAATAGCAATCTATTATTTTTATTTTCATATTTTCAAACTCTTATTTGTAACGAACTTTTAGTTTTATCTTCATTTTTCTTTTGGCTCTTGAAGAAGGTTAGTTTTCAAACCGAAATATTGGGCAAGTTTGTTAAAAATGTATATTTTTTGTCTGATTGTTTTGTTTACTTTCTCATCGCCTTGCCGAAAGGCTCAATTTGCGGTTTTAAGTTTTTCTACAGGTCATTATTGTACTCATCCAGGTTTACAACTGGGAGATCCGGCACCACTTACCGGTTTGTTGCTATGGACTTGCTGATATTTTATGTTTTGAGACAATTGTGACAGGTGTGAAGGATAGGTTTAATCATAGGAAATTGTGGTAACAAAGTTCTTGACATAAGTTTGATAAAAGTAAAATAAGAACTATTACCCGCGTCCAAACGGCTTATGAACGGCCGTCGATAAATTCCGGAACATGCCGGAACATTCCGGAACATGCCGGAACATTCCGGAACATCCCGGAACATGCAAAAATAAAAATAATTTTCATGAAAAAAAAATATAATAAAATAATAATAATAAAATAATTTTTGTAAAAATTAATAATAACGTAAAATAACAAAAAAAAAACCGAAAAATAATGAAATAATCAAGAAAAAGAAACTGGTATCCTCTCTGAGTATGAGAAAACAATATTTTGTCGCAACCGATTAAAATTTGTTGGGCGAGTGAGGGTTCATGCAAATGACAGTAATGAGTGAAGGCTTGCTTCTAAATTCAAAATATATTAAAATGGGTCGCGAGGAGGGGCTTTTTTAAGCTTTCGTCACAGAGCTATCTCTTGTAATTGTTTGCCATGAGTTAATCATTTGGCGGTTATCCATTTACGGCTCTGCGACGGTCTAAAATGTCGGTGCAGTATTTCAGCCCAGTCGGTAAGTAGCTCATTTCAAGCCAACATATATAGTCTCCTTACATATAACCGACATTTGCTTACTTGAGGTGCTTTGCTTCACTTGAGGTTGCATGAATTACTTACAGACTACACTGAGACTAGGCGGCTCTGGGAACTTAAGAAGAGTATAGGGGCTCCTGTCTTTGGATTTTAGGGGACAATACTCACATTCGTAGTAGTTTTTATACTGTTTACAGTCAGCATGATATTTCAGACGTCTCCTCGAGTCGCAAGAGGAGTTTGCGGGAAGACGGCTAAAATTCAGGCTAACTGATAACTGGTAGAAACTACTGCTGCGCTACCACTGCCACTGCAACTATTCGCGGCGAATGTGAATCTTTAATTTAATTATTCAAGTCCAAAGCGACGAGCCCCTAAGCTCTTCTTACGGTGGCGAAGCCGTAAATGAATAACCGTTAAACCGCATGGCAAACATTTTCATGGACCCTCGCCCCACAAATTATTTGCGACAAAATATTGTTTTCTCATACCCGGAGATGATACGAGTTTCTTTTTCTTTATTTCTTTGTCTTTCGGTTTTTTGTTATTTTACGTTATTATAAATTTTTATAAAAATTGTTTTATTATTAGTATTATTTTATTTATTTATTTTCATGAAAATGTTTTTTTTTCATGTTCCGGGATGTTCCGGAATGTTCCGGAATGTTCCGGCATGTTCCGGAATGCTCCATGTTCCGGATTTTATCGACGGCCCTTATGAACTGCAAACTCCAGTGAAAAAAAGGCAGCAAGTGCTGTCTTTGATGGTTTTGTAGAAAGATAATGAGACTTAAGCTAGAGTTAAACGCGCAACAGAAAACGTGCGCCTTGTTTTGCACGCATTGCTGCAAAACGAGTTAAGAAAGGACGTTGTTCGTTTTACCAGCCACGTTGGAACCTAGGTTGTATGGTAAAACGCGCAAAATCGCTTTTCAACTTGTTTTGCAGCAAAGTCCAAAACAAGTTGCACGATTTTTGTTACTCGTTTTACCGTACTTTAGAACCGTGCTATATGTAAAGTACTCCAGACTTTTGACGAGTTGCAATCCATTTCACGTCGTTATCCGTAGCCAAAGACAACAGTTTATGAGTGAAGTACTTCAGTAAACGAAACCTCCCAGGTTATCACGAGCGATTCCCATGAAAAATGATCATTCGAAATTCTTCATGAAGACGAAAAAACCATATAAACCCTTTCAAATATATTTCATTTTTTCAGTTAAACTGTAAAATTCGTCATGCATATACTACTTGGAAGGAACTAATTCGAAAATTACTATGTTTGCCCATGAATATCACAGAAATCGTGAAAAATATTAAGAGTTTATATGGTTTTTGGGGAGGCTGTCACAATTTACAGTCGTTTGTATGGATCTTTAACCATGTTTCAAGAGTCATAACTTCAAGAGTCATAGATTCGCCCATGTAGAGTCAAAGACATCACGTGAATCCCTCAGGATCCCGGCTATTTTTGTAGACTTTTCATCCCTGTTCAGTCTTATCATGCAAGAGGCCTAGTAAGTCGATATCTGAAAATCGAAATTCACTAGTGCCATGCCAAAGTAGTTTCGTTGAAAAAGTTCAGTTTTGAAGACCTCATTGATTCAAAAGCCAAAACATTTGCTGCCCGCTCTGGAAGAAAAATAGTTAGAAGTATTTTTTGTAATAACAATGAAAAATGCTTTGTCGATGAACAAAAGGACGTCAAAACTGGCTATAGTCAGTATACGCATTACGTTTAGGGATGGTAAATAAACATGCAACTGTTTACCGTGAAACCTTTCAATAGTCATGTTACTTACATTTGTCTCGATTTGTCCGTGAAAGGTGTTGAGCTCTCCGATGACATTCAAAGAAATTGATCTACTTCAGGTTCAACCCGACTGCAGAAGTTATTTATGAGGACGGGCGATTTACGTAATACATCTTTGAGCAATTACTCTAATTAGTTGTCGATGCTGAACGCCGAATCAACACTGTCTCAGCACACCTCACGACATTCAATAATTACAAATTACAAAGTGTTAACAACCTGTTTCGTGATGGCGTGACTACGGAAATAAATTTCACATTTCACGACGCATGATATTTTACGCTGTTAAACTTTGCAGAACTGTTGCGAAACTGTGTGTCAAGTTATTTTTCAGTTTTTTTGTGAACATTTAAATCATGCAGTGTTCGTGAACAAAGAAAACATTTTGCTTTTCATATTTGAACCAATGACAACAGCCAGTGCCGAAAGTAAATCGTATTAACCAAATTTGCATATTGCAAGAAGTTCGTTGTTTAATACTCGACGGAAGCAGCCGGTGCACTAGAAAGCTTGTTGCTTCAGATGCGAAAGCAATGTATTCTTCAGTTTCGCCGGATAAATTTAGCATCTTTACAAAGGGATTACATTTATAAAAGCCCTTTTCATTCGAAAAATTTGCCATCCTTCAAGAAGACTGATTTCAGTTCACTTCTTCAAACTTGTCCTGTGACGGAAAACTATGGGAAACGCGGTGGTAGTTTCTTTTCGACGGTTTCGACCGAGCATAAAGTTTCGTAGACCATTTCATGTAGTTATGTTAGGACTCGACAAGAGCGGAAAAACCGCAATTTTGTACCGAAGTAAATGGAAAGATTGGAAGGAACGAATTGCCCCAACTCCTGTCTTCAACGTTGAGGTCGTCCGTCCCTATAAAGACTTACGTTTTAAAATTTGGGATGTCAGTGGAAAAGAGCATATACGCCCTCTGTGGAAAGCTCTTGTGCGCCACACAGATGCGATAATTTTCGTCGTTGACAGCGCAAATGAAGAAAGAATCGACGAAGCAAAACAAGAACTTTTCAATCTTGTCAACTGTGCCCAGATAAAAGGTGCTCCGATATTGGTACTCGCTAACAAGCAAGATTTACCGAACGCATCGGCTCCGACAGAAATTGTAAGGAAGTTATCACTTCACAATCTAAATGCGAGACATTCGTGGCATCTTCAGCCTACCTCAGCTGTTTGTGGGGATGGTATTGTGGATGGCCTTCAAGTTTTATCTGATATGATATCGCAGTGGAAAACCGACCTAAAAAACTTAAAAAGCGGACGGAGTAGGAGGAAATTAGCGGCTTCTCGCAGTTATCAATCAGTCAACAATGTTCTTTGATCGAAACTGCACTTTCCATATTACATGTAAACAGCTAAAAGCTAACGAGATCGAATATTGACAAGTTTTCCACTGATCTCTTGTTTTTGCGTTGTACGAAATTCAGTCACTGTTTTGAAGAGACTTCAGATTTACTCATTTATAATTTTTCTCTTATTGGAACACAGGTTCCTATAGTTTGTGATTACATGTCAGGGAAACTGCAATTTTTGCAAGCATTTAGTTTCCAACATTACTAACAAGTATATATGACTAACCAAAATCGAATGTATTGAAGCGTATCAATGTTGTTTTTCCAATTTATCATGCTAAAAACAATGGGTTAGAGGTGTTCAAATCTCCAGTGAATCGTCCAGTGAATGTATAACTAGCAGAATAATTTTCTGCTTCAAAACTTACGTGAATGAAAATGCCGAAAAAAAATTCTATTACACGTCGTTAGATGGGAGACTTTCAAACGATGAAGTTAGGCTTTCACGTAGCCGGCTTATTTTTTTTAGTTCACATATTCGTTGAACAGAACCGGCAACGATTGTAAACAAAGTTTGCATTTTTATAAACAACGTTTTCCGATTAAAATAAGTATGTTTTGTTTTCATATTGGACCTCTCGGAGATACAAAATCATGTGAACTTCTCAATGTCTCACTGATTCAGGTATGTTACGTTTTTTGAAAAAAAAGTAATTTTTACAAAGACTTGTCGCGGTGACGCTTTGCAGTGTTTTTAGAGTTTATTTCCTTGTATGAAACAAGATATTTTCGATAACTATCATTCTATCTGACCAGCGTCCTTTATGTTCCGGTTGTACAAAACTATAAATTATTGATATCACGTTGTTGAAACACTGGGTTTCGAACGAAATAAACGCAAACGTTCACGTTATTCAGCAAGTGAAGCCGTGTCTGTACTGACCAGGGGAGAGCATCGGAAAACTTCTGTGTACCGTTGTTTTATTACCAGGCCGATCAACTAAATGATCCCGTTGCTTCCTCAGTCACTCTAAAGAATATAGAATATTTCAAGTGTCCTTCGCTACCTATCGTGCGAGGAGCGTTACCGGTAACAGCTATTTTCATTGAAGCAGCTGGTTCACAATTTAATATTTAAAAGTGCAGACGCTCGTGTTAGAAAAGAAAGAAAATTTACCTGGCTATCTTAGAATTATCACCTCATCTACAATTTATTTTCTTGGCTAAACCTGCTGCTCCTACCACTGTAAAGGAGATGATGGTTTCAGGGGCGGATCCAGGATTTTTTTTAGGAGGGGGTGCACTCGTCTCTTCCAATAAACCACATAGTTTTTTTGCAGAATACCAGTTGTATTAGTTCGGGGGGGGGCACCCCTGCACCCTCCCCCTAGATCCGCCCCTGGGTTTATGCACGAGACGATTCGCAGCGACGGTTTTCCAGTGCAAAACAGCGTTGCAATATTGTTGGGACATTGTTTGGAATTGTCACAACATTGTTCCAACATTGTTGCTCTTAAAATCGTCTTTTGCTAGATCGCTTTTTAATTAGAAAACGTGAAATACCTCTTTTATCCATAATCTGACAGCGGCATCCACATTTCACACCTTGTATGCTGGCTTCTGAACATCCTTAATATCCGTTAATAAACTTGACTATAAATGAAAAATTTTTATTATATAAACTGCAGTGTTTTACAAGGATTTCTACCACCGAGAAATGTGATATCTGAACACACGTAAAAATACGATATTTTTACATGTGAAGATATCGATAATTTCACTGACATCAGGTTTGTCTCTTAAATTGTACTTAAATTCGTTGGTGTATCATCGAAACATCTTCGGGTTTTCCTCGAAAGTGCTCGGAAATCTTCGGAAATCTTCAGACATCTTCGGAAATTTTCGGAAATTCTCGGAAAATGTTCGGGAACGTTCGTCTGGTCTTCGGGACAATTTGAAAAATCTTCGGAAATCTTCGGAAGGTGGTCGGAAATCTTCGGAAAATCATCAAAAATGCCGTCATCAGTATGTTTATATAATAAAAAGAATATTACACGTTAGCTCGAAGATATGAATTTTATGTTCTCGTGGCAAGAGCAATATCTCACCCGTTCGCTGCGCTCACTCGTGAGATATTGTTCTTGCCACTCGAACATAAAATTCATATCTTCTCGCCACCGTGTAATATTCTCTATTTAATTTAAAGATATCAACTGTATGGTCTGTATGGATGACGAAATAAAACGTCGGTACAAGAACGACATCGGGTTGGAAACGCGCCTTGGAAAAGAGTCTCTAGAAATGCTTGACAAAAGTAACTAGGTACGAGTCTTTAACGAGACGACGAGACGATCAGAATCCATTCGGGAAGGGATTCCATTCAACAGTCTTGAAGTAAACAGCAAGAGTAATTTATGAGGAACAAGTGAATTATGACTTTTGATTTAGTTCACACTATTGGAAATCGGAAGAAGCGATTTCTTTCATGTTTTTACGCGGGGCAACTGAAAACTCGAAAAACAATTTATGGGCAAAGTTCCCCTTCTACGGACAGAGTCAGATGTCTGTTTTGTTGAACGCAAAAAGCGTTTTTTTGTGATTCGTTTTGTTGTCGAAGCCTAGAATTTCAAAAAGAGATTTCTCTCACAAAAATTACTTAAAACATCGGTTCAACGCAAGACAGTTATATGAACTATGTGCCCTAATGAGCAACTTCGACTTTCCCATAAAAATTGGCCGTTTTTATGCTGGATTTTATACGAAGGACGCATTATCCGACCACAGGTAGCCCAAGCTCGAAATATGAGCATCGGCGAACATCGGCATTGTTGCGTAACATTCGAAAATAAGGATTTGTACGGGAAAAAACCCTTTCGTTTCTTTAACGCACGAAAATGAAAGGATTTCAATAAAAAAAAACAGCTTAACTTACTTAAAATGTGTGTTACGTCTGTCCTGTGTGGTCCACGGGCCGATTTATGGCCGTTTTATGGGTTTTTATGTAAACGGTTTTCTCTCTATATAAAGGTTTACCTTAACCCTTTATATAGAGGGAAAACCGTTTACATTACAACCCATAAAACGGCCATAAATCGGCCCGTGGAGCACACAGGAGAGATGTAACACATGATTTAAGGTCTCGGTAAATGAAAATTTTAGTACATTGCTCGATTTTTTTTTATTTTTATTTTTGGCATGAGTGGGTCCTAAATTTTATTTTGGCAGGAAAAGAAAATCAGAAAGTGCTTTTTAACCCTTCTAAAATGAGCCTTTTCTGTTTCCCGCCATAAGTTGCGTGGACTTCGAGCTAAATCTTTAGAGCTGATTTTCTCTCACTATATTTTAGACACAAAAATCAAAATTCTTCGACCTCCAGTCGGGACAGGTTTTAAGCTATCGCTTTGAAACTTTCAGATATGATGGATAATGATATAGACTCAAAAAGGGTGTGAGGAATTTTCCGATTTCCCTTTGTAACTCATTTTATGTCAGTTTCTTTGCGTAAATCGCGCTCGAGATTCGACTTTTTAGTTTGAAATGCAATAATTCCGCTAATACGAGACATATGCAAATTTCCTCACACGCTTTTTTAGGTCTTTCATCTGTCAATCAGATGCAATAAAAAGGAAGTGAATATTTAGCAACGCGAAAGGGCTGGAGCTTCAGCAGTAAACTCGATACCTCTGAGTTCGAGAGCAAAAAACTTAAGCGCCTTTTGAAATTCGATGAAATAAAATCTTTTATAAGGTAATTTAGTCTTTTAGCTTTAATTTAATATATAACTTGCCTTTGTAGCGAAAATACTCGCGCGACTAGAATTTTTTTCTGTGGGCACCTCGTTTTCCTTTACCGAGACCTTAAGTAAGGTAAGCTGTTTTTTATTGAAATCCTTTCATTTTCGTAGGTTACAGAAACGATAGGTTTTGTCCCATACAAATCCCTATATTTCGAACGTTACGCAACAATGCCGATGTTCGCCGATGCTCATATTTCGAGCTTGGGCTACCTGTGATCCGACTGAACGAACTTGGGCGAAGAATTTGTAGTTCGTCTGGTTACGCGTCTCAAGTATAAAGACGGGCACAAGACGAATTATGCGTCTGGACGAACGTTCCTTCGAAATACGTCTTGAACAACGCACTACGAAAGGTAGTTCGTCTGGAAACATAACGCGCCTTGTCCGTCTTTATACCAGAGACGCATAACTCAGACGAACTACAAATTCTTTGCCCAAGTTCGTCCAGACGGATAATGTGTCCTTAGTATAAAAACGGCCATTGAGGAAACGTTAAAAGTGCAATGGTGTCAAGGTGTTGCCATGGATACGTCGATCTCGAAATTCTGTCTTTTTTTGCAACTTAAATATGTACCCTGCAAGCAGGCACAGTTTTATTTCCCACTTTGTTTGAAGCATTTTTGCTCGTCGTGTTCAAATATCGGAGAGTAGGTGTTGTCCCCGAAAAACCGGGTCGAGATACCTTAACTTATTAGGTTTATTTCCATCTCGTAACTCTGGTGATTATTTGGGAGCTGACTCTCAATCACGAAAATAATTGGGTATATATATTCTTTAACCAAAACATTTTATTAAATTCGTTTACATTTAAAAGACAAGTGATTTGAATGACAATTGCAATACGTTATAAAGTGACAAAATGCGTAGACCTCAAAAAACAAAAAAAAAACTATCGCATTAAGTTATTCACATCACGTTTTTCTTACATGTAGCCGCTTTTCATTTTGTTTATTTACAAAGTTTGTAATACTGTCTCTGTCTAATTATCACACCAATATAAAAGTCAACCCCAAGTTGTTTGATTAAATGTAAAAAATCATAGACGTTTAGTCAGAAGTTACCGTTTAACACCACTACACCAAAACTGCTGCTAAAATATCGAAACTATTTATCACAAGTTTAGGTGTAGTGCTAAGACTGCACGATAAAACCCCTTTAAAACCACAGGTGTTGTAAAATGCTCCCGCAAAATAAAAATTCCGGACGAAGCGTCTAAATTCTACTTGAAAATGTAGCACTGTTCGAAGTGGGTTTTCTCTGGATCGCAATAAACCGGGTTGTATTGATATATCAGTGCGGCATCCTCCTCTTCCTTGCTTGGAAAACGATGCCCACTAAGACGAGCTAGAAAAAGAAGAAGAAAAAGGGAACTTCAGCCGGAGATCAAAGTATAACAAGGAGCAAGTGGCACAGTTTGATAGTGCGCGGCCCCGGTGACGTCACATCCTTGTTTCGACTCCTCTCATTTCTGTCCAGCTTAAACTCGCTTGAAATACTCTTAAAACGGAGGGAGAGAGGGGTTAAAAAAATGAGCGCAACGTCGACCCCAAGTTTATTAGTTGAATTAAGAGGGAGCTTAAGCAACCACAACGACGGCGAAAACGAAAACGTCAAAAAACAGTTGGTTTTTATGAATAAACCAACAGCTCTGCTCTTGCATCACGCTTTTTAGAGGGTCACAATGGGGTTAACCGATAGGCGTAAAACGGCCTAAAATTTAGTCGATAGCCGTAAAAATTGGAAAAATTTAACCGTTAGTCGTAAATAGGGTAAAAAGAGTTAACCGTAAAAGAAATTGATCCCTAGCTAGGTTTGTTAATTTAAGAAAGGTGCTAAACTCACTTATGGTTACGTTTTTATGTCCCGGCTGTACTTTCACTCCGTGCGCACGTTAGGCCAAGCCTTTTGTGTAGCTTAGACCTAAACTCTAATTTCGCTGCTCTCTCGGAGAACTAATTTTTTCCATAGCGAAAATTTTGCTTTTTGCTGGGGATTAATATTTGCGACTTTCAGGAGGTCGAGCCCTCGAAATAGTAGTGAAACAACACGCAGAGATATGTCACTGTTTGTAAAACACGTTGCCGATAAACAGCAATTCCCTGTTTTTCTCTGACGCTACGGTAGATATTGCCATGCCTAGCCCCTGTAAGGCGTCTTCCCACACAATCTCGTTCAAGGCATTTCGGTGGCGTATCTGAGAAAAAATCTCGCTCTGACCACGTGACCCGAAACGCATTAGCCGCGCGGAATAATGAGGTGATGATCTATCAAATGTTAAAATTTTTCAAAAAAAAATAGCATTTCATCCCGAGATGATCCTAAGACCTTTATTTTGCTTTAAAGATACAAAAAATCCAGGTTTATTAATATTTAACTCTTTGAAACAAAAGAAATTAATCTTTAACTTTTTTGTTAACCGTAACTGAAATATTAACCAATAGCCGTAAAAGAGCCAAAATTTTAGCCGATAACCGTAAAAGCCACCACCCCATCGAGACCCTCTTTTTAGTACGTTTCTTTGAAGTCCACTGCACAACAAACGACGTGAAGCCTCCTAATGCGACGATTTATGAAGGACGTGAACATACGACGACGAATTTTCCATTCTCTTTTCGAACCTCTATAAAGTCCATAAGAATTCAACTCGGGGAAAGGTCGCCTACATTTGACAAATTACCTTACTATTAGGAAATTAACGATGTACGTTGACAACGCAAAGAAAATTTACGTTGCACAAAATTAACGCGAATTTTCCAAAAGTTGGGTTTACATACATCCAATTAACATGAAATTTTCGAAAACAATGGGCGCCTAACGTTATTTAACGCGAATTTACTGTAATACAGGCCATGGAAATTTTAAGAAGAAAGACTGGAGAAGTTAGCTATCCCCTCGGGGAAACGGATCAATACGAAGTCCAGTCGAAAGACATTTTGAACTCAGTTCTTAAAGAAGAACTGTCAGATACTGACCCCGAGGGGTTGATAGAGGAACTATGAAGCAGCCGTAGGTTTTGTTATTGAAATAAAGGTGCTGTAAAACAACAATAATGTAAAATAGTGTGTTAAAAACTAACATCGACGTAAATTAAGATGATTTAAATCAACGCGATTTTTTTTAAAACCCCGTCAATAAAACGCATCGTTAATTTCCTATAATAAGTTATATTCCTAATGAGAAACTATGAGGGGTAAAAGAGGAGAATAGTGAGATCGCTAGGGAGCCAAAAGTAGATTGGATTTACTGGTTCCATAAGTTTTGGACGCCAAGTGGAAGGAACTCGGCAAATAGCGAGACAAGCCCCTACCCACCCCACCCACTCGCGCTACGCATTAACCTCACACGTACAGTTTCTGTTTCCAGTCGTGAACAGCCCAAGGCGAGAGGAGCAGTGTTATTCAAAGTCTAGTTTCTTTGGTGCCTGCCAAGCAATGTAACAATCCTAAGCTCGCAATAGATTTCTAGGGTTTGAAGTTGGGAATGTATGTCATTTACCAATTATATTTATGATGAAGTCAGAACTGAAGGAAAATATAGGGTAAAGGGTCCTTAATTTACCTCAGTAGCTCGAGCTCGCCGAGTGTCATCATGTGACAAAATAAACTAAGGCCGACGAAACACCCCCTCACCTTCACCTCTCTTCTCCATCATTGCTCCGTTTTCAGGTATTCAAAGCTACTTGAAGGATTTGTGGTCACAACTGGGAATCAAACTCGGAACGTTCCAAAGAAAAGGCCGCGCATTAACCGACTGTGCTATTAAAACCTTGCTCATAACCCACCGTGATTGGCAAATGGTGCTTGGTTAAGATGTAAGGGTGCATGACACGTGCGAACAATGCACGGCGGGTCAGAGGGAATATTCCAACTGTGCTCCCTTCTTTCTTCTTGTAAGTCTATTCCTGTTGTAGCTTGAATTTGCAGTCATAAGGGGTTTATCCCTCCTCTTCCTAACGTCAAACGCTGGCATCAAGACAGCTCCAAATTTGGGGCCTGATTCTGATTCATATCCTAATGATACTAACGTGTAACTTGACTTAAGAAGGCTGTGTGAATCCCACCCTGGTCAACCTGAGTCGGAATAGACTACGAGTAATCTCCATTTTTCCTCAGGGATAGTAGAGCTAGCGAAATGCGAGCGCGCGTGAAAATCACCCCACGCGAGAAAGGCGAGAGAAGGCCGCGCATTAACCGACTGTGCTATTAAAACCTTGCTCATAACCCACCGTGATTGGCAAATGGTGCTTGGTTAAGATGTAAGGGTGCATGACACGTGTGAACAATGCACGGTAGGTCAGAGGGAATATTCCAACTGTGCTCTCTTCTTTCTTCTTGCAAGTCTATTCCTGTAGTAGCTTGAATTTGCAGCCATATTAGGTTTATCCTACCCTCCTCCTTTTTCCTAAGAAGGTTGTGTGAATCCCACCCTGGTCAACCTGAGTCGGAATAGACTATGAGTAGTCCCCCTTTTTCCTCAGGGATAGTAGAGCTAGCGAAACGCGAGCGCGCGTGAAAATCACCCTAGGCTAGAAAGGCGAGACGCGGCGGGGAGAGAGAAAAATGATTTTTCTGTCTCCCCGCTCTCCCCGCCGCGTCTTGCCTTTCTCGCGCGGGGTGATTTTCACGCGCGCTCGCGTTTCGCTCTTCCTACTATACCTGAGAAAAAATGGGGACTACTCGTAGTCTAGAGTCGGAAATACATGCTTAACAACACACCTTGGTTGACAAAAAAATCTGCCACGTACTGAGTTACCAGTACTGCTTGCTTTGAGTGATTAATGCCTTCTGCAGACGTCCATTCAAAAGAATTTTTCTCGGGATGCCATTGAACTCCGTAGAACGGGTAATCACGACCTAGAGCATAGAGAGAACTAAGAAATATTAAGTATACAGTGTTCTGGAGACTTTGTTCGTGGCATGAAACAGTTAACATCATAAATCCAAAAGGCGATAGAATTGTTATATTTGCCAGTGTAGAAAAACGAGAAAGAAACTACGCCGAGTTAACTATAAAAATGACTTCTGGGTCTGTTTCCAAGGAAAGGGAAAAAAATATTGGCCAACAGCTGACCAGTGCATCCCCAGGAACAATCCCAAAAACTATTGCGGACACATTTCAGCTCCAGATCCCTTATCAGCTGTACAGTAGTTATTGAGAAAGCAGGAACTTAAGTTTTTTATTTGTTTTGGACAAGCATGATCAGTATAGAATTTATCATGTGGTCAAAAGGTTTTTTTGTGCCAGAACAAAGCAGAAAATCCTGAGTGGACTTGCCTCTCGAGTAGCCAGTCAGAAAACAGGGAATTCTCTGCTTCATTTTGCTCTCTCTTGGAGCCAGCCAATTAACATCAAAATGCTTTGAAAGCTGTGGACACAAAAAATGCAGCCTCCACTAAGATCTTAACAGAAACTAAGGATGTTTTCCAAAAGTCAGAACCACGGCCAGCTGGACCAAGAGTCTTTGATGAAAAACCATCTCCTTTGTGCACACTATTTAGGATTTGAATGTTCTGGCTGGATAGTTTTGATCAAAAGTGAAATTCTCATAATGATGGAATGGTCTGGCTGCTCAGTTCTGACAAAAGGAAAGCGCCATACGAAGATAACATCCAACACTGCACTTTTCATAGATTCACATCATTACCTTCAATAGTGGATACAAACTCCTTGACTCCTTCTTTGTCTCTGTTGGTTGACAAAACTTTGTAGAACTTTTTGAGAGCGTCATTATTGTAGTAAGTCTACAACAGACAGATAAAACTTTTCTTTAAAACAAGATATGTCATATGGGTGACTAATCATGTCCTTTCATTAATTAAATTTTCCAACACAGGGACGGCAATAAAGATATGTGGCTGTTGTAGAGGACCCAAGGGTAAATCTGCCGCAACAAAAACAGGCAGTTGTTGCAGAGACAAGGAGGGGGCTCAAAAAACGATAAATAAATAAATAAATAAAATAGTTCATTGGTCTTCCTCTACCCTGGGTGCCAGAAACTTTCCATGCACCATTTCCAGTTTCTGTCCTGTCAGCCTGTGTCTCAGGACACTGAAGCATTCAACTGCACATGAGAAATTAACCTCTAAATACCCAGGGTGGTCCTTTTCAGGCCTTTTCCAAAACAGAACCAAAAAATCTTCAGAAATCTACTCACATCAGTGGAAACGCAGTACCGATGATGGTTATAAGTAACATTTGCTGTTCTGAGATAAGTAATAATCTCCTCAGGGGCAGATCCTAAAAGTCTGCTTGACTCATAGCCTGAAAGATAATCAGAAATAATGTAATAATAAACAAGAAAAAATTACATGTAAAACTAAATATAAACATAACAAAAGTATTGAGTATACGACAATGATTATAAGAATGTTGGAAGGTTCACTTTATGTACACTCTTATCATTCTCATGATAGAAACTGTATATAACTTGTTAATTCTTGGTGTTATAACCTCGGTTCCTTTAAGGGCATATCACTGAAATTTATACGAGCGACAATACTTGAAATAACTGTTTCCATGGTTACCAGTATGTGACTCTCTAGTGCAGCCAATTAAAAAATGCAAAACTCACAAACGTTTCTCCTCTACAAGTATGTAACCTGAACCTTGCTCAACTTTTTAAACATGTTTATGTACGGTCTTTCATACATTGCCCCTATTGTTTGCATCACTAGTGAGGACCAGGTATGAGTGTGACATACCATCACTGAGGTTTAAAGGAATAGCATAGTCTTCACCATCTACAGGTGATAAAACATTTTGTCCTCCTGCACCACAGACACTAAGGAACTCAAAACCAAGACAGGTTCCCCAGAGTGGAAACACATCTCCTGCATCATTTGCTTTCATTGCCAGATTGAAGAGTATTTTGCCTGTTCGTGCATACTGTGAATCAAAGACACTTACACCACCCCCTGGAATTAAGACCCTAAATCAGAGAAAGAGAGAGAGAGGGAGAAAAAGAAAACTTAATGAACAAGAAGATACTTTATTAAATCAACACCTGTTAAGCAAAGATGGGTAAAAATTTTATGACTAGACCTTACCTCTTGGCTCGAATACTATTGTTTAACAATGCAAACAAGAAACCATTACCTCTACTAATCCTACTTATTGTTAATAAGAGCCCATTTATATTTTTTTAACATTAACTACATGTACAAAAAAGCAAGGCGTCTATAGTGTTTTTACTTCGAAAAAATGGGTATTTTCTAATAGCTTAACAAAAGCCATAGTGTAATGGCCAAAACTGCTACAGTGTTAATACCTTCTTCACTTTATTATGATCAGTTTTGTAAGTCCAACAAGTAATCTGCATGATGCTTACCCATTTATAGAACTAAACAGTTTTTCCAGCTGTTCTTCACTCAAGTCATTTCTACCAGAGGTTAATTTTATAACAAAATGGTATGACATGTTAATTAGTATATTCATAAGTCTGTAGACTGACCTGCCAGCCACCTTTAATTTTTAACCTGCCAACAAAGCTGCATGGCTGATTGCTAAAAAATATTCCATACGTATGGTTTCATAGTTATAACATTGGATTGCAAGAACTGCTAGAAGTCTCACATTTACTTTGACACCATTTTTATTTTAAGTTTGACTACTTTTACTGACTTTGTGCTTTTCACAAACACGCAAAACTCTAAAGTTCAAAAGCCGCCTTCACAATTGCATTTTTTGCTGCCGTCAATCATATTTACGATCACAAGCAAGAACCTCGTAACACAGAAACACACAAAAAGGATTGAAATCCACCAATCACAGATCACAAACCATGACCTTGTGAACCCGTTTAAGTAAAGTTCTGTTTCCTAAGAGGTCCGCTTAGATGATTGATGGCAGTGAAAAATGCATACGTCAATTAATATTAGCTTTTGAACTTCAGAGTTAGCATGTTTCTGAAAAGCACAGTAAAACAAAATAATTTGATGCCTTTGGAAATAAAAGTTTCTGCTTTGTTTATGATGTGTTTCATGCTTATGGAGATAGATAGCTTGTATCTTGTATAAAATTTTCTCCTCTCATAAATGTTTGAGCAACACTAACCAAATGTCTTGCATAATAGGCCTCAAGAATTATTTAATCAATTTTTTTTTTTCGGGGAATATTTCAATTCAATTATTTCAATTATTTTTGCGTGGACATTGTGCAGAATATAAGCCTGTGCACCCTCATTTTACTTTAGGCCAGGGAGCCATCTTAAACCATTAAAAACAGAAAACACACCAAAAAACAGCCCACATTTTTAATATTACTGATTAATTTTTAGAAGTTGTGGATACACATGTACAAAGCGTACAGTATGTTGCCCAGTATCCGGACGGTACCAGTATCCGGACACTTGAAACAACAACTCAATTTTTGAGGGGCCCTTTTCAGTTATCGGGAAACAAAGTATTTCGAATGAAAGCTGAACATTTCAGCTTTAAGATGAAAGTTTTGGCGATTTGAAAGCTTGCGAAACAGTTGCAGAAGACGCCGTTCTGTTTAGGTGAGTAAACTTTTCATGGCTAATATTTACGCTGTTTACTGCGCAGTAAAGTTAGTGGTGCTCAGAAAAGGGAGGGTAATGTGTGATATTTTCAAAGAAACTGTTTTATTTTTAAAGTGAAGATACTTAAGGAAGTCAGGTTTTCAGAAAGTTTATTAATTCTTCTTGAAATTCGATTTGTTTGGAATAACGGAAGCCAGAAACATTCACTAAGTTTTGATGTCATGTGCCCAGTATCCGGACAGTTTTTTCTTTGCTGTACAGAATCGATGAATTAGTTGTGTACATTCTCCGGATAAGATTTATTTCATATCAGTAACTATAATTAAAGCTTAGGATATATGATATAGTCGTAAAATGTAACTCTACTCAACTCTGCACGGAAATTTTCTCCACTCATTCAGAGTCGACTTGATTTCGTGTGCACGGCTTGTTTCGCGTGACTGCATTTTCAATATATAACTGAAAGCGTCTGAGTTGAACCTGGAATTCTCATACTTTCCCCAGCTGGGACTGCTAGAATGGGGTTGCAATGGTCTAAAAAATGTCACAAAGGGATTGAGAGATGTGAAAGAAGGAGGAATTAGTGCTAGAAAAGCAGGCTCGTTGTGGGGACTGAGCATGAAGAAATCAACACTGCAGGTCAGACTAAATAGGAGAGTGACCTTTGACTGTCGGGTTGAGGTCCCTTCCCCAAGCTTTTCTTTAAATAAAAAAATGAAGAAAGAAAGTCGTTTGCAGATTGGCTAATTTAGCTTGCAAACTGCGGCTTCAGCATGTCCACGGATGCCTTCCTTAAATCAGTGAAAAAGTTCCTAGACAAAGAAGTGAGAATTATACCATTTTAAAACAGCCGCCGCTTTCCCGACCATACCCCAGTCATTTGTTAGGTTTTATTTCACGATGCCATGTTATATTTTTCGAATCGATTGCCAGACTACTTTGCAAGTGCAAGAGAAGCTTATAAGTCGCCGCCTGTCGAAATTTATGTACAATTACGTTGTTATTGTTGTGTCCGGATACTGGGCCAGCTGTCCGGATACTGGGCAACATAGGAGCTCTGCAAAAATATTAATTTCGCGATGGAAACAAAGGCAAAAAAGTTAAACTATCTTTCGTCATATTAAGGACTAGATAGATTTTCTCTGGGCCAAATTTCAGAGCTCTTGCGATTAACAAAGGAAAGTTATTGCAATTTTAAACTGAAGTGTCCGGATACTGGGCAACATACTGTATTTAACATATCTATACATGCAAGGCAGCCTTAATTTTTCTGGGGTATACAATTTCAATTTTTCTAAACAATGTATCCACGAGTTTCCCATTGAGTTTTTACTTTGATTTTGGGTCCCCAACACAGTTTTATTGCACGTATAATAATACGTACATTTTTATTTCTCAATGGGCTACCAGGAGTGATTAAATAAAGTTACTTACTTAGTTACAATCAGAGACTGGAACTCCTTACCAAATACAGTGAAGCCTCTATTAAGCGGACACCTTCGGGACCATCCCAAGTGTCCGCTTAATAGAGGGTGTCCGCTTAGTAGAGTTTATAAGAATTACGCAATGTTTGTAAACAATTAACATTCAACGGTTACTCTGTAATGTGTTAAAGTTCCATGTTGTTAAGGAAGATATCCAGCGTTCAAGGTTCATTACCTTTCATTACCAACTTTATATAATTTGTTTGTGAATGCAAAAACATCAACTGACTTCAGTACGTATTTCAAGGACGTAATCCAATACTACTATCGTTAATTCAGTCCAGTGTTCATTTAATAGAGGTTTTTATTGAAATTAGCCAAACACAATTTATTTTAGTGTCCGCGTCCGCTGAATAGGGGTTCGTTATAAAGGAAAATGTAAGATGTTAATTTCGGGACCGGGCTCAGTGTCCGCTTAGAAGAGGGTGTCCGCTTAATTGCATTTGTGGGTCCGCTTGATAGAGGTTTCACTGTAGTGTAATTGAAAAGCAGTCAGTAGATCAGAGGCTTTCAAAAAGGCTGTCATGTGCCACCTGTAAAGACGCTGACGCGTTTTTTTTAAACTTTATACTAGCACCATAATTGTATTATACGATTAGAATTATTAAAATTAGAATTACACAATCTTTTAAACGGAGCAAAAGATAGTTTATCCATGCTTTAGAACAGAGTTTGTACTTGAAGAAACCAACTACAATAAAGAAAACAGTGCATGTCATAACAAAGGATACCGAATCGGAACAACTCTGCCACCGGCGGACTCTATGTACTTGATGTATGAAGCGGCAATATATGTTGGACCAAATTTTCCCTTTATGTAGCCATGTGAATCCTGGGCTAATATTCCTGAAGGATGGACATGAGATTTCACTAACGCCCAAAAGGGGAACAACAACATACAGTAACACAGAAAATGAAATAAACATTCCGAAAACGATTTAAATAAGCAGCGAACCTATGATGGGCGCATCATTTTTAACAGCAGCTGCGTTGCTGTTTACATGAGGTCGCGATGCAACGTGAATCAAGAGCAATGAGAGGAGAAAGCAACCGCTAAATGCAGTCCTCGAAATTGTTCCCATAATCGTTCCTCCAAGAAAGAATCTTTCCGTATCGACGACGGGAATTCTGAACTGAGACAAACAAGGGGAGGAAATTCTGTCACATGTTTTTCCCGTGTGCAAGCTTGGAGTCAGCAAGGTCTCAGCAAGTTTTCCCCCCAGGCTTCAAGAATCTGTCACGCAAGATATTGAATGCCGTTTAAGCCAATGCATGCACCACGCCACGTAACGCACTATGGAGTTCCATCCGGTATTCCCGCCAAAAATCAAAGCAGATCACAACATTCAACTTCCTTTCTCTTCTCCCCCTCCCCCCTCCCCCGTGTAAAATCTCCTCTCCCCGTAGCCCTTTAGGAAGGCCTGATACTCAGGCTAACTTTGTCCATACCGATGAACATTGCTCTCGATACATGCGCTTTCCAAGACAGATGAACTTTGAATCATCAAGTTAATTGTTGAGTAACCAAAGGCCTACCAATCCCGCCAAAAATCAAAGTAGATCACAACATTCAACTTTGCAGTTCAACTTCGTATTTCTTAACGCAATCGTCAAAACTTTAGACTTCAACTTTATAAGTGAGAGTTCAACATTAAACTATGTCCATCAACTTTCAAGTTCACTGATCAACATTGCTCTCGATACATGCGCTTTTCGCGAAAGATGACTTAGAATCATCAAGTTGGTTGTTGAGTTACCAAAGGCGTACCAATCACGCCATAAATCGAAGTTGAGACTTCAACTTTCGAGTCCAGAGGTCAACATCAAATGTTACGTACCAACATGCAACTTCGGCAATTAACATTGGTATTGACCATAAAGACAGTTAAATCGGTCCTTTTTTGGCAAAACCGTTAACTTTCTAGGCCAGCATAAACAATGTTGAGTTATAACATAGCGCGCGTGCTTGCCCTATATAAGTCCTATTGAGCCGCCAGTGAATAATGAGGACGCTAACTTGTAAACACAAAATCTGGGGGGAAAATTGGTAATATTTGAGGCCCTATTTAAAAGCCTTCCCTATTTTCAATGTTCTTGAGACTTGCAGGGAATATTTCTTGACAATTGATCTCGGGATAGTCGAATTTATAAAAAAATTTATCGAGCGGTTTTTGAAAAAATGCGAAATTTTTGGGCATGGACCAAATTACGTCCAAAAACTGTATCAAAACCAGCTGAATGCAAGTTAATAAAATTCTTCTTACTCGCGATCGCCCAGAGCAATTCCCCTCTTTTTTTGTATGCAGTTTTCAATGGAATCAAACCACTATGAGATGAAGCCTCGTTGCCAAAGCTTATCGAGTCGCAATGGGAAGCCCAAGAAAGGTCCTCCGAGATATAGACCCCAAGAAGCTTGAAGCAGGATACACGCTCGATAAAGGCACCACCTACTGCGATGGGCTGCCAACTGCAACTGTTATATCTAAGAAAGTCAACAGACAACTCCTTGCACTTCAGTGGATTAAGGCGCATGTTATTTGAGATCGCGTATGACTCAATTTCGTTAACAATGAAATTTAACATAGAAGGGGAGTTTCTTGGGACCACTTCCAGGACAGTCATCAACATATTTTGCTCTCGAAACCCAAGATGAGACAAGGTCATTGACCATTATTGCAAATAAGAGGAGGCCAAGCTTAGTACCCTGAGGGATACCACCGTTTAGGACCCTAGCTGTTGAGGTGGCGTCCATGAGACTGATCTGTCCTACCTTCTAAGAAGGCAGCAACCCATCTTAACAAAGCATTATGTACGTCAAACCTTGAGAGTTTATGCAACAGAATGTTATGATCTATTAAGTCAAAAGCCTTTCGGAAATCCGCAAAAAAACAGTCGGGCAGAACAATTGCCGCGGTCGAGATTTTCTAGTACAAGATGGAGAATATAAGCAATAGGCTGTTCGGTTGATTTTCCGGGTGTTGCAAACTGCTTAGCGTCGTGATCCGCAAGAACGGAAGGCGCGAGCCTAGATAGTGTAAGCCCTTCCATGACTTTTGATATTTGGCAAGTGAAGGAGATAGGTCTAATATCGTTATTGACAGATTGTGCAGGCCTCTTCTTAGGGAGAGGACGGACACAAGCTGACTTGAGGAGTGGAGGAATAAAACCTTCCCTCAACGAATTGAAGAATTATAGAGTTCGCAGATAACCGGCGCCAACTCGAAGGAAAATGACTTAAGGAGAACGTTCGGAATACCGTCCGGGCCAGGAGATTTCCTCACTTTATTAGAGTTAATATAAGTGCTCCTTGCACCTCTCGAACAGTTGAGAACAGATCCTCCGGGATGACGTCAACGCTTATACGAGACTCGTCGGAAGAAATTAGTGGCGAGAGGGGGGACGTGAGACCAACAAAAAAGTCGTTAATTTTTCCACACAAGGTACCCAAGGGGTCAGCGGTATTAGGGTCCAGAAGTTGATTATACCACATGTCATGCACAGCATCTCAAAACGGTACATTCACGATCAATTGAAGCTACTTCCAAGTCTTGTTTACAGTTATTCATAGCAGTGTTCTTATTTTGCTAAGAAAAGGCAAAAATGATGGAGCCATACGAAGAAACATGCTTTTTATGGACCCGGTCTGAGATTCGTTTCCGTTTTACATGAGAACGGTACAGTCTTAGACCGGTACGAAAGTAACTCGTGTCGGATCAGCGACCGACACGAAGTCAGGCCGGTCTGAGTTCACGTTTAGGCTGGTCCCATGTAAACACATGAAAAGAAATGTATGGAGAGCGATACAAACTCATACCGGTCTGAGTTCGTCCCGGTCTCATGTAATTACCCACTAAATCAAAAGTCATAATTCACTTGTTCCTCATAAATTACTCTTACTGTTTACTACATAACTGTTGAATGGAATCCCTTCCCGAATGGATTCTGATCGTCTCGGTAAAGACTCGTACCTAGTTACTTTTGTCAAGCATTTGTAGAGACCCTTTTCCACCGGTCTTATGTCAACGACTGCAAAAATTATAAATTCGTACCGGCCTGAGTTCGTCCCGGTCTCATGTAATTACCCCCTTAGTTCACTCTATTGGAAATCGGGAGAACCGATTTCTTTCATATTTTTACGAAGGGCAACTGAAACTCGAAAAACAATTTATGGGCAGATCGAGTTCCCTTTCTATGGACAGAGTCAGAAAAAGATGTCTGTTTTGTTGAACGCAAAAAGCGTGTTCTTTATGATTCGTTTTGTTGTTGAAGCCTAGAATTTTACACAGGGCAACTGAAAACTCGAAAAACAATTTATGGGCAAAGTTCCCTTTTTAGGACAGAGTCAGAAAAAGATGTCTGTTTTGTTGAACGTAAAAAGCGTTTTTTTTATGATTCGTTTTGTTGTTGAAGCCTAGAATTTCAAAAAGACATTTCTCGAAAACGCTCTAATAAAAACTGCTTAAAAACATCGGTTCAACGCAAGACAGATATATGAACTATGAGCCCTAATGAGCAACTTCGACTTTCCATAAAAATTGAGGAAAGGTAAAAAGTGTAACGGTGTCAAGGTGTTGCCATGGATAAGTCGATCTCGAAAATCTGTCTTTTTTTGCAACTCAAATATGTACCCTGCAAGCAGGTACAGTTTTATTTCCTACTTTGTTTGAAGCATTTTTGCCCGTCGTGTTCAAATATCGGAGAGTACGTGTTGTCATAGACTGTTCACGGCCCTTTATTTTTCCGTGAGTTCATCGAGATCGAGCGCTTTGTGTGTTCGTGCCGGGTCCTACTACAATAGACCGGAAAACCATGCGAACAACTTTGAGAAAGTCTATGTTACGGGCTGCCATCTTGCAAGAGTGTCAAAACTACTTAGGGGGCGGGGGCGGTTTGGGAGGAAGCGAGAAAAATATTTTTCTCGCCCCTCCCCCCCCCCCCCACGAGCTATAATCCCCGACGCCCGCCACCTCGGTACATTTGAAAATCAACATACCCGTGACGGTAAGACGCAATATATATAAACAATCTCACGAAAAAATTGGGGACTGTGAACAGTCTAGTTTTGTCCCTGAAAAACCAGGTCGAGACACCTTAGCTTATTAGGTTTATTTCCATCTCGTAACTTAAGTGATTATTTGGGAGCCGACAAGTGATTTGAAAGACAATTGCAATACGTTGTAAAGTGTACAAAATGCGTAGAGCTCAAAAGACAAAAAAAAAAAACTATCACATTAACTTATTCACATTAATGTACAAATTAAACGTTTTTCCTATATGTAGCCGCTTTTCATTTTGTTTATTTACAAAGTTTGTAATACTGTCTCTGTCTAATTATTATACCAATATAAAAGTCAGCCCCAAGTTGTTTGATTAAATGTAAAAACATCATGGAGGTTTAGTCAGAAGTTACCGTTTAACACCACTACACCAAAACTGCTGCTAAAATATCGAAACTATTTATCACAAGTTTAGGTGTAGTGCTAAGACTGCACGATAAGACCGCTTTAAAACCACAGCTCAAGGTGTAGTAAAATACTGCCCCAAAATAAAAGTTCCAGACGAAGCGTCTACATTCTACTGGAAAATGTAGCACTGTTCGTAGTGGGTTATCTCTGGATAGCAATAAACCGGGTTGTGTTGATATATCAGTGCGGCATCCTCCTCCTCTTTGCTTGAAAAATGATGCCCACTAAGACGAACTAGAAAAAGAAGAAGAAAAAGGGAACTTCAGCCGGAGATCAAAGTATAGCAAGGAGCAAGTGGTACAGTTTGATAGTGCGCGGCCCCGTTGACGTCACATCCTTGTTTCGACTTCTCTCATTTCTGGTTAAAGGGGCTGTGTCACGGCAGTCCGGTTCATTTTGTTTAATTTTGCCAATTATTCGCCCTCAATCGCTATGGAACTGAAAGTAAGCGAAGAAATTACACGTAAATGACAAAATCAGAGATCCGAGACAAACAAATATGTCTCCTGAGCATTATTTTTGAGGTTGCAAGCAGCAGGGATCAACTTTGAAAAACTGTTAGGCTGAACAGTTTCCAAAAACCCTAAATTCAATCCGTTTCAATCTTCTTCAGTTTTGCCCATCCGTGGCATCTGTTGTTTCTGTTATGTTATTTTAACCTTCCTTTAAAGTTTTAGCGGTTATTTTTATGTTTCTCTTAATTTAACGGGCATTTGGTAATTTCCTAATTTGGCTGAATTTCGTGACACAGCTCCTTTAACTAGCTTGAAATACTCTTATAACGGAGAGAGAAAGGGGTTAGAATGAGCGCACCGTCGACCCCAAGTTTATCAGTTGAATGAAGAGGGAGCTTAAGCAACCACAACGTCGACGAAAACGAAAACGTCAAAAAACAGTTGGTTTTTATGAATAAACCAACAGCTCTCCCCGTCCACCACACTTTTTACTACATTTCTTTGACGTCCACTGCACAACAAACGACATAAAACCTTCTAATGCGACGATTTATGGAGGACTTGAACATACGACGAAGAATTTTCCATTCTTTTTTGAACCTCTATAAAGTCCTTAAGAATTCAACTCCGGGAAAAGTCGCCTATATTTGACAAATTACCTTACTATTAGGAAATTAACGATGCACGTTGACAACGCAAAGAAAATTTACGTTGCACAAAATTAACGCGAATTTTCCAAAAGTTGGGTTGACATACATCCAAGTAACGTGAAATCTTCGAGAACAACTAACGCGAATTTACTGCAATACGGGCTATGGAAATTTTAAGAAGAAAGACGGGAGAAGTTAGCTATCCCCTCGGGGAAACGGATCAATACGAAGACCAGTTGAAAAACATTTTGAACTCAATTCCTAAAGAAGAACTGTCAGATACTGACTCCCAGGCGTTGATAGAGGAAATACGAGCAACCCGGGCGGAATCGTTCTGATCGTTGGCAGACGAGGTTTTGTTATTGAAATAAAGGTGCTGTAAAACAACAATGATGTAAAATAGTGTGTTAAAAATTAATATCGACGTAAATTAAGATGCTTTAAATAAAAAAAAATCACGTTAATAAAGCGCATCGTTAATTTCCTATAATAAGGTATATTCACACTGACAAACTATGAGGGGTAAAAGAGGCGAATAGAGAGATCGTTAGGGAGCCAAAAGTAGATTGAATTTACTGGCTCCATAAGTTTTCGACGCCAAGTGGAAGGAAGGTGGCAAATAGCGAGACAAGCCCCTACCCACCCCACCCACTCGCGCTACGAATTGACCTCACACGTACAGTTTCTGTTTCCAGTCGTGAACAGCCCAAGGCGAGAGGAGCAGTGTTATTCAAAGTCTAGTTTCTTTGGTGCCTGCCAAACAATAAGCTCGCAATAGATTTCAAGGGTTTGAAGTTGGGAATGACTATGTACGTCATTTACCAATTATTTTTATAATGAAGTCAGAACTGATGGAAAATATAGGGTAAAGGGTCCTTAATTTACTTCAGTAGCTCGAGCTCGCCGAGTGTCATCATATGACAAAATAACCTAAGGCCGACGAAACACCCCCTCACCTTTACCTCTCTTCTCCATCATTGCTCCTTTTTCAGGTATTCAAAGCTACTTAAAGGATTTGTGGTCACAACTGGGAATCAAACTCGGAATCCAAGCGTGAATTTGCAGCTATAAGGGGTTTATCCTACCCTCCTCTTCCTAACGTCAAACGCTGGCATCAAGACAGCTCCAAATTTGGGGCCTGATTCTGATTCATATCCTAATGATACTAACGTGTAACTTGATTTAAGAAGGCTGTGTGAATCCCACCCTGGTCAACCTGAGTCGGAATAGACTACGAGTAATCTCCATTTTTCCTCAGGGATAGTAGAGCTAGCGACATGCGAGCGCGAGTGAAAATCACCCCACGCGAGAAAGGCGAGACGCGGCGGCGAGAGAGAAAAATATTTTTCCCTCTCCCCGCCGTGTCTTACCTTTCTCGCGGGGGGTGATTTTCACGCGCGCTCGCGTTTCGCTCTTCCTACTATACCTGAGGAAAAATGGGGACTACTCGTAGTCTAGAGTCGGAAATACATGCTTTACAACACACCTTGGTTGACAAAAAAATCTGCCACGTATTGAGTTACCAGTACTGCTTGCTTTGAGTGATTAATGCCTTCTGCAGACGTCCACTCAAAAGAATTTTTCTCGGGATGCCATTGAACTCCGTAGAACGGTTAATCACGACCTAGAGCATAGAAAGAAGTAAGAAATATTAAGTATACAGTGTTCTGGAGACTTCGCTCGTAGCATGAAACAGTTAACATCATAAATCCAATAGGCGATGGAATTGTTATATTTGCCAGTGTAGAAAAACGAGAAAGAAACTACACCGAGTTAACTATAAAAATGACTTCTGGGTCTGTTTCCAAGGAAAGGGAAAAAACATTGGCCAACAGCTGACCGGTGCATCCCCAGGAACAATCCCAAAAATAATTGCGGACACATTTTAGCTCCAGATCCCTTATCAGCTGTACAGTAGTTATTGACAAAGCAGGAAGTCAGGTTTTTATTTGTTTTGGACAAGCACGATCAGTATAGAATTTATCATGTGGTCAAAAGTTTTTTGTGTGTGTGCCAGAACAAAGCAGAAAATCCTGAGGGGGCTTGCCTCTCGAGTAGCCAGTCAGAAAACAGGAAATTCTTTACTTCATTTCGCTCGCTCTTGGAGTGAGCCAATTAACATTAAAATGTTTTGAAAGCTGTGGACACAAAAATGCAGCTGCTGCGAAGATCTTAACAGAAACTAAGGATGTTTTCCAAAAGTCAGAACCACGGCCAGCTGGACCAAGAGTCTTTGATGAAAAACCATCTCCTTTGTGCACACTATTTAGGGTTTGAATGTTCTGGCTGGATAGTTTTGACCAAAAGTGAAATTCTCATAATGATGGAATGGTCTGGCTGCTGAGTTCTGACAAAAGGAATGTGCCGTACAAAGATAACATCCAACACTGAACTTTTCATAGATTGACATCATTACCTTCAATAGTGGATACAAACTCCTTGACTCCTTCTTTGTCTCTGTTGGTTGACAAAACTTTGTAGAACTTTTTGAGAGCGTCATTATTGTAGTAAGTCTACAACAGACAGATAAAACTTTTCTTTAAAACAAGATATGTCATATGGGTGACTAATCATGTCCTTTCGTTAATTGAATTTTCAAACACAGGGATGGGAATAAAGATATGTGGCTGTTGTAGAGGACCCAAGGGTAAATCTGCCGCAACAAAAACAGGCAGTTGTTGCAGAGACAAAGAGGGGGCTCAAAAAACGATAAATAAATAAATAAATAAATATATAAAACAGTTCATTGGTCTTCCTCTACCCTGGGTGCCAGAAACTTTTCACCACCATTTCCAGTTTCTGTCCTGTCAGCCTGTGTCTCAGGACACTGAAGCATTCTACTGCACATGAGGAATTAACCTCTAATACCCAGGGTGGTCCTTTTCAGGCCTTTTCCAAAACAGAACCAAAAAATCTTCAGAATTCTACTCACATCCGTGGAAATGCAGTGCCGATGATGGTTATAAGTAACATTTGCTGTTCTGAGATAAGTAATAATCTCTTCGGGGGCAGATCCTAAAAGTCTGCTTGACTCATAGCCTGAAAGATAATCAGAAATAATGTAATATTAATAAACAAGAAAAAATTACATAATGTACAAAACTAAATATCAACATAACAAAAGTATTGAGTATATGACAATGATTATAAGAATGTTGGAAGGTTCACTTTATGTACCGTACACTCTTATCATTTTCATGATAGAAACTATATATAACTTGTTAATTCTTGGTGCTATAACCTCGTTCCTTTAAGGGCATATCACTGAAATTTATACGAGTGACAATACTTGAATCCACGAATATGTTGGAATAACTGTTTCCATGTATACCAGTATGTGACTCTCTAGGCAGCCAATTAAAAAATGCAAAACTCACAAACTTTTCTCCTCTATAAGTATGTAACCTGAACCTTGCTCAACTTTTTAAACATGTTTATGTACCGTCTTTCATACATTGCCCCTATAGTTTGCATCACTAGTGAGGACCTGGCGTGAGTATGACATACCATCACTGAGGTTTAAAGGAATAGCATAGTCTTCACCATCTACAGATGATAAAACATTTTGTCCTCCTGCACCACAGACACTAAGGAACTCAAAACCAAGACAGGTTCCCCAGAGTGGAAACACATCTCCTGCATCATTTGCTTTCATTGCCAGATTGAAGAGTATTTTGCCTGTTCGTGCATACTGTGAATCAAAGACACTTACACCACCCCCTGGAATTAAGACCCTAAATCAGAGAAAGAGAGAGAGGGAGAAAAAAGAAAACTTAATGAACAAGAAGATACTTTATTAAATCAACACCCGTTAAGCAAAGATGGGTAAAAATTTTATGACTAGACCTTACCTCTTGGCTCCAATACTATTGTTTAACAATGCAAACAAGAAACCATTACCTCTACTAATATCCTACTTATTGTTAATAAGAGCCCATTTATATTTTTTTAACATTAGCTACTTCAAAAAAATGGGTATTTTCTAATAGCTTAAAAAAAGCCATAAATTAAAGGCCAAAACTGCTACAGTGTTAAATACCTTCTTCACTTTATTATGATCAGTTTTGTAACTCCAACAAGTAATCTGCATGATACTTACCCATTTATAGAACTAAACAGTTTTTCCAGCTGTTCTTCACTCAAGTCATTTCTACTAGAGGTTAATTTTTTAACAAAATGGTATGACATGTTAATAAATATATTCATAAGTCTGTAGACTGACCTTCCAGCCACCTTTAATTTTTAAGCTGCCAATAAAGCTGCTTGGCTGATTGCTAAAAAATATTCCATACGTATGGTTTCATAGTTATAACATTGGATCGCAAGAACTGCTAGAAGTCTCACATTTACTTTGACACCATTTTTATTTCAAGTTTGACTACTTTTACTGACTTTGTGCTTTTCACAACCACGCGAAACTCTAAAGTTCAAAAGCCGCCTTCACAATTGCATTTTTTGCTGCCGTCAATCATAATTATGATCACAAGCAAGAACCTTGTAACACAGAAACACACAAAAAGGATTGAAATCCACCAATCACAGATCACAAACCACGACCTTGTGAACCCGTTTAAGTAAAGTTCTGTTTCCTAAGAGGTCCGCTTAGATGATTGATGGCAGTGAAAAATGCATACGTCAATTGGCTTTTGAACTTCAGAGTTAACACGTTTTTGAAAAGCGCAGTAAAGCAAAATAATTTGATGCCTTTGGAAATAAAAGTTTCTGCTTTGTTTATGATGTGTTTCATGCTTATGGAGATAGATAGCTTGTATCTTGTATAAAATTTTCTCCTCTCATAAATGTTTGAGCAACACTAACCAAATGTCTTGCATAATAGGCCTCAAGAATTATTTAATCAATTTTTTTTTTCGGGGAATATTTCAAAACTGAGAAGCCATGTTTTTTTATTTTTGCGTGGACATTGTGCAGAAAATAAGCCTGCGCACCCTCATTTTACTTTAGGCCAGGGAGCCATCTTAAACCATTAAAAACAGAAAACACACCAAAAACAGCCCACATTTTTAGTATTACTGATTAATTTTTAGAAGTTGTGGATACACATGTACAAAGCGTATTTAACATATCTATACATGCAAGGCAGCCTTAATTTTTCTTGGGTATACATTAGGAAAAATGATTTACATAATCTTTTAAACGGAGCAAAAGATAGTTTATCCATGCTTTAGGACAGAGTTTGTACTTGAAGAAACCAACTACAATAAAGAAAACAGCGCATGTCATAACAAAGGATACCGAATCGGAACAACTCTGCCACCGGCGGACTCTATGTACTTGATGTATGAAGCGGCAATATATGTTGGACCAAATTTTCCCTTTATGTAGCCATGTGAATCCTGGGCTAATATTCCTGAAGGATGGACATGAGATTTCACTAACACCCAAAAGGGGAACAACAACATACAGTAACACAGAAAATGAAATAAACATTCTGAAAACAATTTAAACAAGCGAACCTATGATGGGAGCATCAGTTTTAACAGCAGCTGCGTTGCTGTTTACATGAGGTCGCGATGCAACATGAATCAACAGCAATGAGAGGAGAAAGCAACCGCTAAATGCAGTCCTCGAAATTGTTCCCATAATCGTTCCTCCAAGAAAGAACTTTTCCGTATCGATCACGACGGGAATTCTGAACGGAGACAAACAAGGGGAGGAAATTCTGTCACATGTTTTTACCGTGTGCCAGCTTGGATGTCAGCAATGTCTCAGCAAGTTTTCCCCCCAGGCTTCAAGAATCTGTCACGCAAGATATTGAATGCCGTTTAAGCCAATGCACACACCACGCTACGTAACGCACTGTGGAGTTCCATCCGGCATCTCCGCCAAAAATCAAAGTAGACCACAACACTCAACTTCCTTTCTCTTCTCCCCCTCCCCACTCCCCCGTGTAAAATCTCCTCTCCCCTAGCCCCTTAGGAAGGCCTGATACTCAGCCTAACTTTGTCCATACGGGATGAACATTGCTCTCGATACATGCGCTTTCCAAGACAGATGAACTTTGAATCATCAAGTTAATTGTTGAGTAACCAAAGGCCTACCAATCCCGCCAAAAATCAAAGTAGATCACAACATTCAACTTTGCAGTTCAACTTCGTATTTCTTAACGCAATCGTCAAAACTTTAGACTTCAACTTTATAAGTGAGAGTTCAGCATTAAACTATGTCCATCAACTTTCAAGTTCACTGATCAACATTGCTCTCGATACATGCGCTTTTCGCGAAAGATGACTTAGAATCATCAAGTTGGTTGTTGAGTTACCAAAGGCGTACCGGGGGTACTGCCATATATGGGCTATATAGGTATGTGCCGCTGTGAAGGGTATGGTTTTCAAGCAGTTTACTCTAGGATAGGGTATATAAATCAGAGCGTTTGGGTCTAGAATAGAGTATCATTTTTCAGGAAACTGATCATGATCAGTTGGTTGAAGATTTTATCTAGACAAGGGAAACAGCTACTCTAGGATAGGGGATTTGGGGAGTTTACTCTAGTATAGGGTAGCAAAATTCAGCTGAACTAGCTCTGGTATAGGTTAAGGGTCCCAGGGTCCCAGCGGCACATCCCCACCCAGAAATTCCTAAAGTACCCCCCCCGGGAGGCGTACCAATCACGCCATAAATCGAAGTTGAGACTTCAACTTTCGAGTCGAGAGGTCAACATCAAATGTTACGTACCAACATGCAACTTCGGCAATTAACATTGGTATTGACCATAAAGACAGTTAAATCGGTCCCTTTTTCCCGGCATAGTAAATCGAACGTTCGAAAATCGAACTCAATCGAACTCAATCGAACTCAATCCGTGGATTGAGTTCGATGGAGTTCGGCAATCGAACGAAATCGAACACCACACTTTCAGTGAGTTCGATTTCCGAACAAATCGAATTCAATCGAACAAATCGAACTCAATCGAACTCAATCCGTCTGATTGTGTTCGATTGAGTTCGGAAACCGAACTCAATCGAACACAATTAAAAGGATTTCGTTCGATTGGCTCTGGTGAACCTATACAAAGCAAGCCCAAAGCAAGCCCGTCAAAGCAAGTTTTTCTTGCGCTTTTTTTACTATTTATTCAATATCACAAACCCCATTTATAAACTGTCCACGGTAGTTAAGAGAAGAGAACAGAACAAACCCTGAAAACTTCGCCATCCTTGACGTCAAAGCGGCATTCCTGGTAGCCTTTGACTATACATTTGAAGCTTACGATCCACAACGCATCTGAAGCCATTTCTGCGGAATTTCTTCGTTTACGAAAAACACGTGCGCTACACTCAGGGCTGAAGTAATTCGAGCTTCTAAGATCTGGTAATGGATTTTCAACGTCTGTTTTACATATATCACGAGTTCGAAAATCAAACGTTCGATTGGGTTCGATTGATTTTTTTTCTTTTCGGTGAGTTCGATTTCGTTCGATTGCCGAACTCAATCGAACTCAATCCACCGATTGAGTTCGATTGAAATTTAGTTCGATTGGGTTCGATTTACTATGCCGGGCTTTTTTGGCAAAACCGTTAACTTTCTAGGCCAGCATCAACAATGTTGAGTTATAACATAGCGCCCGTGCTTGCCCTATATAGTCCTATTGAGCCGCCAGTGAATAATGAGGACGCTAACTTGTAAACACAAAATCTGGGGGGAAAATTGGTAATATTTGAGGTCCTATTTAAAAGCCTTCCCTATTTTCAATGTTCTTGAGACTTGCAGGAAATATTTCTTGACAATTGATCTCGGGATTGTCGAATTTATAAAAAAATTTATCGAGCGGTTTTTGAAAAAATGCGAAATTTTTGGGCATGGACCAAATTACGTCCAAAAACTGTATCAAAACCAGCTGAATGCAAGTTAATAAAATTCTTCTTACTCGCGATCGCCCAGAGCAATTCCCCTCTTTTTTTGTATGCAGTTTTCAATGGAATCAAACCACTATGAGATGAAGCCTCGTTGCCAAAGCTTATCAAGTCGCAATGGGAAGCCCAAGAAAGGTCCTCCGAGATATAGATCGATATAGACCCCAAGAAGCTTGAAGCAGGATACACGCTCGATAAAGGCACCACCTACTGCGATGGGCTGCCAACTGCAACTGTTATATCTAAGAAAGTCAACAGACAACTCCTTGCACTTCAATGGATTAAGGCGCATGTTATTTGAGATCGCGTATGACTCAATTTCGTTAACAATGAAATTTAACGTAGAAGGGGAGTTTCTTGGGACCACTTCCAGGACAGTTAGTTCATCAACATATTTTGCTCTCGGAACCCAAGATGAGACAAGGTCATTGACCATTATTGCAAATAAGAGGGGGCCAAGCTTAGTACCCCGCGGGAGGATACCACCGTTTAGGACCCTAGCTGTTGAGGTGGCGTCCATGAGACTGATAAACTGTGTCCTACCTTCTAAGAAGGCAGCAACCCATCTTAACAAAGCATTATGTACGTCAAACCCTGAGAGTTTAAGTCAAAAGCCTTTCGGAAATCCGCAAAAAACAATCGGGCAGAGCAATTGCCGCGGTCGAGATTTTCTAGTACAAGATGGAGAATATAAGCAATAGCCTGTTCAGTTGATTTTCCGGGTGTTGCAAACTGCTTAGCGTCGAGATCCGCAAGAACGGAAGGCGCGAGCCTAGATAGTGTAAGCCCTTCCATGACTTTTGATATTTGGCAAGTCAAGGAGATAGGTCTAATATCGTTATTGACAGATTGTGCAGGCCTCTTCTTAGGGAGAGGACGGACACAAGCTGACTTGAGGAGTGGAGGAATAAAACCTTCCCTCAACGAAGAATTATAGAGTTCGCAGATAAACGGCGCCAACTCGAAGGAAAATGACTTAAGGAGAACGTTCGGAATACCGTCCGGGCCAGGAGATTTCCTCACTTTAATACAGTTAAGTGCTTCTTGCACCTCTCGAACAGTTGAGAACAGATCCTCCGGGATGACGTCAACGCTTATAAGAGACACGTCGGCAGAAATTATTGGCGAGAGGGGGGTCGTGAGACCAACGAAAAAGTCGTTAATTTTTTCACACAAGGTACCCAAGGGGTCAGCGGTATTAGGGTCCAGAAGTTGATTATACCACATGTCATGCACAGCATCTCAAAACGGTGCATTCACGATCAATTGAAGCTACTTCCAAGTCTTGTTTACAGTTATTCATAGCAGTGTTCTTATTTTGCTAAGAAAAGGCAAAAATGATGGAGCCATACGAAGAAACATGCTTTTTATGGACCCGGTCTGAGATTCGTTTCCGTTTTACATGAGAACGGTACAGTCTTAGACCGGTATGAAAGTAACTCGTGTAGGGTCAGCGACCGACACGAAGTCAGGCCGGTCTGAGTTCACGTTTAGGCTGGTCCCATGTAAACACATGAAAAGAAATGTATGGAGAGCGATACAAACTCATACCGGTCTGAGTTCGTCCCGGTCTCATGTAATTACCCACTAAATCAAAAGTCATAATTCACTTGTTCCTCATAAATTACTCTTACTGTTTACTACAAAACTGTTGAATGGAATCCCTTCCCGAATGGATTCTGATCGTCTCGGTAAAGACTCGTACCTAGTTACTTTTGTCAAGCATTTGTAGAGACCCTTTTCCACCGGTCTTATGTAAACGACTGCAAAAATTATAAATTCGTACCGGCCTGAGTTCGTCCCGGTCTCATGTAATTACCCCCTTAGTTCACTCTATTGGAAATCGGGAGAACCAATTTCTTTCATATTTTTACGAAGGGCAACTGAAACTCGAAAAACAATTTATGGGCAGAGTTCCCTTTCTACGGACAGAGTCAGAAAAAGATGTCTGTTTTGTTGAACGCAAAAAGCGTTTTCTTTATGATTCGTTTTGTTGTTGAAGCCTAGAATTTTACACAGGGCAACTGAAAACTCGAAAAACAATTTATGGGCAAAGTTCCCTTTACAAGGACAGAGTCAGAAAAAGATGTCTGTTTTGTTGAACGCAAAAAGCGTTTTTTTTATGATTCGTTTTGTTGTTGAAGCCTAGAATTTCAAAAAGAGATTTCTCGAAAACGTTCCCATAAAAACTGCTTAAAAACATCGGTTCAACGTAAGACAGATATATGAACTATGAGGCCTAATGAGCAACTTCGACTTTCCCGTAAAAATTGAGGAAAGGTAAAAAGTGTAACGGTGTCAAGGTGTTGCCATGGATACGTCGACCTCGAAAATCTGTCTTCTTTTGCAACTCCAATATGTACCCTGCAAGCAGGTACAGTTTTATTTCCTACTTTGTTTGAAGCATTTTTGCCCGTCGTGTTCAAATATCGGAGAGTACGTGTTGTCATAGACTGTTCACGGCCCTTTATTTTTCCGTGAGATCATCGAGATCGAGCGCTTTGTGTGTTCGTGCCGGGTCCTACTACAATAGACCAGAAAACCATGCGAACGACTTTGAGAAAGTCTATGTTACGGGCTGCCATCTTGCATGAGTGTCAAAACTACTTAAGGGGCGGGGGCGGTTTGGGAGGAAGCGAGAAAAATATTTTTCTCGCCCCCCCCCCCCCCCCCCCGAGCTATAATCCCCGACGCCCGCCACCTCGGTACATTTGAAAATCAACATACCCGTGACGGTAAGACGCAATATATATAAACAATCTCACGAAAAAATTGGGGACTGTGAACAGTCTAGTTTTGTCCCTGAAAAACCAGGTCGAGACACCTTAGCTTATTAGGTTTATTTCCATCTCGTAACTTAGGTGATTATTTGGGAGCTGACAATTGATTTGAAAGACAATTGCAATACGTTGTAAAGTGTACAAAATGCTTAGAGCTCAAAAAACAAAAAAAAAAACTATCACATTAACTTATTCACATTAATGTACAAATTAAACGTTTTTCCTATATGTAGCCGCTTTTCATTTTGTTTATTTACAAAGTTTGTAATACTGTCTCTGTCTAATTATTATACCAATATAAAAGTCAGCCCCAAGTTGTTTGATTAAATGTAAAAAAATCATGGAGGTTTAGTCAGAAGTTACCGTTTAACACCACAACACCAAAACTGCTGCTAAAATATCGAAACTATTTATCACAAGTTTAGGTGTAGTGCTAAGACTGCACGATAAGACCGCTTTAAAACCACAGCTCAAGGTGTAGTAAAATACTGCCCCAAAATAAAAGTTCCAGACGAAGCGTCTACATTCTACTTGAAAATGTAGCACTGTTCGAAGTGGGTTATCTCTGGATAGCAATAAACCGGGTTGTGTTGATATATCAGTGCGGCATCCTCCTCCTCTTTGCTTGAAAAATGATGCCCACTAAGACGAGCTAGAAAAAGAAGAAGAAAGGGAACTTCAGCCGGAGATCAAAGTATAGCAAGGAGCAAGTGGCACAGTTTGATAGTGCGCGGCCCCGTTGACGTGACATCCTTGTTTCGACTTCTCTCATTTCTGGTTAAAGGGGCTGTGTCACGGCAGTCCGGTTCATTTTGTTTAATTTTGCCAATTACTCGCCCTCAATTGCTATGGAACTGAAAGTAAGCGAAGAAATTACACGTAAATGACAAAATCAGAGATCCGAGACAAATAAATATGTTTCCTGAGCATTATTTTTGAAGTTGCAAGCAGCAGGGATCAACTTTGAAAAACTGCTAGCCTGAACAGTTTCCAAAAACCCTAAATTCAATCCGTTTCAATCTTCTTCAGTTTTGCCCATCCGTGGCAGCTGTTGTTTCTGTTATGTTATTTTAACCTTCCTTTAAAGTTTTAGCGGTTATTTTTATGTTTCTCTTAATTTAACGGGCATTTTGTAATTTCCTAATTTGGCTGAATTTCGTGACACAGCTCCTTTAACTAGCTTGAAATACTCTTATAACGCAGAGAGAAAGGGGTTAGAATGAGCGCACCGTCGACCCCAAGTTTATCAGTTGAATGAAGAGGGAGCTTAAGCAACCACAAAGTCGACGAAAACGAAAACGTCAAAAAACAGTTGGTTTTTATGAATAAACCAACAGCTCTCCCCGTGCACCACACTTTTTACTACATTTCTTTGACGTCCACTGAACAACAAACGACATAAAACCTTCTAATGCGACGATTTATGGAGGACTTGAACATACGACGACGAATTTTCCATTCTTTTTTGAACCTCTATAAAGTCCTTAAGAATTCAACTCCGGGAAAAGTCGCCTATATTTGACAAATTACCTTACTATTAGGAAATTAACGATGCACGTTGACAACGCGAAGAAAATTTACGTTACACAAAATTAACGCGAATTTTCCAAAGTTGGGTTGACATACATCCAAGTAACGCGAAATTTTCGAAAACAATGTGCGCCTAACTTTATTTTACGCGAATTTACTGCAATACGGGCTATGGAAATTTCAAGAAGAAAGACGGGAGAAGTTAGCTATCCCCTCGGGGAAACGGATCAATACGAAGACCAGTCGAAAAACATTTTGAACTCACTTCTTAAAGAAGAACTGTAAGATACTGGTTTGCTGGTTCCATAAGTTTTCGACGCCAAGTGGATGGAACGCGGCAAATAGCGAGACAAGCCCCTACCCACCCCACCCACCGTACAGTTTCTGTTTCCAGTCGTGAACAGCCCAAGGCGAGAGGAGCAGCGTTATTCAAAGTCTAGTTTCTTTGGTGCCTGCCAAACAATAAGCTCGCAATAGATTTAAAGGGTTTGAAGTTGGGAATGTACGTCATTTACCAATTATATTTATAATGAAGTCAGAACTGATGGAAAATATAGGGTAAAGGGTCCTTAATTTACCTCAGTAGCTCGAGCTCGCCGAGTGTCATCATATGACAAAATAACCTAAGGCCTACGAAACACCCCCTCACCTTTACCTCTCTTCTCCATCATTGCTCCTTTTTCAGGTATTCAAAGCTACTTAAAGGATTTGTGGTCACAACTGGGAATCAAACTCGGAATCCAAGCGTGAATTTGCAGCTATAAGGGGTTTATCCTACCCTCCTCTTCCTAACGTCAAACGCTGGCATCAAGACAGCTCCAAATTTGGGGCCTGATTCTGATTCATATCCTAATGATACTAACGTGTAACTTGATTTAAGAAGGCTGTGTGAATCCCACCCTGGTCAACCTGAGTCGGAATAGACTACGAGTAATCTCCATTTTTCCTCAGGGATAGTAGAGCTAGCGACATGCGAGCGCGAGTGAAAATCACCCCACGCGAGAAAGGCGAGACGCGGCGGCGAGAGAGAAAAATATTTTTCCCTCTCCCCGCCGTGTCTTACCTTTCTCGCGGGGGGTGATTTTCACGCGCGCTCGCGTTTCGCTCTTCCTACTATACCTGAGGAAAAATGGGGACTACTCGTAGTCTAGAGTCGGAAATACATGCTTTACAACACACCTTGGTTGACAAAAAAATCTGCCACGTATTGAGTTACCAGTACTGCTTGCTTTGAGTGATTAATGCCTTCTGCAGACGTCCACTCAAAAGAATTTTTCTCGGGATGCCATTGAACTCCGTAGAACGGGTAATCACGACCTAGAGCATAGAAAGAAGTAAGAAATATTAAGTATACAGTGTTCTGGAGACTTCGCTCGTAGAATGAAACAGTTAACATCATAAATCCAATAGGCGATGGAATTGTTATATTTGCCAGTGTAGAAAAACGAGAAAGAAACTACACCGAGTTAACTATAAAAATGACTTCTGGGTCTGTTTCCAAGGAAAGGGAAAAAACATTGGCCAACAGCTGACCGGTGCATCCCCAGGAACAATTCCAAAAATAATTGCGGACACATTTTAGCTCCAGATCCCTTATCAGCTGTACAGTAGTTATTGACAAAGCAGGAAGTCAGGTTTTTATTTGTTTTGGACAAGCACGATCAGTATAGAATTTATCATGTGGTCAAAAGTTTTTTGTGTGTGTGCCAGAACAAAGCAGAAAATCCTGAGGGGGCTTGCCTCTCGAGTAGCCAGTCAGAAAACAGGAAATTCTTTACTTCATTTCGCTTGCCCTTGGAGCGATGTTTTGAAAGCTGTGGACACAAAATGCAGCTGCTGCTAAGATCTTAACAGAAACTAAGGATGTTTTCCAAAAGTCAGAACCACGGCCAGCTGGACCAAGAGTCTTTGATGAAAAACCATCTCCTTTGTGCACACTATTTAGGGTTTGAATGTTCTGGCTGGATAGTTTTGACCAAAAGTGAAATTCTCATAATGATGGAATGGTCTGGCTGCTGAGTTCTGACAAAAGGAATGTGCCGTACAAAGATAACATCCGACACTGAACTTTTCATAGATTGACATCATTACCTTCAATAGTGGATACAAACTCCTTGACTCCTTCTTTGTCTCTGTTAGTTGACAAAACTTTGTAGAACTTTTTGAGAGCGTCATTATTGTAGTAAGTCTACAACAGACAGATAAAACTTTTCTTTAAAACAAGATATGTCATATGGGTGACTAATCATGTCCTTTCGTTAATTGAATTTTCAAACACAGGGATGGGAATAAAGATATGTGGCTGTTGTAGAGGACCCAAGGGTAAATCTGCCGCAACAAAAACAGGCAGTTGTTGCAGAGACAAAGAGGGGGCTCAAAAAACGATAAATAAATAAATAAATATATAAAACAGTTCATTGGTCTTCCTCTACCCTGGGTGCCAGAAACTTTTCACCACCATTTCCAGTTTCTGTCCTGTCAGCCTGTGTCTCAGGACACTGAAGCATTCTACTGCACATGAGGAATTAACCTCTAATACCCAGGGTGGTCCTTTTCAGGCCTTTTCCAAAACAGAACCAAAAAATCTTCAGAATTCTACTCACATCAGTGGAAACACATTGCTGATGATGGTTATAAGTAACATTTGCTGTTTTCAGATAAGTAATAATCTCCTCAGGGGCAGATCCTAAAAGTCTGCTTGACTCATAGCCTGAAAGATGATCAGAAATAATGTAATAATAAACAAGAAAAAATTAAATGTAAAACTAAATATCAACATAACAAAAGTATTACAAGAGTATTACAAGTATTATAAGAGTGTTCTGTGAATGTACACTCATATCACGTGCATGATAGAAACTATATGTATTTATTAAAATCCAACTAGTGGTCTATTATCAATGCTGCGTTCTTATTGGTTGAGCTACTACTAGGCTATATGTTATAGCCCACTAGTAGCGAAAAGCGCGGGCTTTTTGGCAGCAAAAAAGGATTAAAGTCTATCTTTAACTAGCTAAAATTTTTTTATTCTCGATATTTTTTACCAACTAGTTGGATTTTACTAAAACAATATTCCTCTCGCCCTCATGGCCTCTGAGTCAATAGCCCATTCGGCCTTCGGCCTCATGGGCTATTGACTCAGAGACCATTCGGGCTTGAGGAATAATTAAATAACTTCTTAATTCTTGGAGCTACAACCTCGGTTCCTTTAATACTTGAATCCAGGAATATGTTGGAATAACTGTTTCCATGGTTACCAGCATGCGACTCTTGAGTGCAGCCGATTAAAAAATGCAAAACTCACAAACGTTTCTCCTCTATATGTGGCCTGAACCTTGCTAAACTTTTTAAATATGTTTATGTATGGTCTTTCATACATTGCCCCAATGTTTGCATCACTAGTGTGGAAAAGGTGTGAGTATGACATACCATCACTGAGGTTTAAAGGAATAGTATAGTCTTCACCATCTACAGGTGATAAAACATTTTGTCCTCCTGCACCAGAAACACTAAGGAACTGAAAACCAAGACAGGTTCCCCAGAGTGGAAACACATCTCCTGCATCATTTGCTTTCATTGCCAGATTGAAGAGTATTTTGCCTGTTCGTGCATACTGTGAATCAAAGACATTTACACCACCGCCTGGAAATAAGACCCTAAATCAGAGAAAGAGAGAGAGGGAGAAAAAGAAAACTTAATGAACAAGAAGATACTGTATTAAATCAATATGGGTTAAGTGAAGATGGGTAAAAATTTTATGACTAGACCTTAACTCTTGGCTCCAATACTATTGTTTAAAATTGCAAACAAGAAACCAATACCTCTACTAATCCTACTTATTGTTAATAATTAAGAGCCCATTTATATTTTTTAACATTAGCCACGTACAAAAAAGCAAGGAGTCTATAGTGTTTTTTACTTTGAAAAAATGCACATTTTCTATAGAGTCAAAAATAGCCATAATAGTTTAATGGCCAAAACTGCTACACTGCATTAAATATACCTTCGTCACTTTATTATGATCAGTTTTGTAAGTCCAACAAGTAATCTGCATGATGCTTACCCATTTATAGAACTAAACAGTTTTTCCAGCTGTTCTTCACTCAAGTCATTTCTACCAGAGGTTAATTTTATAACAAAATGGTATGACATGTTAATAATAGTATAAGTATATTCATAAGTCTATAGACTGACCTGCCAGCCACCTTTTAATAACCTGCCAATAAAGCTGCATAGCTGATTGCTAAAAAAACTCCATATGTATGGTTTCATATTCATGACATTGGATCGCAAGTATTGGCACGAGTCTCACATTTACTTTGACTACTTTAAGTTTGACTACTTTTACTGTGCTTTTCACGACCACGCGAAACTCTTAAGTTCAAAAGCCGCCTTCACAATCGCGTTTTTTGCTGCCGTCAATCATGATTACAATCACAAGCACCCCAAGAACCTTGAAACACAGAAACAAACAAAAAGGATTTAAATCCACCAATCACAGATCGCAAACCATGACCTTTTGAACCCGCTGAAGTAAAGTTGTTTCCTAAGAGGTCCGCTAAGTTGATTGATGGCAGCGAAAAAATATATGCATATGTCAACTGGCTTTTGAACTTCAGAGTTAGTGTGTTTTTGAAAAGTGCAGGAAAGCAAAATAATTTGATGCCCTTGGAAATAAAAGGTTCTGCTTTGTTTATGATACATTTCACGCTTATGAAGATAGATAGCTTGTATCTTGTATAAAATTGTCTCCTCTCATAAATGTTTGAGCAACACTAGCCAAACATCTTGCATTTAATAGGCCTCAAGAATGATTTCACAAAGTTTTTTTCCGGGAATATTTCGAAACTGAGAAGCCATGTTTTTTATTTTTGCATGGACATTGGGCAGATAATAAAGCTCATGCAATAATGGTGCTCAGGCTGTGCATATCACCCTCATTTTACTTTAGGCCAGGGAGCCTCCTTAAACCATTAAAAACAGAAAACACACCAAAAAACTGCCAACATTTTTAGCATTATTGGTTAATTTTTTGAACTTGTGGATACACATGTACAAGGCGTAAAAAATGCAGGTACATGCAAGGCAGCCTTATTTTTCTTGGGTATACAATATTATTTCAACTTTTCTAAACAATGTATCCACGAGTTTCCCATAGTTTTTACTTTGATTTTGGGTCCCCAACACAGTTTTATTGCACATACAATAATAAATACATTTTTATTTCTCAACGGGCTACCCTGATTAAATAAAGTTACTTAAATACCTATTACTTACTTACTTACAATCAGAGACTGGAACTCCTTATGAAATAGTGTCATTGAAAATCAGTCAGTAGAGGCTTTCAAACAGGCCTTCATGTGCCATCTGTAAAAAACGCTGACGCTTTTTCTTTTTCTTTTTTTTAACTTAATGCTGGTACCATAATTGTATTTTTAAAATAAGCACATTCACAATTGCACATCTGCTGCGATGGGATATACCCTTTGCAGATTATACGATTAGAATTGACTAAGCTATTAAAAGATCGCAAATCCATGCTTTGGAGCAGAGTTTGTACTTGAATAACTCAACTACAACAAAGAAAACAGTGTATGTCATAACAAAGGATACCGAATCGGAACAACTCTGCCACCGGCGGACTCTATGTACTTGATGTATGAAGCGACAATATATGTTGGCCCAAATTTCTCTTTAACGTAGCCATCTGAATCCTGGGCTAAAATTCCTGAAGGATGAACATGAGATTTCACTAACGCCCAGAAGGGAAACAAAACATACAGTAACACAGAAAATGAAATAAACATTCTGGAAACGATTTAAACAAGCGAACCTATGATGGGCGCATCAGTTTTAATAGCAGCTGCGTTGCTGTTTACATGAGGTCGCGATGCAACGTGAATCAAGAGCAATGAGAGGAGAAAGCAACCGCTAAATGAAGTCCTCGAAATTGTTCCCATAATCGTTCCTCCAAGAAAGAACCTTTCCGTATCGATCACGACGGGAATTCTGACCGGAGACAAACAAGTGGAGGAAATATAAAGCTCATAAGATTTCTGTCACATGTTTTTCCCGTGTGCCAGCTTGGTGTCAGCAATGTGTCAGCAAGTTTTTTCCAGGGCTACAAGAATCTGTCACGCAAGATATTGGACGCCGTTTGAGCCACCCCCCGGGTGGGGTGGGGGGTACTCCCATACATTACAGGTATGTGCCGCCCAAAGGGGTCGTGATTTTGAAGCTTCTTATTTAGAACAGGGTATCCATTTCAGAGGCGTTTTCTAGAACGGGGTATAATATTTCGAACGCATCAAAGCTCCACTTTTGTAAGCAGCCATTTGAAATTATTTCAAGGACAGATTGCTTTTAAAAATACGGCTCAATGCGTTAACAAGCAAACCGTTGTACTCTTGTTGCCCCCTAGAACGGAGTATAAAAAATTGGCCCATTTCTAGAACGGGCTATCAGTTTTAGGGCGAATTCTAGAACGGGGTGTCAATTTTAGGGGAAATTTTTTCTAGAACGGGGTGCCAATTTGGAGTCCCGGGCGGCACATACCCGCCCAAAAAATACCCAAGTGCCCCCCTCCGGGGAGCCACTAAGCATCGCACACCTCAGGTAGCTCTCACGTTTGTACAACCTTGAGTTGAACCGGCAGACAGGTTGGTTTATTTGCATAGTTGGTGTATAAGTTATAAGGATTTGTAGTAAAATTTAAAGTTGTTGATCTGAAAAGCGGACAAAAAAATGACATCTACACTGTATGTTCGTTTCGATGTGACAGGTCAACCTCGTTCCCAGGTTCTCTCTCTTACCCGTCAAATGAGTTGTTTGTGCGTTGTGCGTTGTTTTCTTTCTGGTTGTGGAGCAATCCTTGTGCAAATGCGTCAAGCACATGATCCTTTTTGAGTCCTCTCTCCACATTTAGCGAAGACATATATAGCTACTTCGAGAACGGTTGTCGGAAAAAATGTGCACGCGACAATCCCGAAGGGTAATATGGTATGGGATACGATCAATTCACTGTTCCTGACACTGTAGCTGTCGAACCTACTTTTGTCACTTTCCTTTAGCATTCGCAAACATATATCCACGGACTCTCGTGCCATTCTGTCAAATTTCTTTAAAGACCAGTGAACTAAAAACCACCCACAATACCTTTCGGGTTTGTCGTGTGCGCGTTTTCCGATAACCTTCCTCGAAATAGCTGTAAGCAAATGCACCCTCCGCGCTCATCCTGACGACCCTGCGTTGCCCCCCCGGACTTCCGCGGAGCCATGTAGAGTAATTTAAGTGTTCAGAGTTGACAAAAAGCCCTTCAAATGCCCAGGAGTATGGGCAAGCTTGGAATAAGAGAGCTTACGTAATAATAGAGCTTACACTAATAAGGCTGAGATTGCTGATCAATTTAATAAGCATTTTGTCAATGTGGGTCAAAACCTGGCCAAAAGAATTGAAAATTGTGATGGAAGTCCGACCCAATTCATAAGATCGACTCCAGTAGCTAGGCTTTGTTATGTCCTGTGTTACTGAAACCCAAGTATGTTCACTACTTAAAGGTTTAAATGATCATAAGTCATCCTTAGATATTCCTAATAAATTAATTAAAATAGCTGCCCAGCCATTGTCAATACCTTTAACATATATCTATAACCAGTCTATTGAAACTGGAATTGTTCCTGATATTTTAAAAGTCTCACAAGTTTCCCCAGTGTATAAGGGTGGTGATGCTACAGACCCTAGCAACTATCGGCCCATAGCAACTCTCTCACCTTTTAGTAAAGTGCTCGAGCGTCTAGTCTATAATCAGTTATATTCATTCATAGATAAACATCAAATCTTGTACAAATATCAGTTTGGATTTAGGAAAGGATATTCCACTGAACAAGCTATTCTTGAAATTACTGACAATCTGAAGCTAGCTACTGATAAAGGTCAAATAACATGTGGTTTATTTCTCGACCTATCAAAGGCACTACTCTCTAAACTATATCTGTATGGAATTCGGGGTACACCACATAATTGGTTTGGAAGTTATTTGCACAATCGAAGACAATATGTTAAAATTGACTCTACTAAATCTAGCTATGAAAATATTACCTGCGGTATACCCCAAGGCTCGACTCTAGGTCCTCTTTTATTTTTGCTCTATGTGAACGACTTACCAAACTGTGTCGACAAACTTTCGGTGCGGAGCTTTGCTGATGACACCAATTTATTTTACTCTAGCGACACTTAAAAACGCTTGAATCCGTAATGAATCAAGAGCTTAAACAAATTTATAACTACTGTGCTCTAAGTAAGTTATCTATTAACACTGCAAAGACCAATTACATGTTAGTCTCATCATCTAGGTGCCACCCAAAGATAGATATCACTGGTATTGAACAGAAAGATTACATAAAGTACTTGGGAGTTTATATAGATAAACATTTCAATTGGCAACCACAGATACAACATGTAAATAATAAATTAGCTAAAAATTTAGGAATCCTTTCAAAACTAAGATATTACATAGATCTGAATATACTGAAACAAATTTATTATGCTTTAATATATCCCTATTTGAGTTACGGTATTCTTGCTTGGGGCTGTGCGAGCAAAACCAGATTAGATTGTCTTCGTATTAAACATAATAAATGTCTCCGCACCATCTTCTTTGTACATCCTAGAGAGAGTGCTGCTCCCTATTTCAAACTCCTAACAATCCTTAAATTAGATAATATACATAAATTAAAAATATGTTGCTTTATACATAGAATGAGAAATGAGACCGATAGCATTCCAGATATTTTCCTTGATGTCCTGACTCCAGCATCGCGTATACACAATCATAATACAAGATTTGTCAGTAATCTGAACTATTTTAGGCCAAGAGTATCCACGTCCTTTAAATTCTCTGCTCCAAAAATCTGGGAGACTGTACCGCCTGGTGTCAAGTGTCTGCCATATCATAAGTTTAAAAAAGAATGGAAGTCCTGTCTTCTAACCAACCAAATCTGACCTGAGTATATGTTCTATCAATGATATTATTTGAGATTTTATTCCACTCTTTACTGCTGCCAATTATTTCAATATGACGGTGTCCAACAAGAAAGCTCTTGCTACTTTGGACACCGTACACAAATGAACTTAATATCTTTTAGTTAATTTTTATTTGTAGCTACTTTATTTTCCTACTATGTACACTTATGTAAATATCTTGGATAGTGTGAATAAAGAATTGAATTGAATTGAATTGAATTGATAGTGCCATAAACAGGCCCTAAAACAAAAAGGTGTTTGCACTAACCCAATGCAGGAGCCCAATGACGCTAGCTGGGTAGCCTGTAGCCTGAATTTCATCCGATTACTTCGAGTCGTTATTACTCCCTCAGTACCGTTGTTGAGAGGAGAAAACGACTCGAAGCAATCGGATGAATTTCAGGCTAGGTAGCCTGCGTGAAGGCGTTAAAAGGGGAAGGGGAAGGGGTCTCGCGCCCTAACTCCTTTCCCCTTCCCTTTCGAAAGCCTGCCACGCAGGCTACTAGCTGGGTTTCCCCTTAGTTTTCACCCTGTGTGTCCCCCTGGGTGATCCCCTTGGGTTGCAAACAAAGCTATTCCCAGTCCCTCCCGTCGACTCACAGATCAAAATGGCGGCGCCGGTGGCCAGAATTTGCCGAAGGTGTATTTGCTCAGAGGCTAGAAAAACTAAACCACCCGTGGGTAGGCCACGACCTCACATTGATAGAATAATACGAGTAGATCACGCAGGAGAACTTGGAGCTGATCGCATTTACGCCGGACAAATGGCAGTTCTTGGTAGAACAAATGTGGGACCGACTATCCAGGTAGCTTAGCATGGAGATTACATAAGCTTACAAGCTTGAGCTGAACTGCAGGTTGCCACCATTTCCTGTTAGTCAAAAAAGTGACCACAAAAAACCGTCGTTTAGTTATGTCTACGAATTGGTTTTAAGAACTTATACAGCAGGACCCCGATGACTCGAACTCGGATAACTCGAGTCAAGTCCAATTTTCCTTAGATTTCACCCCACTTTAGTCATTTTTACTTGGTTAACTCGAACTCTGATAACTCGAATTCCCCGCTAAATCGAACTAAATTTCGTGTTCCTTGATCAAAAATTCAGTGAAATTTACCCCAATAACTCGAATTCTGGATCTTGTAACTCCACTAGGGTGACATCCCATTAGCTCTTCTTTTTGTAAAATCGGTAAAAACACTAAAACTAAGACTGGTCAACACTGCATCTTGGTTCAACGAACAGATCAAGTTTTATGTTAAAAGATTCCTAATCATTTTACCATTTCTCATGAAATAAGGGGGCGTTCAATTGGGAAATCTGGATTTAGATTTTAAAATCCAGATTTCAGATTTGCAATCGAACGCGAAATCTGAAAATGGATTTCAATGCTGAGACAACTGTTGTTGGATTCTTTCCGTTTTTTTGGGAAATCTGAAAAAGGATTTGAAAAACAGTTCTTAAAAGCAGCGGTCCTTGCACGTGCACGTGTAATTAGCAAAAAGAAGACCAATCCTTTTTTGGATTTCCAATCAAACGGTAAAAAGGAAATCCATGAAATCCGGATTTGGATTTCTTTACTGAAATCCACCTTGAGGATGGATTTCTCGAAGGTGAAATCCGTTTTCGGATTTCGCGTTCGATTGCAAAATCCAAAATCCCAATTTCAAAATCAAATAGAGATCTATTAATTAAAACCAAAGAAACAAAAACTGGAATGCGATGAAGACTATGCCTGGAGTAGTTGGTGAACTAAAAAATAAGAAGTGTTAAGCTTGAGGTGGTCTCGTCAGTTGCGGGGGTTATAAATTGCTCCAAGTAGCATTCATCATGTTTAGGATATGTAAACCTTTCCTCCTCAAGATTATTGCTTGTTATCGATTACTATTGATTGTTACTGATTTTTATTAATCAATAATAATTGTTAATTTTTTTCTGTGACTTTGATTTCTATCTATTTCCAATATCAATTGATAACAACTGGTAGATTAAATCGATTTGATATCAATTATTATATCAATTGAATTCAGATATCGATATCTATCGATTAACTGTGCCTGGTGCAAACGTACAGGCAAGATTGAATAAGACTTAAGCAAAATGAAAAAAAAAAAACTTATAAAGCACTTGTTGTAGCTTTAAAAAAATTTTCCAGACTTTTTCCAGGTCTGGAAAACTGCTGGGCAAATCTGAAGACTTTTTCAAGAATTCAAGACTCTGTATGAATCTTGCGATATGTATACATGTATGCGCTCCTAGAAGCCACATGTCCAAATAAAATTTCATAGGTTGATTAATTCCATTTGATTTTTCTATTATCTTAAGTACTGGCAATCCTTTTACTTCTCTTGTTAGCATATGTGGGATCAAGAAAAGAAACATCTTCAAACTTTTGAACAAATCATAGCTGACAGACGAGTGCGGCCAACTGTCCTTATACCACTGTGGAATGTAGCAGGATTTGTTTTAGGTATATACATGTTTACATTCAGATGAGATTGTGATATAAATCAACTATTCCTGTGGTCCTGTAGTAATCAAATAAAATGGGTTGTTTTCAGTCCACATTTCCAAAGTCCAGTGTTCCTGTAGTCCATAAATCTATTTAAATATAGAGCAAGTCTGGTTTGACACACAACAGTTTTTACTTGTCAATAACATCAGGTTGTTGATAACAAAATTAATATAAATGCCGAGTCTGTTTAGGCCCTTAGCAAGTGCACTGAGTGAAATAATTTGTGAATTTGGCCACCTCAGACAGCTTGATGCAAGTTATATTGTTTTAAAACTTTCAAACTTTTTGGTGTTGCCTCGCAGGAGCTGGAACAGCATTACTAGGAAAAGAAGCAGCCATGGCTTGCACTGTTGCTGTTGAAGAAGTGATAAGTGAACATTATGACAAGTGAGCAATACAGAATTCATTTTACTGAACCCAAAAATTGTTTTATAAAAATACTAGTTTCCACTAGTTTTCACTAGTTTCCAGTTTAATTTGGTGCAAAAATCGCTCGGCTTATAGTCGAATAAAATAATACGGTATATTTTATATATCTGTCTGGATTTCATACGAGGTGCCTGTACTGAGTCTCTAGGCGGTCAACTCCAAGGAGCCATTACTCACCCTCCCCACCCATGAAGCTTATGACTAGTCAATCACTTCCCCCAAGCTATGCTAGTAGTATTATGATTATGAGTCACCGCATTGATTTGGCTGGCCTAGGGCCACAGGAAAAATTCTCTGACTTTGCACTGCTTTTTGACATAAAACTCTAACCAAAGTGACAAAATCTCCCCTCCCTACCCCCCTGGTTTTCACACAAAACAAGGAAGCCACCCACCCACGGATAGGTCTGGGCCCGGGCTCTCAGCTGACCCTAGCAAGATGGCAAGTCCCCCAGTTTTTTTCCGGCTACACTGGCTTGAACACAGGCGATGCCCGTGTTAGAGCAAAAACTTAGGGGGCACCTTTTAGCAAAATCACACAGATATATATAATACAAAATGAGTCACTCTTTTAGTTAATGTGGCAATATCAACAGTGGGGAAATTGCGGTTTGACTGGTCATCATTTTCATTGCTTTGAGAGTCTTCTTCCTTTCTGACACAAGAAATTGTGAGACCAATGACTGTTTTGGGAGAAAGTAACGAAAAAAAAATGCATGATTGAGACTGCAGTCATTCCTCTTTTGCTCACAACCTTTTTTTTCCAAAACTGACATCTATAATAAATATTTTTAATTTTCTTTTTAAAAAATTGTTGGTACCACACAAATTCATTAGCATACATTACCATACCCAAAAACAATGGAAAAAATAATTATTAAGTGAAATAGAAAATTAACTACAACATACTTTTTATAAAATTAGCAAAATCAGTTTTCCCAGTCAAAGCACTATAGGTGGAACCTCTAATCTTGGCAATTTGGGGTGATTGCTAACAGAAGGGTAATACACGCAGCTGCAAATTTGCGATTTTTTGTGCACTTGCGAAAAGTCCCAAAAATGGTCCAATTTTTCACAATAATTGCAAAAAAAATGTAAAATCACAAAAATCATTGGGGCCCTCTCCACCTCCTCTAATGCTGCTCTACCCTGATTCAGCGAATTTTCCAGTTTTAGCAAATTTTGCAGCTGCCTGCAAACTTGGACATATCTTGAGGCTATGTTTGTTTGTATGTTGAAAGTTTTCTGAATATTTCATTCTCATTTTCAGTCAGTTGAGGGAACTGTTAACAGAAGGTGTAACAGATGAAAATAAAGAGTTATTAGATGTAAGTTGACTTCAATCAATGTATTACTGTCAAACTCAGAAAACTGTGAACACCTGAAAAATTTCCAGACTGTTGATTGTGTAGTGACCAGTCACAACAAAGTGCAGGACAGATGAGCAAACCTAAAAACCACAAACTTATTGCCGTGGCTGTTGCAGTTTAGTTTCTTATACTTTGTTGGCTTTCTCCTCGCAACAAAATAACATTCCAGATATATTTCTGGTACTCACAGTTTGTGAGTTTCACAGTAATAATTTGACTTTCCCTGGTTGAAGAAAGGAAGCATTACGGCATGCTGTCAAACTGTAGAGTGGAGTCAAATTTCTGCCTCACTGACCCATCTACTTGCCTTGATGAACACTGTAAAATTGAATTCATAAGAACAGGACAGGACAGTCTTTTTATGTTAATTAAGTACAGTAATTCACTGGACATTTCTCAACTCTGTCAACTAAGACAACCTGTAGAAACTATGGGAATAATCTCTAGCCATTTGGGTTTTCAGCCATTAAATTTTGCACTTTCACTGTATCTTAAGACCAGAATGCTACTGGTACCTGAGAGTTATCAACACCAAAACAATGACGGCAGTTGAACTAAGTTGATCTGCAGTATTTTAATAATGTCCTAGACAATACAAAAGTTTCGTGATGAAGAGCTGGAGCACCTTCTTATAGGAGAAGAGCATGATGCTGAAAAGGTGAGCAAACTGCAAACTGTCTGGATTGGAATTTGCTTTTTTCTTTGAGACATCTCTGTCCTGTTTTGCAAGACTGACGCGTGGTATGTCTGTCACATGGCTGTGACTTTTTTACGGCAAACTGTGACATGCAAGCAACATGTTATTGATGTACATTGTTTGTAAGATGCTTAAACATGCCTGAAACTCTCTTCATCTTGACATACCTCTGGCATAAACAGCACACTTTTAATTAGCATGTAACATACTGGCCCCAGTCATTCAAAGGTTGGATTGTGCTATCCAGACGACAAACCAACCTGACTTTCTTGATGAGAAAAAATTCTGATGTATTGTGTTTCCCTGCAAGCAGAGGCCTCTTTTCCCTGGTATTTGGTTGGTGAGAGGAAAAGAGATCTCTTTTCTTTTGCCTGCCGAATACCTTAAAAAAGAGGCCTCTGCCAGCAGGGAAGTATGGTGTAGTATGCTTTATCAGTTTATCAGTCAATAAAGTAGACCTAGGCTAAAAAGAATTTTCTTCTCTTCGTGTAGGCACCGATGTATCAGGCACTGTCCACAATCATCCAGACTGGTTGCAAGGCAGCAATATGGTTGTCAGAGAGAATATAGAACTCTTCATATACATGTATGTGCCACTGTCAATGCATGTCTCTTTGGAGAGGAGTTGCTTTGGACAATTCTTAGCTTCGTCAAAAGTATGATATGAACTGTACATTCCCAAGAGAATTGCATCATTCATTGACTTGTCAAGTTACCAAGGAACTAATATTTGTTAAGTATTTGGAGAGAGGGGGCAAGCTTATTTTCGAGAAGTCATGATCGAAGTGCACTGTGTGAAATGTGAACTGCCCAAAACCCATCAATTATTGAAGAAATCAAATCATTTATTTGGCCAAATGACCTTAACTAGCATCTGGTGGCTCGATTTAACTTACAGCTGGATCCCCTAGGGAATTAATGGTTGCGCAGAGATCACCCGAACACATGGTGGAGATCAAAGGTCAATAATTCCACCATTTGTTTGTGACTTGTGAATGCAAAATTGTTGCTTGTGAACTCGTGACGAGACCCTCCCTCCCTCCCCCCCTTGCCCCCCTCTTTGGGGTATAACTGCTCAGTAATGTCTTTAGAACTAAGGTCTGGTTGTAAAGCACCTTCGCATAGCTGGCAGTTTTTTTTATGTGTTTTTCATTTGTGGTTCGTACGGGGTTTGTATTAAAAGTGGTTGGCAAAGTAAGAGATACAGCCTCGCAAAAGCTGAACCGAGGACGAAAAAGAAATTCTCCATTGACCTCGCGCATTTTCTCATTTGACCTTGCACGCGGGTGTCTCTCAAACACACACACTGGGCAGAAAAACAGACCAAAAAACTGCCAGCTGTGCAGGCTAGTAATGAATCTACCAGGATGTAATGAATCAATTCTTAGTCCCAAAATGGACCAGTCAGATGAGTTCAAAATATTATCATGTGAATAGCGATATTTAGTCATTAGGAGACTGATTATCATGCATTGCCGGCTTATTTTTGGGGTAAGTGAAAGCTTCTTGTTTACATGTATGTTCATAATTCTGTGGTTGCCATCTTTGATTTTATCACTGAGGGTGATTGGGGTTAGTAGAAATTCTTGGTTTGCAACCATGTGACAAGGAGGCCATGTTGGGGGTCAATACAGTAGAATTTTTTCTCGAAGAAATTTACATGAATATAGAGTTCAGTTCCCAGAGTAGAATAATGCTGTTGTTCTTGACCACAAACATGACCGCCGTGAGGTCATGTGCAAACCAGCAATACCATCCTATGGGGTTGTCCTTGCCCTCATGGAATCACCCCAAATCTTAAACTTTTTTAAGAATTCAGCATTGCGGATACACTGGCATAAACACTGGCACACCCGAAGAAAACATCTTCAATGCAGTCTAGAGACTGGTCATTACCATTGTGTTTTTGGGTGGTTTGAAAGATAGAGTTCAAATACGTTGCAGATCTAATTTTAAATGGAATGTTAATATCTCATATGGCCATGTCAATTTATAAAAGATCACAGTAGAGGATTATTATACAGGCTCTTTTTTATTTCTCATTCACGAATAATGTAAGACACTTTTATTTCTGAACAAACTGATAGTACCATTATTTATCAATACTACTTTGGTTCACTACTACATTACTACTTTAAGTGTAATAGGAAAGAAACAAGATAAAAAAGTTGCAAAACAAGCTTAGTTTAAACAAGTTTAAAGCTAGTTTAAATTTTAGATGTATTTATTTCCTGACATAAAAATAGAATACTTACAAAAAAATTTACTTTGCTTTACATCAACATTGAAAGAACTGTTGCCATTGCACATCGGCCATCATCATGGTTGACAAAACTGGGCCTTTCTCATTTAAAAAATTACGAACCCTTTCCAGAAGGTCTATTTCCTGAGGAGCATGTTTGAAGAAAAATTAAATTTATTACTGTTAGATTAAACACACTTAGAATATTTTATTGGTGCTAATATCCAGACACATTGAGAAGTATCTGAAAAAAATAAGGCTTTTTCAACTTCAAGGTGTCTAGATATCCATGGAACACTTAACTCTTTCAAGTGTTTTTTATAGCTTTGTAATATTGATCTTGATCCTTGATCAACAAGTTTTGAACAAGAGCAAAATTTTCAAAGCTTTACAGTTTTAATAACTTCACAGAAGTGATGTCCTAAGTTTAAATCTTCCTTAGCTATGAAATTGATGAGTTTTATTAATAAGTACAGTGGAATGTCTATAAAATGGACCTCTATTTTACAAATTCCTTGGTATAACAAACGTTCTTCTTTACCCCAGTGATAGTAAAATTGTGAAAGAGAATCTTGATAATAATATTATGAAACCTCGTTATAGCAAACAAATATTTTCCAGTCCCTCAGTCCTTCATTATATCCTAGTTCCACTGTCCGTAATTAAAAAATTGACATTTTTACACCACTTCTGAATTAACAGCAGTAATGTGGCAAATCACTTATTCACATCATGAGCTTCTCTAATCCACAGGATAACCAAGTTCACCAACCACATCCAGTCTTTGAATTTGTCTTAAAATGCTGACAAGTCTTTCTAAGCTGGATTGAGGGTCACGTTGTTCCCATCTTGAAAGAACATCCTCCATTGGAGAGAATCCATGATGGCGATATGACCGGTCTTCAATGTTGTTTATATCTTCCAAAGAAAATTCTAGCAGTCCAGCTACATCTTTCCAGTTGTAACATGAATGCGTAGTATTATCTAGTTGCTGACAAACTTTCCTCCGCAGTGTATAATTAGAAATAACTGATTTACAGGGCTGGTGTTCTGTGTCATAACTCCCAGGTTTTTCACATTTGCTGCACTGTTGCTGTAAATTAAAGAAAAACAGGTTGCAAGTTACTAAATGAGTACTAATTTGGAGTTAAACCATTAAAGCAGGGCTCAAAGTTAACTTTCTAGTACACTTGCAAAATTTTACTCGTAAGATTTTTTTCCACTAGCAAACTGGTGAGACAACTAGCAAATGCTTTCCCTTTGTTTGGGAGACGTGGATGATTCTTATTGGATGATTGCTATTGGATATTTTTCTCACTCGCAGATCATCAAAATCACTTGCATTTTGCGAGTTTGCAAGCATTAAAGTGCCATTTATCACCTGTGTTTAGTTATATTAAATTTCGAACACTTTTGTAGTTTAAAGAATTTTTGCAAAGAAATAAAAGTTACTTTGTGTTTCAACACACTTTTATCGAGGGACGAAATTGGCAATTTGAGGCTAATTCCCACCCTATTTATTCAAAAAGGAGTGATTGAGAGACCTCGCACTAAATGCTTGTGATGTCAACCCAGTATCTTGTAGCCAATCGTGTTAACGCTGAGATACTGGGTTGACGTCACAGGCTACTGTGACCAGTCCCTCATAAGGCGCGTTTTTTACTTTGTGAACCGGGATTTTAATCGCCTGTTAAAAATCGAGATTGAGCTCAAATCCCATTCTATTGCTTGTTTTTGCATGTTATATGTTTCTACTTTTTAAAAAGAAAGATATTGGCTATGGGTTATAGGCACTTTAATTTTGAGCCCTGCTTTTAAAATCCAAAGAGTGAGTGACCAGCACCAATTTTCTCCTAAAAATATCACCACAATCAATGTAAAAGGCTCTGAGAATTAATAAAAATGATCACCAAAGGGAAAACGCTTTGATATTTTATCAAATTCTCTCATAACCAATTCTGTAACGAAATGTAAGGAGATCAGTCTGAAGAATTTGTTTGTTACTTTGCAAATAATAACATACTGTAAAATCCCATGTTAAAGCCCCCTCCAGTTTTAAGCCCCCCCCTGGATATAAGCCCATCCATTTGCTAATGAAGATATTATTCCAGAAGTAAACCCCCAACCTCTCTTTCTTTACAAACATCAAAATTTATAATCTAAAGTTATAGGCATAAACAAGATAGTGGCCGTGGACTTGAAAACAATGATATTGACACCACAATCAGAAAGAAAGGAAGCGTTCATGCATATATAATGCGGCAAGTTCTGTTCTACTGTTCATTTCCGACACATCTGTTCAACTCCAATGTTTTGGAGTGATGCACGATAAATGTATTATAAATGTACTGGCAACTCTAAATGTAATAGTATGTTTGCTTTAACTCGTTTCTCAGTTAAGTTTAATCACCCAAAACCCCTTATGACGTTATATAAGCCCAGGGCTTTAACGTGGGATTTTAAGGTATGTAGGAATTTTGCTGGGTTTCCTGTGCACCACAAATCCCAGAATGCTGATCTGTACTTTGGTGATCACATCTTTACAAGAAAAGTCACATCTTAGTGGAAGTACAAATTTTGCCTACAAACTATTAACACCCTCTTAGCTGAGATTTGATATAATGTAGCACATTGATTGTTTCTGGCCAACAGTATTTAAATCAGAGAAAATGGTAATCAATCTATGGATGTACTGCATGTAAATGGTTTAATTCAAAGGATATTGCTAACCTTCAGTTCAAAATCTTCGGTGATTCCAAGATTGAATTTCTTGTTGATCGGACATTTTTCACCAACAGGGAGACCTTTAGGCTCGACACAGACATTTCCAACAAACTGTTCAACTTCATCGCTTAGATGTTCCAAATGGAACTCAACAACAAACCAAAAACCATGAACAAGATTCTCAATTATGTGGTAATCAACCTCCTGTTGGCAAAAAACATACACATTAATGACAGTGAATGTAAAACTCTGACTGTTCCTAAACTGGAAAACTGTTATATTGATGGTAAGAACAAAACTACCTTATGAAAAAAATGCATTGTTCCCTCTGACATTATAGATTTTGCAATGTTGCCCTCAGAGAGACTTCTCATAGGTTATGTTATGTCACCTCCAGGCCCCGGTTGTTCAAAGGTTGGATAGCCCTATCCACTGGATAAATCACTATCCAGCGGATAAATATTATGGAAAACGATTGCGATATCCACTGGATAGAGATTTATCTGGTGGATAGCGCTATCCACCTTTTGAACAACTGGAACCAGATAGCCAATTGGAGTATGTACTTATGGGTTAAAATTTACATAATCAGTCTGCTATAAACCAATACAGAGACCCTACCCCACCGCTCAACTTTCCAAGGAGCCAGCACCTGGGGGCTGACACTCTTTTTCAGAGAGAGAGCTGAACATTTTCTGCATAACAGTGTAACACTTTAGAGCAAAAAATTTTCTAAAACAAAGTATTAATTTGGAATGGTGTGTAATACTAGTATTGAAGTTGGGCATTTACAGTTCAACTATTATTTGAGAAATTTCTCCATCTCATTTAAAGTATTCACCTGTGAATCTTCGCTGGTAAGTTTAAACTGCTGGCACTGATGTTTCAATGAAATGATGATATCTGAGGAAATGCTACATGGATAAGTCTGCATCAGATGATACTTGCTGGCAAGTTCACGTTCCTTCACCGTCTATACAAAATCATTGGAACAGGATAGCATAAGTAGAACATCTAACATATGACTATACTGCAGTAACTTAAGGGGTCTTTTTCGTTGGATGAGCAGATTAAATGGGCGGGGGGTGGGGGGGAGGTAGATTTTTTTGGGCTGAAATTTTGGTTTATTTTTATAGAATTATTTTAACATCTGTTTTCCAGAGCCTTAATTTGTGAAATATATACAAATAGTCCAATCTAAGTTCTACTCATCAGAAAGTATCATTAGTTTCCTACAAAGCTGGCAAACCATAAGTCATAAGCCCCCTCTGATTAACACCCTTGTCGTCAAGTAACAATTATGGATGCAGAGTAACAATCTTATTAAGGGTGATGAACACACACCAAGAAGGAATTTACTGAGTTTTCTTATGACAGTCTTTCACTAACAGAATATTAATAACAATGATCAACTCACTTTAAAGGTAGTGTCATCTGGATCATGTTTCATCACCACAATCCGTAGGTACCACACCCGACTGACAACTGCTCTTGATGCAAAAACTGCAATTTGAACTTGGATGTCCTCCTAAACAAGTCGAACATTTTACAATGAATCATCAAGACTTGTAAGTCCCTCATGGAATTGTAGAATAATACATGCAAAGCTAAAGAGAGAAGTTGTTACGTCATGTTGCCATGGTAGCAAAACCAAAATTTCACTTAAAAAGTAAATTTGCACTGTTTCAAACTTCATCTATCTTATTCATTTAATTTGCCAAATGTTGGCAAAATTTTCTGGGGTTGAATCCGAAAGGATCGTATCCGAGTTTAGAAATCCGAGTTTTGTTCACCTACTCAGTAAAGCGGACGGGTGAAATTAGGAAGTTTCATGTCGCAGTCATGCAACGATGGCTAAAAAATGTGCAGAAAAGCATGATGTATGACGTGCAAAGTTGTTTTATTAATGTAAACTTATTGCTTTTTTTGCCGTTCTTGTTGCCGTCATTCTTGCCTAAGCTCCCTTTTTTTGTGATCCAAAAATTTTGTTTCCATGGTAACATGACATCACACTTCTCTCTATTACTAGGTGAATAATTTTTATTACAGTTGAAGCTCTCGTAAACGACCACCCCAGAAATTCTAAAAAGAGGTCGTAACGAAAGCTGGTCACTTAAGAGAATGAGCTCTCATTAGCAACCCTGTGGCAAAACAATATAGGGTGGTCGCTTACAAGAGTTTAAAAACTCATTAACAATTCATAAAGAAGAAATTACTGTTTAATGAGTGTCTTTTTATCTGATATAGACATAGCTAAACTGGACATCCAATGTGCAGTTTCAGTAAAGTGTTGATTTATATATAAGACTCTGAGTGGTCGCTTACCAAAGCTCAAAAGCAAAGGGCAAGTACAATTGGGTAATCTCCAAAGCTGATGTAATCGCTTAAGGGAGCAGTCGCTTATGAGAGCTTTTCATTACAACAGCTCAAACAGGGTTTCACAAAGGTGGTCGTATCAAGAGCTGGTCGCTTATGAGAATGGTCACAAGGAGAGCTCCAACTGTATTCATTATTACATCATAACACAAGGTGTTTGTTACCTTTGAAGCTGATGTACATTTAAGAGATTTCCTTGGTGGGCGTGGAGGTGGACAAGGTAAAGGACTTGCCGTAGGAAATTTTGGTGGCATATTTCGCGGTACTTGCCTACCAGGTGGTAGCCGCTGTGGTATTCTAGGCGGTGGCTGACGAGGTTGAAGTGTTGGCGGTGGAAGTTCTGGTACTGACTCTTTTCCCTCTGGACATTCCGACATGATGGGAAACACATTTTCATAAATGCCTTTCATACTTCTGCCCATGTAAACATGGTTGACATAAGTTACAGATTCCTTGGGAGCTTTCTTTGGATCAGGAAGATTCATGTAAAGATAACAACTTGGTCTAAAGCCTTGTGGTAAGTTGACATAATGCAGTTTATCTTCGGCTGGCTCCCCTTTGTTTTCAGCTACGTTCGCTAGTTTGTGGTGCTTAGAACTTAGTTTATCTGTGGCTGGTTCCTCTTTATTTTCAACCGTGTCAGGCAGTTTGTGGTACTCATAATCTTTGCGATTATCCTCATTTTTAGCCACAGTGCAATGCCTATCTGTTGGCAAACCAACATTGCTTGAAGGCTCCAAATCCAATAATTCATCTTCACAACCGTTTTCAGATTTTTTAGGAGGAGGGTCTTCGCATATTGGTCGAACAAGCTCTGTAAATGTCTTTCTCACTTCTTTACCTGGCAAGCTATTGTGTCGTTGCCTTTTTCGCTCATTCAAGGGTTGTTGAACAATCTGAAAGTTTCGTGTCCTTGGTAAAGTAAAATCACCCATATTGTTATCATTTGCAGACATTTCACCAGTGACCAAATCGCTTTGTGTTGTCTGCTTGCCGCTGGGTTTTAATTGACGCTGTGGGACAGGTGGTGGCTCATGTTCAAGATCTTCTTTAGCATGTTTCCTTTCAGGTTTGCCTTCGCAGTCACGTGCATATGTTTCCTTGGTGTTATTCACTTTAAGCTGATTTTGAGTGTGAACCTTATCATCATGCTGTAGTCTATGTGTAACTGCAGATATCTGTGAATCCGATTTTGAATCAGAAACTGATTGAAGATGCAAAGGAGTTAATCTCACATCACCAGAACTCGCAGTTTTACTGGATAAACAATTTGATTCGTTTGGTGATGGAAATTGCCCTTGTGTTTTATGATTATTTACTGTAAATTGTACTGGGTGTGCTTTGAAGGCCTGAGACTCGTGTGCAGTTGGTACAATATTAGAGTTGCCATCGCAGTGTGTCATTTCTGTAGCTATGTTCAAGCCACAAGAAAGGTGTCGCAGGATGGCAGGTGAAAGGCACTGAATCTTGTCACTTAAAAGTACTTTTATTTCATTTCCTTGTTCAGTTCTCAAATCAAATGGTTCTTTTCTCCCTTCCTTTGTCATGACAAGGGTGATACTACCAGCTGTGGCTGTCACCTGTGTCAGAGATTCAATGGGCCATTCCCTATGCAGTTTGAAGTCTAATCCTTGGATTCTTGTTAAACAAACCCTGTCACGGAATATTAGTAGATGAGTCTTTTCATGGACGTCACTGACAGCAACATCAAAAGAAACACCTGGAAAAAATTGAACCAAATTGACAAATTAACCTTTCAGTCTGAAATTATCACATAATGAATACCTCAGAACTAAGACTAACACATTACAGATAGCTCATTGTAACATGCAGTTGGTCACTTTCAAGAAAAAAAGAAACTGAATGTAAATTTTGAGGGTTCAGTGTTAGAATCCACCCCTCAACCACCGCCCCGCCCCGCCCCCCTTCCCCCCCACAAAGTTGGTGTCCCCATTAGCAAGAGTCTGTAATAGCCGCGATTTACTTCAGTCAAATGTGTGTGATTTATTTTTTGCTTGGGATTGAGCTTCTGTCCGTCTTGTCGAGGTGTCTGTTATAGTGAGGTGTCTAAAAGGTGACAGTTGAGTGTACAGTGGAAACCCATTAATACGGTCACCAATGGGTCAAAAAAAATTGGTGTATTAATGGGGAGGCTGTATTACCAGGACAGGCTCAAATTTCATGACTTGAGGGCTGTAATGACAAACACACAGTACATCGCATTCACATTTTTTAAACAACTGTTCTCACTGAAATGTTGATATCGTGTACAGTAATTGAAAAAACTACCTAAAATTATCCTTCACTACATGAAACTATTTTGAAATTCAGCTATAAATCGCCACAAGTGCATTTTAAGTGTACTGCCTGAAAACAGTACAAGAATAAGCTCAGATTACTAGGTCAATGAAATTGACATGTGACAGGCATATTAATTTTCTAAATTTCAAATGAGTGGCCGTATTAATTAACAAGGTGCAATTATAAGAGATTCTACCGTTTGGTATTTATGGGTGACCGCATTAACATTTTTTTTTATAAGGAAATGTTTGGCTGTTTTGCCTGGCCGAAAAAAACTGGCTGTAATAACGAGGGTGACCTTATTACCGAGATGGCTGTAAGGCGGGGTTCCACTGTATTTATCTGTGTTGTTACTTTACCCACCATTGTTTTTGGGCACCCACCTTTATTTCCTTGGAAAAATCAATAAACCTGACTAAACTCGTATGCTTAAAGCTCTTACCATCACAACACTTTGACAGGACATCTCTAATATTACAGACCACTTGAGTGTTTTCTGATGTAAAAAACTGCACGCCTGTTATCTGGGAATTCCGACTCAGATGTATGAGAGCAAGAACATTTCTGTGGTTGTTGAGATCGTTCAGGTGAACCACTGCATAACTGTTGGGAACCAGTTCTATGGCTTCAGGCTTTTTGGCCAACTTCCAAAACGTTACTTTTCGTGGAATTTTTTTCACTTCCATCACATCTGATGCAAACAAGAATTCAACAAGATAAGACTTGAATGTATTTAAGAGGCCATCTTGAGACCATATTGACCTACGTTAGTTGTTGATATAATAATCTGGGTCTTTCCTAAACATCTCTACTAAAGATATTGGTATATTGTGCAAAGTTCATAAAAAGTATCATTTTTTTACCTTTTTTAAGCAAGACTGTACAGGAAGCTCAAAAGAAAGTAATACTATAAGATGACTTCTTCATCTCTGTAAAGTTGTGGTGAGGTGGAGATAGACAGGAGGCTCAAAAGAAAGTGATACTATAAGATAACCACTTCACCTCTGTAAAGCTGTGGTGAGGTGGAGATAGACAGGAAGTTCAAAAGAAAGTAATACTATAAGATGACGTCTTCACCTCTGTAAAGCTGTGGTGAGGTGGAGTGATAGACAGGAAGCTCAAAAGAAAGTAATACTATAAGATGACCTCTTCATCTCCATAAAGCTGTGGTGAGGTGGAGTGATAGACAGGAAGCTCAAAAGAAAGTGATACTATAAGATGACCACTTCACCTCTGTAAAGCTGTGGTTAGGTGGAGATAGATAACTGATTTATTATTGAGATGAAAATAAAATTATTAAGAAACATCATCATCCTCTTTGGATCACTGCCAGGGTGGATTATTGTTCAAATTAATTTGTCTATGGAAAATGTAGAAAGAAGAAATACTTGGAGCTAAGATGAAGGGCCCTTCCATTTTGTTACAAACTAATGGGGGGAAGGGAAGGAAAAAGGATTTCACTAAATAAATCTCCATTTGCTAAATATCGTTTGTGGCTTGGCTGTCCATAACCCCAGTGGAGGTACTCTGGATTTCAAGTGACGGGAATGATTGAATGGGGGCAAAAATCAAAACCCAAAAAAATCCCTAGACCAAGAATTAACCCCCCAAAAATGCCAAGCCAAATTGTTTGTACTGTTTTTGCAGAACTACAACTTGGCCAGGATAAGAAAGTACTATCTTGTTTTGAACACCCCCAAAAATCCCTACTTTAAATCAAACCACCAAAAAATAAATACTTGCCAAATTTTCCTGCCTAAAAAAATCCTGGAATCGAAAATTTCAAACCCCCAAAAATCCTTCTATTATGCCGTGGGTCCATAACTGTTGGCTGACAAAACTACTTTATCATTCATGCTATTTAGAAGCAGTTTGTTCTAAATCAGTGAAAGGTTCCGGCAATTCTACTTTTTTACAAAAAGATCAACTCTGCTACTTGAAAAGAGCAGAAAAATTAACTTTCTGCATTCATTTTTCATAGAACAAAATGCAAAATTGTTACCTTTTTTGTTAATGCCAGTCGATTAGGTGAAAAGTTAAAAAAAGGTACCGTAACAAGATAACCCCGGGGGGGGGTACTCGCAGAAAAATTGGGTAGGGGTGTGCGACCCGCTTCCCAAAACCCTTACCCTATTTATGACCAAAATCTGCGATTTTCCCTACCCTATTTATGACCAAACCAAAAATTTGATACCCTATTTATGACCTGACCCTTAAATCAATACCCTGTTTCAGACCTGCCTTATAATTATTTCCCTAGTTCAGACCAATGTTAAAGGCAATGTTTATCTGCTTTTATTAGGTTAGGGGGACATGATAAGGAAGTAGCTTCTTCTAAAAAAGTGCATTCAAGACTACAGTGTAAAAATCGTTACCCTATTTATGACCAAAATGGCGGCAAAATAGCCAAAATCGATACGCAATTTATGACCAAAACGGCTGAAAAACCCTACCCTTTGGGGCCGCACATACCTATATAGCCCATATTAGGGAGTACCCCCCCCGGGAAGATAACATAACAAGATTGCGCACGATTCTACGGTAAATATATCTGACAATAAATTCACTAGAATGTACTCTCAATAAATACAACAAACACCGGTAAAAATGTTAGTATAACCGCTAATTTTAAATAATTATTATTAATTACTAACACAGAAAATGAAATCGGTGTATAAAAAAGAAAGTATTAAAATTAGCATATTTCAGCCGATGAGGTTGTTTGCAAATGATTTGCGCATCATACAAATTATAATGAAGCGCCAAAACAATTGAGCTTGACAGGTAGCGTAAAATATATGATGTTCTTGTTTAGAAAAGTAATGAGAGCACAGCGGTGAACGGAAATAGTAGTGGCAAATTAAATTCACCCCACAAGACATCGATCGAAGAGTGACAACATTACAAACTTACAGACTGAACTAATATTTTTCTTTCGTAAAACCCTCTCCTCAGTATTCAGGCTACAACTTGACGATGAAATTCAAACAGTTTGTGTTATGGCTAATATAATTCGCGTGACAATGCAATTCGATGAAATTCGCGCGTCAAGGTGTTATTTGTATTTGCTCTCATGTTGAGTTTTATAGCAAATTACTTACATTTTCCGTTGCGGTCGTTCTTTTTCACGCTAATGTTTTTGTGTTCCCACTAAGAAAGGAAAGAAGAATTCACTGTCATTTATTTGTTAAAAATTTATTGAGTTGTTGAAACTAATATTTAAGGTAAATTTGGGGCTGATTTGGAGAGAACATGAATGGCCATCCGGAAATGATCTCGCTCAGCTACAGATGGCCGTCGTGAATCAAATTTTCCTTCTTGCTGTTTTCAACGGATCTTTGAGGTTATCTATGTATGAAGTTATGTATGTTAGCATATAATATTATTCCAACAACTAAAAACACTTCGCATATATTTCTTGTTAAGCTTAAATGAGATGTTAAACTTTAAGACTATAAATATGAGCATATTTTCCGAACTACAATCGAAGAATTCGAATTAAAAACTGTGTTGTACATACCTTTTGCTTTTTACCTAGATAGAGAACCTGCTCGCAAACAGATTGTTCGTTTGCAGTGGACATGTCTGTTTGTCGCCAATTCTACGACTGGTTTGGCAAACACGAACAAGACCCAAAATAACCTCAGTATTTAGAGGAAGAGCTGAAGCACGTCATCATGACGTCAAAGTGACGTTGAAGGGTGGGGGAGGGGAGTCCCCTGGATCACGTTATGGTTCACTAGCCTTGTGTTCTTTGAGATGGGGTCGGTATTCACCGCATAGCGCCTCCATTATTTAAGCTCTGAAGTATGTCCTTACTTGCCTTTGCGATCACCGCAAATGTCAGAGATTTTCAAATTCTTGTGCAATGGATAAAAATAAAGAAAATCAAGGCCGGACAGAAACACGTGTACTCCAGGTGTGTCGAAACGGATTTTCCTTGAACGATGGATTAATTACGATTTCAACAAAATCTTTGCAGCGTGGAAAATGATCATTCAGGCGCAGATCCAGGATCCAGGATCAAACGTGACCGTTTTATGCCTAATAAGGTGCGAGCTTCTCATGGAAGTCTAATACCCCAAAACGAAATTTTCCTTTAGTGAAAAACTGAAAATCTGAACGTTTGCGTAACTAGTGAATTCAGGTTTTGGAATCCTTGCCTGTTGATAAGGACTTCAAAATGTTCCTCCTAACATCCTTACCCTCCTACGTAGTTATTTTCGGGAACTATATCCATTATGTGGGAGGTTATTTTCACTTAACATTCCCCGAAAATGACTTCTCAAAGCTTGCCAGCTCCGCTTAATTTTCAATGGTGGACGCGAAACTTTAAAGAATTATTACCTTTCAGGCTTGTTCCAAACAGCGAGATTGACGGAAAGGACAGAACAGCAATGCTTGCGGAAATATTTGCGCTTTGAGTATTAGGTTGAGCCTACGAAAATCAACACATTTGTGCCATCTTTGAGATGGTCTAAGTCCTGAAAGTCCTGTATGCAAGAACTTTAAACTGGGAGTGAAATTCAATATTGGGGGCCAGATTAGACCTTTCTAAAGTCTAAGAATGTAACTTAATGCCTGTTTTTCACATGCAAGTCGAACTGAAAGCTAAACAATCAGGAAAATGGCAGATATAGGTGCAGACTAGTTAAGACAAGACAACAAACGTAAACACAATATCGCAGGTCATAACAAAACAGCGTGGTTTTCATAAGGCAATTAGTTGGTTGGATCAGTGAGGGAGGTGAAGTTAAGTTGAAAAAAAAAAAGGTGTATTCTGAAAATGGATTCCTTTTGGGAGAAAAAGAGCTAAAAAAGCATTTTCATGACCTCTGGGCGGGAAATTTCAGCTATGTTAAGGTTCATACTTATAATATATCAGAAACTTCGGTACTTATATTGTTATTTTTCAACAAAGCTGCCCACGCAACCGCAAAATATCTCTAGAAACTCAGAAATGAACCCCCTGAACCTTAAAAAATTATGGCGCTCTTAGATTATATCACTTTCAAGGCTTGAATCTGGTGCTCATTTTGAAAACTGCCATCAAATTGTGAATCGGATGTTTTAAGGCAGTGAAAAGGATGTTAGTTTAAGTTCTCGCAGCAGCAGGAGTCAAAACTATGACCTCTCGGTTTCTTATATTATCCCGGAAGCACTACACACAGCGCTTCGTCGTCGCTAGAAAATGCGGGAGCCGGAAGTTCTGTACGAGATTCTAGACGAGACTAATAATCGGATAATATTTCGGCCACGTAGACTCGATTATTATTCAGTTGACTTAAAACTGTCTTATTCAAACAAATGTTTCGTTTGTCACATAAACAAATTCAACAATAGCGATGGAAATTAATACAGAAACAAACACAAAACCACAAATAGAAAGGTCTGAACCTGCAGGTCCAAAAAAGGCACAAGAACCTATTTTTATCCACAAAGAAACAAAAGAACTTTTCTTAGTTGCAGAATACTGATACGTTTTGAAGGGTCAAGACTGAAGCTGGCTATAAGCCAGAAGAGTAACAGGAACACTTAGAAGAAGAATCAAGTGTATGCAAGGCATATACTTTCAGACATCTCAGTTGCCCTTGCTTTTGGGTCTTTTTGGAAAATTTTGACAGAAAATAGACTACTTGCTTCTCACAGCTGAGTTACGAGTTACGGTAGGCCTCGAGCATTTCCAGCAACTGGATTGAAATGCCAACATTAAATCAGTTATGCAGACTTAAGTGTTAAATATTGCAGCAAGGATGAACGACGTTATAACTTTTGATGCAACATATTAAAACAGCCTTTCTTGCTATTCTGAGAACGAAAAAAAAAATTAAAAAGGACGTTTCTGAGTATCCAGTATAGAGGCATCCAAGGTTCCCTGTCAGTAGGATCTCTCACCGTGAGCAAAGAAGCCGGAAAGGAAGGAGAGAAACCTCTACTGGTCCAAGACGAATTCCCTCACGCTCTCGTGAACCCACCGACCAGATTTGTGGTGGAAACTGATTTCACCTTCCTCTCATTGTTTTCTCACCGTGAGATAACTCTACTAGCAGGGAACAACCGAGGTAGCTTCCGCGGCAAAGTTTTTGAGTTTTCTTTTCTTTTTTTGGCGTGTCTTTAAAGTCACCTCGGTAAGAACCAGTGCCAACATCATTTGGCAGGGCGCCCTGCCGTCGCTGAAAAAGAGGGCTTCCTTTCAGCGGAATTTATCGGATATATCTTTAAATTATTGGGATAAAAGTAGGAATATATTATTTCCTTGCTCTCATGCAGGTCTTCGTAAGTGTTAATAGTCAATGGGCAAATAACAACAAAGAAATCACACTTTTTTTAGAAACAAATATAACTTCAAGTTAGCCATGGCCAGGACATAATCACTGCAAGAAGACTTGGCACGAAAGCTACGAGGAAAAGGTGGACTCGCCTGCACCGCTGATGAAACTAGTGCATTTTTTTTGGATGATCCGGATCAGGATCAGTGATCTGAGATCACTCAGATTACAGTACAGGAACCGATGAATGCACCCTGGACAAGGATTCATCAATTCCTCTAGTTGACGTACAGTTGAAGCCTACTCTTCGGATTCTTCAATACGGTAGAACATCGTATAACTCGAACTCCCCGCTAACTCGAACTAAATTTCCTTTCCTTCTACTGTATTACCGGGACAGCTTTCTTTACCTCTGGGGATAGCCCTTACCTTTTTTCTTAATTCAACCTGCAATTTGAACCGCGGCAGGATTAGTTCAGTCGGTAGAGCGCTTGAATGCACAGCGGAAGGTCGCGGGTTCGATTCCCTTGGTCGGACCAATACTCAGGGTCTTAAAATAACTGAGAAATGAAGGCACTTCCTTTGCCCTGCAGATGGCTAGACCTTCGCGTGGCTCGGATGATCACGTAAAATGGCGGTCCCTCCCGTCTCCAGTTGGAGACGTAAAAAATTGTGTCCTCAATTAGTACTTTCGATGCTAAATACATTGACACTCAAATAAAGTGCTTTTTTTTTGCTTAATACGGACACCTGTTAATGCGGACGTTGTAAACAGGTCGTTTCGCTAGAAAGTTGATTCGCCCCGGACGTACGTCAATCCGTCCGATGTTTATTTGTCGTTTTTTAAGCCTGATAAGACGAATTCAAGTGAAAAGAAAGTGGTTGCACATGTGGGTCAACAGATTTTCCAGTGAAAACTGGAGACATAGACGTAGCGAACGCTGAAGCGCATGAAGACTTCAGTTTTCGACGAATATTCGTTTCCCGAATGTGATTATCAAGATCGCTAAGATCGTTCAGATTGCTGGACCCTTTTCAGCACTAAATCAGGAAAGAAATTCAAGCTTAAGTCAAAGACATTTCTGATATTAAGCTGTGTTGTAGTCTGAAGAGTGTTGAACATTTGTCATCGGGTGAATCGACTTCCGTCAGGGCGAAACGACGGACAACGGAAACTTGTTTCTTGTCCAATCAACAGATTCACTGAAGTCAACCTCGCTAATGGACAGGGGCACCCAACGACCGTTTTCGGGGAAATATCTGTTCGGAGCCCTCTAGAATGGCTAAAATTTCGGGAGCCCAAGAACAGCTAAAAATTTCGAAAATGTTTCGTGGTGACTGTTCGTTGGGCTCAGAGTTTCGGGATTTGTGTGGTTTGTTCACCTAAGAATTTCGGATTTTGTAGTAATCTCTAGATCACCTAGAAATTTCGTAGCTTTCGTAGTAATCTTTAGATTCTGATTTCGGCGCCTAGAAATTTCGTAGCTTTCGTAAACTAAGAATAGAGCAAAATTTTTAAACCCGGCTGACAGTCTCATCAGCGAAAATTTCGACCGTTTTCTGAGGGTACCAGGCTTACGGGTTACGCCTACGCGAGCGCTATATCAGCGCGCGCATCGCGTGAATAGCGCCTGTCAGTCCTGTGTATCGTTCGATGGACACTCAGTATCGTAGCAGGACTACGGATGGAGGGATAACCCAGACAACGCTATTGTAGCACTGTTCTCGGCATCGCATGTATCTGATCTACCTAATTTTAATAAGGCCACATTTCTGACATTGGCAGTTACAGTCAACTCTGTAGAAAATAGGCAACTTTCAGCGTTTCAGTGAAGTTTTGCCCGCGAAAACAGACGTTTTCCACCGTTTTTTTCTTTGCTCGCTCATCGCCACCTGGGGTGTGCGTGGGGAGAGGGGTGGGGGCGAGGAGCGAGGACAAACTACTGCTGGCAACTTTAAATTTTGGTAATGTGCAGGGTGATGAGTGGGTGATACAGACCCGTTATCTGCTAGCCTGCGTAGCAAGCGTTTCCAATCGAGTTACTGCGCGAAAGTTAGAGCGGGAGCAAAAAAAGAAAAAGATTGAGTTCCTTCATTCCCCTCCCCCTCCCCCTCCCCCGTCATTCCTTCTTTTTTTTGCTCTCGTCCCAACTTTCTTGACGAACTCGCGAGGAAGCGCTTGCTACGCAGGCTAGTTATCTGCGTTACATTCAGGCTTTCTGGGGCTGGATACTCAGCTGGCAGTTGTGCTGTTAGCCTGCGTAGCAGGCGCTTGGAAGTAGCGGGCGAAAGAGAGAACGTATTCTGTATATTGACCCAGACGGGTCGGGTCACGG